CTATAACATATTCTAGGAAAATACCTAAGTGATATCTTTTCATTCATCACTTGGAAATTTCAATATAAGTTAAAGCAACAGAAGAAGAACGAATTAAGATAAAGAAAAAAAAGGAAAATACCAGATAGATATATGTGAAGAAAAGAAAGAAATACTATATGATTATATGTGTGAAAGAATGCGAACAAAGAATGTATATGTTCGCTTACACCTACTGTTTCAATTATTCTCAGTTGCACAATACGCATCCACTAGGATATATCTTTCTTTTTCATTTCGAGTTTACATGTGATAATATGCCAATGAGACATTGGTGAAAAGATAGAACGACAAAATACCATGTATCATATACAAACGAGCGAGAACGTGATCACATCATTTCTTTTCGTCCGCTTTGGTAGATATTTCCAAACACCATACGAGAACAAGAAAAAAGAAACGAAACAAACTTGTTCGATAGAGGATTCCTTAGGGCGATGATCCTAAATGTGCTTTTAGATTTTTTGTGTCACATTTAAACAAGACATTGTAGAATTCAAGGCTTTCAATGAAAAACCGATAATATTTTACGTTGTAAATGGAATTTTCTAAAACTACAGGTAAACTGTAAAACAGAGGTCTTTTTCGAACAAAGACATTGTACCAAAGAATACTAATAATATTCACACCCAAACCCATATTTTTTTGTCTTATTTTGTAATGCATATAATAGATGTTGTTTTCCAGTATCTCCAATATTATTGTCATGCAACTTTAATGTACAGAGTGTCTATTATCGAATAATAAAATGAATTTATTAAAGATAAATATAACATAGAATCTCTACTGTACTCTCTTGTAAAGCATATGAGAGGTATTCAACTTCTTCATCTCTAATATCATTACACTGATGATACAGTGCAGTAAGTGTCTATTTAATAAATAAAAAAATGAATTGAAATTAAAAAGAAATTGAGAGGACAAGTGTTACTTTGCTTTCTTTTAAAGCATCTGCTAAATGTTATACTCCAACATCACTAATTTTATTATATCGAAGATGTAATTCTGTTATGTCTAAACATATTTAGGATCATGTACATCTCGAGTGTGGGTCTGGGCGTCTGTTATTCATGCACCAACACTCTCAAGGTATAGTTACACAAGAAAGTCAAGAAAGCGATTATGTTGCTGTCCTTATATTGTTTAATACAATCAAAATATTTTATGATTAGAAATTTTTGTGGATGCAGGTGTCAAATAAAACGTACGCCTACATTCGCATCCACACCCATACTCCTAAACCCTTATTGAAAGTATATATCGCTTGCTACAATCTAAGAAAAATCTGCAAACTTTAATTCATTAAGAAGAATAGAATTTTCTTTTTTTGTGTGACACTGTAACGAAACTTTTGATAAATATATCTATATAATTTTCTCGTTTATTAGAAAGTATTTGATTAGCTGATAATTGTAACAACCTCATATAGATATTTTGATTAACATACTTAGAGGCAAATATAATAATTATATTGCAGCTTGCGATCTTCACAAATAAGAAATAGAATAAAAGATAAAATATACAAAAGAAGCAAGCAAAAGATTGAGAACATAAAAATAAGAGTATATAAGAGAACTCCACAAAGTATATGTGATACTTTTCTTAGCAACAAAAGTTTTACTTAGTGATTTGCACTATGTTAGAGACTTATAAGCATCAAAATTGTTAGAATTATTGGAGACTAGAGTTGCTTTTCTTGAGAATTTTAGACATGCAACATTCACATACGTTTAAAAGAATATCTATCGTATCAGTACGAAGATATATAACAGCTATATCTTGAAAAGTATCAGCATTAAAATCATGAACAGTGATTCTAATGTCATTATCAGTCTGGTGATTCGAACATATTGTTTGCGTTTCAAAATGACCATCTCCATATCCTACTAAAGCATCTATGACACATCGACCAGTCGTTCCAACAGCGATATCTAAATGGCCATCACAGTTAAAGTCACCTACAGCAACTGAAGGTGTTTTCAATGCAGATTTTATAAAAAACTTCTGTCTGATACCAAAACTCCCATTACTATATCCAGATAAGATACAAACTATGTTGTCCTCACGATTGGAGATAACAATATCTGGATGAGTGTCACCATCAAAATCACCGACTGCTAGATTATTCGGATCGGAACCAAAGAAATTAAAAGATTGTTTCTGTACTTCAAAAGTTCCGTTACCGCACCCAATAAATACACCAACATTCACAGCATTATTATTGGTTACAGCAATATCTAAGTGACCATCATTGTTAAAGTCACCGACATTTAATGCTCGAGGCTGACTATTATGTCCAGTAGAGAATATAAATGGCGATGAAAAATTGTCGTTACTTTTTAGAAACACACAAATATTATTATTGGACAAACTGACGACAGCGATATCTGAGTAATTGTCATGATTGAAGTCAGCCACAGTGATGTCAACTGGCGTGCATTTCTCTCCCAGTTCAAATCTAATAACTGCTCCAAAAGCTCCGTTGCCATTTCCAAAGAGTATACCAATATGGGTGTGATTGACTAAAACGAGATCCGAGTGATTATCGTTATTGAAGTCACCAACGTCAATATGAGATAAGGAAATAAAACTTTTCATTGGAATAATATTCTTTGCTCCAAAATTTCCATAACCATCCCCAAACAGTAGATTCAGAGTCGTGTAAAATTCAGAATAAAACACAAGATCGAGTCGATTATCATTATTAAAATCAGCAAAAACAAATGCATGTGCATCAAGATAAACATTTGATGTGTTCATCGATATCGATCGAAATTCTAATTGGCAAATTGGTGCTAATAAAAAGAAAATAAAGAATTACTCTTCCGTATTCTCGAACTAAAAGTATATGAGAAGATATTTATGCAAGCTAAAACTATATTAAACCTTATGTATTTACGAAGCAATATATTTAAGTGTTTCCATCTCTTGAGATAGAGCTTAAAAGCCGGTATTGGACATATTTACTATACGTCGTATCTTGCCCAATGGCGCCTCACGTCATCGGGTCATTTCTGTAAAATTCACAGAAAATGAATGAACTTTCCGATTTATATAGTGTGTTTGTTGAAGAAATGACGTTTTCTACAAGTTTTAGAAAAACAGCCTGATGAAATGAGTCGCCAATGATCAAGATGTGACGCATAGCGAAAATGTTTAGTAGTACTATTTTTTTATTGTAATGAAAGCATCTAAAATATTGATATTCGAGATAATCTATCTCAACAGATGATTCTATGATTCCGCAGTGTTTTTCAAATAATTCTAATCATTGAAATAAGGACGAGATGGTATTGTTACATTACTAAGCAACTAATAAATCTAACTAGACGAATTTATCTTAAATGTGAATATTAATTTTTTGGTTAAAGTTACTGACTTGCTGTACTTGAAAATGTTGACATTGTTGTGTTTGTTGTTGGGTTCAAATTAGTATCATTTGTCATGTTGATCGAAGAAGCTAGTAAAAACATATTTAATAAATATTCTGTTAAACAATTGATTAGGCTTAAATATCAAGATCACAAATAGAATAGTTTATTATGAAAAATAACTAGAAAGACACTATATCTTAAAACGATCAGAACTAGGAACTTCTCGAAATATACATTGATAAATATATATTGTATTAAAATAATATTAAAAGATACTTAGTTATTAGATGTGAACTGTTTTTCTGCGGTTTAGTGAAAGCCGCCTAGTTTCTATCATTGAATCGATTCATTTTTTTCAAAGTTAGCTAGTACAATCATTTTTAAATGCACTCCATACTCTGTGTTAAACAACCATGCAGTGCACTGAAAACAAATTCCTAACAGAATTCAGTCTCTAGGACTCATTTTTGTTGTCTCTTATAGACTCGTCAATGCAAAGTAGACTAGCTGTTTTCCCTGCGTCTTCAGATTGTTTAAGAAAATTCTTCAATTCATTTTGAAGCTTTGGAATGGATATAGGGTGATGTCTAGTGAAAACATTTGTACTTGCTTTGACAATTATATTCTTACCTTGTCGCACGATATAAAATGAAGAAATAATCAAAGCTGCAATTACACTAGTCAATAGTATACATCCAAAGAAGATCTTGGAAGTACGTCGAACTGATCTACCAGTAATTGTCCTAATAAAAAGATATTCTGAATTACAAGTCAAAAAAAAATAAAAAAAAAAGACATACGGAGACGTTTCAGGCGTTGAACTTGTCTCTAAATTAGTAGTAACATTATCAACGGGTGTGTTAGAAATATCATCAGATGTTTCTTCAAGAGCACGGCCAGGGTTAACAGTATTCACTCGCTTTTTTCGATAATCTTTTATTTTAGATGCAATTCGAACTATTTTAGGGCAAATCCATTTAAGAACGATTGCGAGACCACCTTGAAGACTAAGTAAAAGAGTGATTATATCGAGGAAGTTGAATTTTTGAGTGCTGATATAGTAACAATATGATGGTAAGCATTGCTGAAAATAAGATGTATAATTCATCTTTGTTGACCATTGTTCAATGAATAGATTATCAATAAGTTCAGCTATTGTAGTGTTAATCGAGACACGACTCTTCATTGTAGAAAGAGGATCATGAGAATTGTTGTAATTAGTATATTCATGAATGAGATTAATACATGAACTATCATAGAAACATTCAAGAGTCGAAGCACGAAGTGATTCACTTGGTGTACATCCTATTTTTAAACCTTTAATTGGAATTGGAATTATTCTAGAAGAATTGAATGTGATAAAATTTGCTTGTGTTGTACAATTTGAATATAACCCACAAGAACATTCATCATCATAGATTAGAGCTGTAGTCGATAAATAAGATTCAGTAGATGCATTTTTAGGTACAATATATTCGAAAGTTGTTCCATAAGTTGACATGAAAGCATTTCCATGATTGATAGTTTGAATTAAGAAGAGAAGATGACGAAATGTTGTAGGAGCATTTGATTTACTCTGCTCGATCAATGATTCAAGCTTTTGATGAAAATTTATTTCTGAAAGAAGTTCAGAAGTGACAAGTAATGAGGTAAGAAATTGATTGACCGAATTGTCTGCTGCATTCATGGAAAGCTGACATAATCCTTGAAGAAATTGTAAATGAGCAGAAAGAAAACGACGATAGTCTCTTCGTGTATAAATAGACAAATTAGCAGCAAGACCAGCTGTAAGATTAATTCGCCACTGTTCAGATGCGAATGGACTCGAGCAGATCTTCAAATAATAAGAAAAAGAAAAGAAAAGATGATATTCTGAACTAGAATTTCACGTTTTCATCACGACACTGTGGTAAAATAGATAGCCTTTTATTTTCAATAGATATTATTCACTTTTGTTAATAAATGATAAAATCTTTTCGTTATTTTAACCATTCTGTTAGTGATAAATGTACAATATAATATCGAAATCTTTTTCCTTTGTGTACTAAGAAAAGCTTTTACATTTTGATTTTAGTTTGACTGATTATCCAAATTGAGTCATTTTTTACTCTTCAGATGGTTTAATTCTGGATATCGACTTAGCATTCGTGCTAAGAAAAGAATGGTTGGGAAAAGGTACATGGACAACATGGAATGACGATTGCGATATAACGGTTAAAGAAGGATGCGTAAGAACTTACTTTTACTCATCTTTCGAAAACAGTATAGCCTTTGTTATTAGTGTCATCCGACAGCATTGTTTTTGCTAGAGAATTATGAAAAAGCGGTCTAGTGCTCTTTGTTCATAGGTTTTACAAGATAGTCGATTCTCAATTATCATTAAACTTTCATTCCGGTTGCTAAGATTTATAAAAGAGAAGATAGTAAGGAAATGGCAACATGTGAACCTAAAGCTTATACTAACTATTTTTTTCGAGTGGTATATGATGGTCCCAGAAAATAATCAATGGAAATACTGCTGACAAGACTATGAATATTATTATGCTATCTTACGTGATGGAATATTGGGTCAATTTCTATAAATCGACTATATACTGATGCAATTACTGAACATGGACATTTTAATTCATCACCATAAAGCTTTTTCAGATCATTGTAAACATTGAAAGACGGTTTATCAAAAGTTTTCGTCATCATTTGTGGTTGAATTACGTTATATACAGTAAGAATACTAAGACCACCGATGAATAAAGCAATGTACAGACGAGTTGCCCATCGACCAAGACGTTTAGCTTTTATCGGATCAACATTACTACCAATATCACTCAACGAAAATATGTTTAGATTGATGAGAGTGGTATATAAAAGTTTGATCACATTCCTCATGGTTACTTTGAATCGATCGCAACAGTTTCCATGAACTATATAAATAAAAACAAGTTATAAATTTTTGATGGTGGTTGTTGGTTGATGAGAAACAGGGTATGCAAGTGTAGGCGAAGATGACCTATTTCGCTAGAAGATGAGTGTTACTTTTAGAGATGAACATATAAATTGAGCCGTTCTTTAACTCTCTACCAACACTAATACTTGCGCCTATTACTATGTTTACCTTTGATTTAATCAAATTTTATATATGTTTGATTTGGATGAATTTCATACTCCTCTATATGGACGCTTCTTTAAATGGTTTAAGTTATAAAATCTCTCAATTTCCTCGAATTACTAAATTTCTTCTTGTGACATGACTCTTGAACTCTTTGAATTGTTAATTCATAGGTTATGGACACACCTGAAGATTGATAAATAGATGTGACATAGATTTTAATATCATTGAAATTTGTCAAGCCATCTTAAAAAAGATTGTAGTCACTGGTTTTGGCTACCATTTATAAAGTATCATCTAAGATCACACATGAATTCTTCTTTTCTTTCTTCTCATCTTATATAAACTGCATTAGACAAATATCGTTGTTGTATGAATACATTCGCTCTGTAGTATTTTTTATAGACATCAGATTAATATTTACCTTGTTCGTCTTGCTGTTGGTTTTGTTGTCTTTTGTTGATCTTTTCCCATAAGTGATAGAAAAATCGGACAAGATACGGTGTGATAAGACGTAGTGAGACAACAAGTCCACCAATCACAGACATCAATGCTAACATTATTCCCTCAATAGTCTTCGTACGAATTTTTTCAGAATATGTACAATGAATCGGTGCACATGATTCGTAAAAGTTCTTGTATGACGAAGATTCACTCCATTGTTCCACCATCATTTCTTTAAATATAGTTGAAACTAAAGTATTTGGAGGAAAACGACTCCGTGTTGGATCATTGATTAAAGGACTAATATCATGTAACGATAATTTCAACTCACTGGAACTATAGAACTTTTTAAAGTGACTAAGTAGAATTAGGAAACAATCTGAATCTGCATACAAACATTGTAAGGTTGAGAGCAGTAGAGAATCACTATTTAGGCAACCTCTAATAGAAGATGGCATTACATAAGAGACATAGATACCATGAATGGATGTTTGAGTATAAATGATGTTTAAAGCTCGACAATGAGGATTAGTTGCACAAATACAGGTGAGCACTGTCGAATTACTTTCTGGAATACTAGGTAAAGTAAATAATACCTAGAAATAAAAAAAAAGATTTATACTTTGCTATCAATTGGCTTTCAGAAATTATAGTCCCATCGTAAAATTGAAAAATTACATTAGAAAGAAATGCATTGGGATACTTCTCGTATGAGACAGCTTCTGGAAAGTACAATAGAGATTATATAAAATCTATCATCTATTGATAATCTAATATCATATTATCCTATTATTTTAGGCATGAACCGATATATTCTCGAAAAGTAGCTTGAAAGCAGTTGTGCTTACTCTAGTATTTGTTCTAGATACGCTACTATGAACTAGGTCGAATCGAGCCATCATTCAATACTTTATAAACCGACTTTTCTTAGCCTGACTTAGTTCGCTCAAAGCGTTGCTGTTGTCACTTACTGAAATCTATGCTCATGACGTCATGTAATATCGCTTTTACAATTATGCTGATTTTTTTAAAGATAATCGTGGATCGCATTTACCTACCACCGTCTTTTAATTGACGGTTCTATGTTTAAAAACAACTAGCATATAACGAGAAAAAGTATAGCGACATGGTTTTTCGAATATTTATATCGAAAAATTATCAGAGAAATGTTATCTCATTTTTCCTTCAATTTCAATGGTTGCCTAATGAATATAGCATACATAAGTACTTTTTAATTATACACATTTCTGATTGTTTCTGTTAGTATCAACAAAGAATTGTGGAGACAATAGAAGTTTGCTAACACACTACTATATTTAAAAAGAAAGACAATATTTTATTATTCTAAGCATTACCATACCTGCGGTAAGGATTGATTGCTCCTTTCATTTTCTGTACTGGTTACGATGAGATTAGTATACCAGTTTAAGTTTGCCATCAGTAGCGATCCCATATAAGGCTGATCGACTTGCAACAAAAGACGTACAACGTCGTTCTGAAGACTAAAGTCGAAAATTGTCGAATTATAAAACTGTCTGAGAGTTACATTTAATTGTGTATTGAAATCGATTTCATTAAATACAGTTGAAGCGATAAAGAACTTCTTTAGAAAGCGATCAATACTATCATCAATCGTTTTATTAGCCAGTCGACAAAAGTCAGACAACAATTGGAATTGTGCTCCAGCTCGATTACGCCAATCATTAGGTTGTTCTTTAGTGGTGCTTCTTTTTAATAATGCAACCCAATCATCAGTAACAAAACCACTTGAACACACTTGATGCAATACTGGAGATAATGAAACAAATGAACGATACGAGATAGTCTTAGTCGAACAAGGACAATTGGGTGTAGTTGAGTGTAGCGTTTGTAAATTTTTATACATATCTAATGACGGATTTGGAATAGTCACCGTAGCTGTTTGAGTATTCAATGAAGTGAAGAGAAGAAGCACAATAATTGAACCTAATGAGAAAAAACAAAAAATAAACATGTTATTATAAACATATCTTCAATAGAAAGATTGCAAATAACATTCAACAATCTTAGTATGTCGACAATGAACTTATTTTTGTTCAACTCCAAGCAATCTGCAATTTATGAATGATAAAAAGATATGGATTGATGACAAGTCAGACTACTAAGTGATAAACACAAAAAAATGAGAAATTTCAGTAGTTCATCAACATAGATCTCTACTCAGATATCAGAACTCTTTTATACAATATCTTATGTAAGATTCAATAGTGCGAAACTTGATAATTGTATTTAATCTTTGAGATCTCAGTCAGATATTATATAAATCAATATTGATAGTTTAGATGTTCAAGTATAGAATAACAGCGGTGTTTCATGTACATCTTTCATTATTTAATTATCTGACAATCTACATTTGACTATTGAATATTTTAGTGTCTAAGTTCACATGTACATAGCAAAAGTAACTATACCAGTTAGTAAAATCAAATAAGCACGTGTGATAATCTTTTGCTGTTTGATATTATTTTCTGTTCGCTCATTGATCTTCTTAAACAAGTTTAAACGTTTCATCAATCGAAAAAATTTACGTAGACATATGTTGTGACACACTAAAAATTGAATATCAATTATATTTACGATGAAACTTTTTCTTAATATATCTGAAAAAATTACCGAAATGCATACGTATGTTTCTTGGACGATATTTGAATTTTAATGAGACATTTACCAAAAGTGATGCACTTAAACGAAGTATTATCACGAGACCACCATAGAGGCTAATGAAAAGAGTAATTGCATAAGTGAAAGCAGCTCGATCTGTTGCCGTGTATGTACATGCTGAAGGATGACATTCATTAAAATATTTTGAATAGTTTATATTTGTCAACCATTCTTCAATAAAAAGATTATTGAAATAATCGCTCACAGAAAGATTTTGTTGTTTCGAAGTCAGAAGAAAATCGGTCCAATTAACGCCCATCTAGACAATATGAATATGTATGAAAGTTAAAAGAGTGTTATACATACATGATTAAGAGCTGGAAAATAATTGGATAATAATTGTAGACACTCGTTTTCATATAAACAATCAAGTGTACTTTGAAGAAGAGCTTCAAGAGGAGTACATGCTGCAAAGAATCCACTGACAATTGTAGAATTTGGCATAGATTCAAATCTCGGTATACGGTTGACAGTCAGCGAACCATTTAACAGTGGATTGAGAGTAGCTGCACTAGTTGGATTACCTTGATTGCAGGACACACTGTTTCCACTTGCAGACTTATAGTATACTGGGAATGCAGCTACATGAATCATATTATTAGAATTGGAGGATATTCCAGTTATTAAATTTGTATTAAGAGCTGACACTAAATAATTTTCTCGTACAGTTGTTCTTAAATAGTTCAAGAACATAATTATTCGAGCAGATGCACTGTTTTTGAAAGATTCCGTTGTACTATTCACTTCGAAGTGAATTTGTGTGTCAGTAAGAAGATAAGTTGTAATAAAATCATTGTTTCCAACATCATTTTCAATTTGAAAAATTGCATCTTGAGTGATTGAACAAAAATCAGACAAAAGTGCAAACTAAATAGAAACAAAATCAATAAGTTAATATCTAAAAGATTATAAGGTGCAACAAATGCAAAAATCGACTAAAATGTTTTTTTCGCGATTTATATATGGTTTGATAGAGCTTATCGAGCTCTGTGAAACTGTATATTTTAAAATTTTTCTTGAGAGCGTGGGTGTGAGTGTGGTCTAGACGTATTGTAATAATCGTACACTCACACCCACACCCATCTTCAGATTGAATACATGTTAATCATTGAAAATTGATTCTAAATCTTCTTCAGACACATATTTTAACTTTTCCTCGTTATTGCTTCTCGTAAAATACAAATCAATTTCAAACTAAGAATAATAAAATCTCTTATAAAGAAGTGTTCTCAAATACATCGAAAAGCAAGACTACAATTAAATGTAGTTTTCATCTAAAGCAATGTTTTTTGGAAAAGTAATATACACTCACCTGAAAACTAGCTGTTGTTCGAAAATCCCACACTCCATATTGACTTGCATTTAATAAATACAATGCTTCAATCCATGATTGATTCACGAAAATACTCTTACAAACAGGATGATGTTTGATTGTATTGGAAACAAAAGTTTTATAAGGCATACTGATTTTTGAACATGGACATGAAAGAGTTTCCTTATGTTTTGAGTAAAGTTCATTGAATTTGACGAGTGTAATATCAGAGACAGTAACTGTTGAAGATTCTGCCTTCATCAAAGTAGTATAGAAGAGAATATAGACGGACACTAAAATACAAAAGTAAAAGAGAGAGACAAAAATCGTGCAAATTCTCATAGTTGAATATTATCTACGATTGACTACTGATGTTTTATATCTATGAAATTCTTTACTCACTTACTTTAATTGTATGTGTATGCTGAATGAGAGACTTTAAAGAAAAACTAAGAATCATCGATCTTAGAAATCAACTGTCAAACAAAAAGAGTTTGTCTTATATCAGAAGTTTTACATTTGTTCTTTGTAACGGAAAAAGGCTCCGCCAACCAGATCAAACCGATCAAAATTTGGCAATGAATTATCATCGAATACATTCTGTTCGATGGTAATGTACATTTGAAAAACGAAAACGTGTTTGCTACGTACCCGTAAGAAGAAGGATGTATAATCGAGTTTTATATTTTTGATTTTTAAGTACAATTTCCGGATCTTTTGGTTCATCATCATCGTCGTAGTCATCTTCTCCGAGCACAAAGAGATTATAGTTGGATGCTTTCTGAAGGAACCATTGAAACAGAGTTTTGGGATTCATCATTCCAAGAATGGATAAACTTGATGAATCAATCTTTTGATGAGTGTAATGTTTATTTTTTCGTACGTTCACAAGTAATAAGAATAGTTTACTCTAAAATTGAAATTTTCTTTTTACAAACATACCATCAATGATTGAATAATAAAATAGATGAATAATTATGAAAAATTGTGAAACTAAATTAGTTTCACAATTTTGGGTGTGGGTGTTGAATGGGTCCTCTTTAATACGGGCCAAGCATCACGTTGTTTTATTAGTAGCGTCGTGAATGAAAATCTTCCTTATAGATATTTTATCGCTACTGGAATCATGGAATGCTCGCGATGGCAGGCTCGCGATAGAGATGCGACGACGGCAATGATGCGTTGCCGACAATGCAGATTGTATCTATCCTAGTCTAAAACAGCTTTCTAACATTTATCACGGTAACTGTATCTGGTTTAAGAACGCAATGCGGTGCAACACAGTTACTTTTTAAAGTAACATGATTGCTCACCGATTGGTTATCTGTTTTTTATTGCTGCGACACTGCAATGCAAAGTTTTTGGCTGTCTTGAATCTCTACTCCTCAAAAACTTCGATCATACTTCATAGAATATTTTACTATCAAAAAATATTCTTGCTTTTCTCAGAAGAGAAAACACGATTTAAAATATTCAAACTTTTATCCTCAAATGCCAATTAGATTTCTCTTATATCTTTCAAAATTTTGAGGATACCACAGCAATTTTTATCAATTTAGAAAATAATCAAGTTCATGGATGTGATTATTAGCAGACATCTTAGAATGGCGCGATGATGTATCAGATTAATACGACATCGTAATCTAAAGTTATCTGACCAAAAAAATAAACTGATAAAAACTACAATGAGAAATAGAAATGAAGTGTTGCTTCTCCCTTATCAAAAGAATCTTTACTATAGTTGATATGTTATTTTGTTTCGTATGATGGAATCTGTCGCATCAGTAGAAAAATGCTTAATATATGCATACTGATTAGATTTCGTTAATTATACTTTTATTAAATTGAATTTTAACAAAATGCTCACCTGAATGAATTGAAGACTATTGTAGAAATGTAGAAAATAATGCGATCGATTCTGAATTTGAATAGAATGAACATTCTTATAAATACTGGAATAATGAAAAAACGTGATTGATCGTGTTCATATAACTTATTTTTTTTATTTTAATAAATCAAGAAAGTATACGTGACTGTATGATCTTTACGATTGTTTAGTAATAAATGATGATTGATAGCAAACTTGTTTTCAAATCTTACACGTATATTATTACTAGAATATATTCTACTATGAGAAATTGTCCGCAAAAGACAATTTTAAGGTTAACATAGAAAAAGACCGAAGTTTATAACTCTTATGGGATAAAATTATGAAATGGAAAGCATAGACATTCAAAATATTATCTACTTAGAAAACATATACACAAATTGGTTGACGAGGGAACATCTTTAGGTGTTCAAGGCTTTTAAACATCATCTTTTGGCGATAGATAAACCTCAATGATATATGAAAAATCTGAAAAGGATTCGTGTCCTCACGAAGGGTATAGATGTGAGTGTGAGCGCGGGTGTATCTTATTTATCTCACCTACACTCTTAATAAAGAGTAGCAAATATCTTTTATTAATTCAAGAATACGAATGATACACATTTAATATTTTTAGAAATTTTATCAACCATTCATTGAAGATCATAGATATTTCTCGTATAAAAAAATTGCAATACAAACTCTCTGTTATTCACAAAAACGAGCTCAGGTTGATTTAGACCCTAAAACTTTAGATCTGGCGAGCTTTAGTCAAGAGTATAAGTCTACGACAGTATCACGATGAAATTTTTCTAAGCTATATGGTGTGTATGTGGGTGTAGATGTAGACCTGTAACGAACTAAATCTCTTGTTCAAAATCGAAAAACAAATGCAGATTCACGCTTGTCTCATGCGACGACTGATTTTGTTTATATTATTACAATAGGATATTTAATAATAATAAATCATTGTAATGAGAATATATTTGGTTGATAAATTGAACAAAAAATATGCTGTACAGTATATATTTTTCTTTAATATAAACATCAGTATATATTTATTTTGCTGATATTTTTCAGAAAAAAAACTCTTTCTTTTATACATACATCATGTACTGCAAACATGACAACAAAGAAGATGAATAAACAGTCGCTTATGCATAGGATCGCTTCGTTCCGTTCGATTAGTACAATTGACGTGTGTGACAAAAAAAATGACAAAAAGATGTACCTTTCAAAAGTGAATACTTATCACGACAAATTATACGAAGACAAAGAAAAACATCAGCAAACAAAAGCCGTGTCTAGGCGGACAAAGAATGAGAAGTTAAACTATGATATGGAAGCAGAAAAAGAAAACTCGACCAAAAAATACGATTGTATAAATGAAAGAAAAAGAAAAAAAAAAGAGCTGATTCTTCAAGTAAAAATCAGTTACACCTGACATTAATGTGAGAAGAAGATGAAAAAAAGAAAATCAAAGTGCCGATCCATTAAAAATATACGACAAAACAAAAAGCAACATAAATCACAAAATCCTCAGTGAACATTAGCATCATCATCATCATTATTTTCACTCGAGTTGTATAGATACAAAGTCACAATAATTAGATGGTTGAGGGGTACTAGCACGACTTGATGCTGCCGAAGACATCATCGACGATGAACCACCACCTTCCAAACGACTACCAACAAAATTTAATAAATATTGTTCACGTTCTAAATCAAAATTAAAATATAATTATTTGTTTATTAAAGCAAAAGAAAATAGTTCTTACCTTGTCCTGTTAATGGACAATCACGTGACACAGCTCGATGTAATAATACATAGAGAGCTGTACATGCTACGGATTCATATGGTGTACTAATTTCAAGACTATTGGCACGTAAAGATGAAGCAATAGCGTTGGCAGCTGCTGACGCTGATGTTGATCCTTTTGGTTTTGGTTGAGCACATTTATTCATTGAAAGTTCACGAACAAGTGGCGCTACTATTGTATTCCATTTCATTTGTAACCAACTATTCATAATAAATGTTTGTCTTATTAAATTGAACTCTAATACTTACTCAAAAATAGCATCACGTTCCATAGGACAATCAAAAAATAGAGCTGGTCCAAGTAATGCATCTTGAAGACTTAATTTCTGTAAACATTCATTATAACGTTGCCAAACATTTGTTATCCATTGCAATGTTTTTATCAATTCATTATCAACTGGACGATTTTCACAAACATTACTAATTAGAAATACAAAAAAAAAGTAAATTTTAATCAGTAAACTATATAAATGCTTACGTATCGATCATACGTCTCCATAAATGTCGTTTAAGTAAACCATTCCATGGTACACTATCAATTTTGAATGGTATCCATTTAAATTTTTTATAAATTTCATTTTCTGTTGACCATGTACGTTTACTCATAGTAATAAATATATGAAAAATGGATGGGAAATAATAAATTATTGTTGATTCTAAAAGAGAAAATATTAATTTAAAAACAAATAAGAAATTTTTAAATAATTACGTTGATTATCTCTTTTTGAATAATATAATCTTTGACATGAATCAGAAATTGATTCACTATTTAATAATAAATTAAGTATATCAGCACCAATACTATTATGTATATTAGCAAAATAAAGTACATGTTTTACAAATTGTTGTTGTTCATTTAACCATGGATGAGTACGAAAAAAATCTAAATTAATTACATAATAAATAAAGATTAGATTTCAATTATTATACCTTGTGCAACAAGTTCATCAATACAATCATCCATGCTTGTTAAAGTTTCAAATTCAAATCTAATAACTTTAAATTTCGGAGTAGTTGAAAATGCCATTGGTCGTTCTAAATATCTCATTAGATCTTCAAATAAAGATTTCTTTTGTAAATATGCAGCTCCATAAACACCAACATAAAGATTTTGTTCAATCTAAAAAGAAAAAAAGAAAATTATTTAATCTTATCAACTAAAATCAAAAACATACATAACGAATAAAATTTTTTAAATTTTGACTTGGAATAAAATAATTATATGCTAAAGAATCTGTTGCATTTAGATCAATGCCTTTAAGTTGAATCATAATAGAATTTTGTTCACGTGCAGCTGTATATGGCATAGGTGATCCATCAAGTGGACTATCTTGATAATGCCATTTAGTTAAACCAAGTGTTAACGTATCGATATGATTTGCTGAACAACCAATAGAAGATTTAATATAATCAAATGGTGAATCAATTTGTGTAATATGATCGGTATATATTTTTATACATTTTCGTTCAAGATCAAGCCAAGATAATTCTGGTGTTATAGATATTGTACCAATTCCATAAGAATATCGATGTTCACGATTAGATGATGCAATACGAACAATTACATGAATTGGTTTTAAATCAGTTTCAGCATCATGTAATGCTGATAAAACAGCAAAACATTCATTAGATATAAATGTATTAGGATCAAAAAATTGAATAAAATCTTGCATGGTTATAATAGCAAATAAACATTCAAGAAAATACTAAAATATAAAGGACGATTAATCATAATTTTAGAAAAGAAAAACAATCAATATTTACAGTATTTGAAGATCTTAATGATGTTCTTAATAAACGTGATAGATATGAAGGATCATCTTTGAGTTCTTCATGCATAGTTGATAATAAATAACCATATGTATTTGTATGATTATGTTCAATAGCATCAAAAATCAGATCTGTAGGTGGCTAAATATATATATTCAAAAATTAATTATATAATTAAATTTCTTGCAAATTATTTACTAGAGTTTGACTCATATCAACAAACAACTGCAAACATTCAAGTTCAATTGCTTCATTCAATCTGGATAAATTATGCCATGGTGATAAACCACTATTATTTTCTATGGATGAATTAGCACCGAATTTAAGTAAATGACGAATACATCTTAATTGAAAATGATTAGATAGAATTGTCGATAGAATTTGAAAGATTTTTTTACTCAATGTGACCATTGACTGCCGCTAGATGAAGACAGGAATTCCCATCAGGTAATTGACTATTTGGATTAGAACCAAGTTTAAGAAATTTCAGCAGTTGTTCTACAAAGAATTTCCATTTATGTTTAAAAAAGAAATTCGAGATATAATTGATCTATTACCAGTATCTCCATTTTCAGCAGCTCGAAAAACAATTATATCGGAATGTGGAGCTGGCAATGACGTTGACAATGGTGAAGTTGGTGGTGGTGGCGGTGATGATGATGATGATATTGATGATGATGATGATGTTAATGAAAATGATGTTGAGGATGTACGATTTAAATCGCTCTTGTCTGTGTATGATGTTAAATCGGCATTAGTATCTTGTAGAGGGGTTAAACGATTTTCAGCAACTAAAATATAAAAATTAGAAATAGAATCAAAAGAAATAAAACAACAAAAAATTTAGCCAAGCAGATATGATTAGCATAGATTAGTATATAAGAAGCATAAGAAGAAGCTCAGTGATAAAATATTGACACAAACATAAAAAGCATAGACAGACGATGGGTGATTTAATGTGCGTAATAGAATAGATAGATAGATTACCTGTATGCATAATTTCTAACAGAGTTTGTAGATCATCAATTTTGTGTTCTGATGAAAAGCTAGTCTATAAGATGTAGAGAATAGAATACAGAACCACAAGTCTAATCGTTATATATATATAAACTAATTTTTTTTTTAATCCTTTTTATCATATAATATAAATGATAAAAAAGTATGAAATCATGCGTTAGTTTACTTAATTATAATATTATTTTTTTTTAAATAGATAAATAAGAAAATATTGATTTACCTGGCCAGGTCGTTTCGCTGGACCAGTTTTTGTTGTCGGTTTAACAATTTGATTTGAACTTTTTGTTAAACGTGGAATACCACCGGGACGTGTTACATTGTTTGCTACTGTTGATGAAACAGTTGCAATAGATGATGATGATGATGTTGTTGTCTGACTATTGCTTGGTGACGAACGAAGATTGGACATCATTGGAGATTGTGGAACATTTGATACTGAACGAGTAGGTATAACATTACGTTTAGCAACAGTAGGTATTGGTGATGAGGGTAATTCAGGAATCGATGATGTTGAACTTGTCAATGATGGTGCTTGTTGTACACGTGTTGGAACTGATGGTGGAATAGGTGCGGTTTTTGGTATTGGATTATTAACATTTTTTGATGACGAAGGTGCTGGAATAATAGTTGGACGGCGAATACCACCTCCCGATGCTATCGTTGTTGTTGATGTAGATGGCTTTTCAGGATTGGGTAGCGGTGGCGGTTGTGGTAGTGGTAATGGTACTGGATCATTCATTGGAACAGGTGTTTGAGTGATTGTTGATGGTACTTGTCGTGGTTTATGTTGAGGTTTCGAACTTGTTTCAACAATTTCTCCATCTGATATTGGAATATCTAAATGTTGAGAATGACCATACAATCTTTTAATCAAAGAAATACAAGTGAAACTTTAATCGTAAAATTCGACAAAAATCTATTGACATCTTTTGATAATTAAAGTCTTTTGTTCAAAAAAAAAGAAAAAGAAAATAACTTACTATTCACTAATATTTGTTGTTTCTTTTCTTTTACTAATAAATCAATTTCATTTTGTAATTGTTTAATACGTGCTGTTAAAACATCTTTATTACGTTCATTTTCTATTTGTAATTCTTTTAATTTTGTTTCACGTTGTGTACCATTACTAAAAAAAACAAATTTCATTTGAAATAAAAAATCTTTTTTTTCGTACGTCATATGATTATTTGATAATTGTTTTAATTGTTCTTTATGTTGTTCATTTTCAAGTTTACGTTCATTTAAAAGAAGGATTATAAATTTTTTATGTCGTTCATGTTCATTTTCAAGAAGTTTCATGACTTGACTTAATTGTAATTCCAAATCTTGATTATGTAATTGAACATTGTTAAGCTTTAAAAATACAATAAAAAGATTTTTATTAAATAAATATCTTAATTACTTCATTTCTTAATTGAAATTTTTCTTCTTGAGCAAGTAATAACTGACTTTGATATGTTTGTAATCGATCTTTTTCTTTTCGTTCTTTTTCAAGTTCTTCAGCTAACTAAAAATATAAAATAAAAAAAAAATAGAAATTTATTTATTAATAAATGCTTTTATATACCAAGATAAATCGTTTTTCTGTATTATCAAGTGCAATTTTTAATGTTTGAACTTGTTTTCTTTGTTGTATTATAAGTTCTTCAAGTTGAACAAGTTGTGTTTCATAGGCATTTTTCATTGGTATCTGTTCATTGAGTACATCTTCTTTAACATGTTCACTATCTCGAAGTAATGTACTATAGGGATCACTTTGACAACTGAGACGACCAAATCGTGCATTTGATAAAAGTGTTTTCACCTTTTCGGACTAAAAATAATTTTATTTGATGATAATTAATCGAATGTGAAAGAAGAGTTATAGAAACACACGATATTCTGTGAGTAATTAGTGTCAATCTTTCACAGTGTTAATATATGATACTTGAAATTCTAGAATTACGTATGTGTTACCTTTAATGCAGCTAATGCAATTTCTTTTGCTTGAAGTTCTGCTTCGAAACGTCCCAATAATTGAATAAGTTCATCCTTTTTCAATTCATATTTTGGATTACGCTAAAAATAAAATAATAAATATTATGAACAATCTAGTCTATGATAAATACATACTTTTAATGTACCAGCAACAGCTGTTCGATTTTGTTTATTCGGTGATGAATGCTTCTTCTTTTCTTTCATAGGAGTAGAAGTTACCACTGCTGTTGACATGATTTATTTCTTTGTCCTTTATTTTTCTTAATCTACCTTTTAATATACATCTAGAAGAAAATATATGACGTCTTTGATGAGGAAAAGTCTTTAGAAATAATACTGTCTACAATAATTACTATGAATGAAGTATAATTTAAATTACTTTAATAAATCAAAAATATACCATACATACAATATTTATCAATATTATCTAAACTATTTATATCATACCAGTACGATTTTTGTAAGTTTTTGTTAAATAATAACGTTAACATACTTAAATTAATCTGACAAAGAATAAAATATCTTCTTATTTTCGCTGTTAAAAAAAAATCGACTGAAATTCAATGATCTTAAATGCGTAGTTGATTGCATTGAATAACGTATTCACAGTCAATAACATACCTATCGGTAATTAAAAGAGGAAAAATAAAGATAAATATACTTATCGATCATTTTTCATTGGCAATATTCAATGCCATACATGCACCATATGCGGCCCTAGTAGCAGTAGCAAACAAAAAACAAACGATGCCGGTAGGATAGTACAATACATTGTAAAATAATGACACTCCTATAGAATAATTGTTTTAGTAGAGGTCGCTCAACAACAGACCTTCAAATTGATCATGATAAGTGTATATATGTTCATATATTTCATACACAAAAATACAATTACAATGTCAGTCTTGATTAGCATGACGTTATACAGTAGTGATTTTAATTTTATGGTAATTCTCTATTGTAAACACAAAAGCATTACAGTTTACTTTATAAATAATTTAATAATTATGTATTCATCAAACCACTTTCAGTTATATATATATATATATATTATTGTGTAGACACAATAAGGTCATCTTGATTAGGACATCACGAGATTGAGATTACTTGTAGACAAGATGCCCTTGTATAGTATCTAAATATAGATTGTAATATGGCGTATAGACGATCATATATTTTTTTTTCTTCTTTATAGGTATAAAATCGAATGATATACAAAACAAATAATAATAAATATTTTTAAACGAAAAAAAAAAAGATTCAAAATTAAAAGTTTTATTTATTCTCAACTGTTAATGTAGGTATCGATGGTCTTGCTATACGAAAACGTGTACCATGAACAGGTACTTCTGTTTCTTGATTAATACTTAATGAACGAAGATTTGATTCAGGAACAGATGATTGTCGTTGGAAATGTATTCTATTATGTTTTTCTATAACTAAATTATGATCATTTTCATTTGATTGTGATATTGGTTTTGTCAATGGAGTTGATTGTGGTAAACGTAATGAATATGTACGATTAAATGATGATGACCAAGATGTAATTTGTCGTTTTTGTTGTTCACGAACAAATAATTGATACCATTTAGGTGGTAACAGTTCAATGATTTCTTGATAAAATAATTGATATTCTTTATTAGTTGATGTTTGTGTAGTACAAGGTTGTAAATGAAATAGATCAACAAATACACTTGGAATATCTTCTTGACACATATCAACAAGATCATTAACAAGTAAATGTACTTTTTCTCGACTATTAGAATTTAATAAATCATAATCATGTTTATCAAATACATCGAGATTATATTCTTTAGCAAATGTTTTTAAACGTAATAATTTTCGATGTGATTCAGTATTGATATTTAATATATTATTATCAGTTAATTCTATATCATTACTTATTGTTGGTATTTGTCCTGTTTGATTATCATGAGACTTAAATGTTTTCCAACGATTAACAATTGATTGTGCAAGATTATTTCCAGTAATTGTTGTTATTGCTAGATTATTTGATTCTAAACTATTAGCATGAATTGTTTTATTATAATCACGTGCAACTTTAACATCATAATGAAAAAAATTTGTAATATCTTTATTTGGCTGATGTAACGGAACGACTTCTTTTATACGTAATATAAATAATGCCATGATTATAATACAAAGTATATTAACTATTGTTAATAATAAACTACAACCTGCAAGAATTGCTGCTTCACTTGCTAAATTACATGTATATAATGATTGATAATCATTATTGATATATTTTGTACAATTAAGATTTGTATAAAATTCTTGTTCAGTATTATTTAATGTAGAAGAAGAATCAACAACAGCAGCAATATTTGAAAATAAAGTACCAAGTAATGCATAAGCAAAAAGAAGTCCACAATTGACAGCCGGTGGAAGAAGAGAAGCTAGAAAATAATAAAAATAAGAATTTTATTCAATAGAAAAAAATAGATAACCTGATATAGCAACGCCAACAAGTGAACCTATTTAAATAAAAATAGATTCTTTTTTTTTTGTTCATCGAATAAATCAAAGATTTTTACCAGTATTTCCACCAAGTACTGACAATGCAACACCAGCTCCACTTGGTAAAGCAATAAGTACACCTACCCATAATCGTTTAATATCTCCACGTGATTTCATTTCCGATGTTGGAAAACTTGTTGAATTTCCCCATTTTGTTTCTGCAAATGTTGTAAATAATCTAAATAAATAAAATTAATTTTTCTTCTTTTATTTATTTATCTATTTTCTTTACCCAATAATAAATCCACAAGTAATACATATAATTAAACCAATTAATTCATTTCGAAAGCCTCGTTTCCATAATGAATGTTCACGTACAGAAAGACCAAATACAATACCTAATATTGGATTCATTAATGGACTAACAAGCATACTTGCAACAATAATAACAGTTGAATTTTCTAATAAACCAAATGCAGCTAACATTGAAGCAAGACATATTAATAGAACAAAATCAAATGATAGTGCTGTTGATGCTCGAATACTAGCAACAACTTGATGAACCATTAAACGAGCACGAACACTTTTTTTAAAATTTGATTCATTAATACGTTTACGAATTTTAGTTGTTTTATTTTCAATAGTAGATGATAATAATTCACTATTAGTTGTATCTTCTATTAATGATAATGCTGGTAGAGATTCATTTTGTCCTTCAAGAGTAATTATAGTTGGTAAAACAAATATTTTTGTATTATTTCTTCTACCAATACCAAGTCGAGTTAAATCTTGTAAAATACGATCACTAACTAAACCAAATTCAACATAAAATGTAATTTGATATGTTTTTTTATTATCAGATATCATCCAGATGGGTTCAATAGTTTTTTTTTCAGAAAAATAATTTTTTAAAGTTATACATAAAGATTCTGTTGATGTTTCATAGAAATGTTCATTGTCTTTATCAATTATTGAAGTACTAGAAGCTGGAGTTATGAATGTAGATGCTGCATTCATTGATGGCTTAAAAAATATATATATAGAAAAATAGTTAATTTAAAAAAGTGAAACTTACAGTAGAAGCTGATGGTTTAATATTAGGAGATGTTGTTTCTTTATCAAGATCATTTGGTAAAAGGATCATAAATAGTGCATAATCATTTGACATGACTGATTATGTAAAACAAAAATGAAAATAATGATTGAAAATATATTATTTTAAGTCTAGGTTTTTTTTCATTATTGTTATTCAAAAGCAAACATCTGTCATCAATTACAATCAATGCTTTCAAATGTCAATATTATTTGTGACAAAGATAAATATAAAAAATGTGTATTAGTTATCACAATAATAAATCAATTATGGTCATTGAGGACAAAATCGATTTGGTTTTGATATTTTCAAAAAATTAAAGTTGTAAAATATACTTACATATTTATATATAAGTATAGAGAGGGTGTAGTAGGAATAGGGCATTACTCAAGTATGAAAAGAGTAAAAAGGATGAAAATCAATCACCAGTCGCAGTTACTATTATGGCTATATTTCGTAAGTAAAGTTAGAGGTTGTGTTGTCTACTTTTCCCCTGTTTTCTTCTCATAACTCTGTATGCGTTATTCTGTTGGTTTGTAATAGATGTTTAGCATTTTGTTGGCTTCTCACTAGTGTGATCTCGTAGTATGTCGTTTTCCTCATGGTTTGTGTCCTTTTTCTTTTGTTGTGGATTGCGTTCTTCCTCTGCTGTATCCTATTCATATAGTATTCAAAACGTGTATGCACTCAAGAGTATTACACTAATAAAAACGTCAACAACAAAAAAACAGTCTTATAATTGAAAATGGTTCCGCTAGGTATAGACTTTCAAGAAGAGCATATTCTGTATCGTATCAATTGTTAACTGTTGTCCTGGGAGAGACTTCGATATATTGATATGATTTGATCTGATGATACATATGGGATTTGTAGAATAGTTATAGATCTTTATCTTTCATCATTCTTGTCATCCTCGAAACTAAGATAATTTCATGGTCTTTTGTCATCTAATACTAACCTTTATTTCCTATAATACATCAAAGAATTAGTTTTGTTTGTGTTTTTTGACACATATATGTTTATTACATATTTTTAATGGATCTCCTATGTGTGTTTCTATATTCTTACATAGAAGTCTATTATTTCTAACAACGTATGTATAGCTTTTTCCATTATTTATTCCATTTCATATAAAAAATGTTAAATAACTATTTATTTTAAATCTCATATAATAGATTAACGAAGAATATAATGTACTATAAATGTATACATAATGATATCATGTTGTGTGAATCGAATAATTATATATAAAATAAAGAATATAATAAATCTGTCATCTTGTATGTCAAGTATATTTTCTATAATATAAATAATCTATTAATTATTATGATAAAAAAAATAAACAATTTATTTATATCTCTGTATCGAAAAGAGTTTTTCAAATATATTATCTACATAAGATTCTATCAAGATTGAACATTAGTTTCAGAATGAATACGATATTGAAACTCATCCAAAAATAATATAACTATGCAATGCTTAAAAGAATTTTTTATCTAGCTATGACATTGAAATATAGAATAAGTTGTAAAATCATTAGTTTTTTAATGTTTCTTTGTATTGGTATTGTTTTATAAGTTCCTAATAATGTTTTCCTCATTCATTATGTTTTATGTTATTCAACATCCAAACATCTCAAATGACGCTCGTATGCGTCTTAATAGATATGTGGACGACACTCTCTTTCGGGATCGAAGTTTTTCAAAACAAACGATCACGGAAAAAAAGTATCATCGTTTTAAATACACGCACACACATACACACACACACTGTATAAAGTAAACGGGAGAAAAAAAAATATGCGGAGGAGAGAAGAAAAAAAAGACAGTGACAAAGTGAGAGAAACATTGAAATGAACAACAAAAAAAGAGAGAAAAAAATTGAAGTTTGAAATCGATGGAGTACCGATAACCTACGCTGTCGATAAAGAAGCAAAAAAAAAGAGTAAATCAGCGCCGGTCCGTTTGAATGTATATGTATGAAATGAAACGAACATAACATTGAACGATCAAACAAAGAGCAAAAAAGAAAAATATAGTTTGTTTGTCAAAAAGAAGATGCATCATGTGTGTATTGTACGATTCGATGAATGAGATTGCGCGCCACAAGGAGGGATGTTGCTTAGTTTATTCGAATTTTTGTTTTCATGACGTACTGTCCCACCAACTTTGGTCTTGTTGACGATTACCATTACCGCCACCAGATTGTTGTTGAAAACGATCATAACCACCACCACCGCCGCCGCCGCCACCACCACCAGCTTGGTGATCACCAGACCACATATTACCACCGGCATTTGCACCACCACTACCACCATTAGATCCATCCCATTGTTGTTGGTGATTATTATATCCACCTGTTCCACTGCCACTTCGACTTCCACCACCACCACCGCCGCCTCGACCACTGCGTATTTGTGCTGGATTACGGTAATCACGTGCACCAAAACCACCACCCGGTCTAAAAATATCAAGAGAAGTTATAACATATTTTATTCATTAGAAATAATTAAATTCTAAATTTACCGTCGACCACCGCCAAAATTTCGTCTGGAATGAGTATCTTTTTTAGCTTCTCTAGCTAAACCTTCAAGCCATTCAGGTACTTCTTGATGTGATTCACTAAGAATATCTAGTAGATCTGTGGCAATATTACGATTTTTTTCATTAAAAAACGATGTTGCTTGTCCTATGAATTCAATAAAATCCAAATATTTTATTTTATAATTTTTATTCTATCCATACCTAACATGCCAGCACGGCCTGTTCGACCAATTCGATGAACATACTCATCAATATCTGTTGGTAAATCAAAATTGATAACATGTTTCACATTTCTATATAACAAACAAACGATCATATAACAAATTTTTTCTATTGTTCATTCAAGAAAAAATATATTATTTATTATTGAAGAATAATAAGGATCTTATTTATATTTCTTATGTTATTTATAGATGAAGAAAAATTTCGATAATAAATACAACAACTTACGGTATATCGAGACCTCGAGCAGCTACACTTGTTGCTACGAGAATAGGTGTACGACCATTTTTAAATGATTTAAGTGCGTCTTCACGTTGCGCTTGTGATCGATCACCATGAATACTGTTTACGGAATACTGATGATTACCAAGGAAATCTTCAAGCATATCAGCTCCTCGTTTTGTTTCAACAAATACTAATGTCAATGATTCTAAATATTTAATTTATATTCATATATATATGTTTCTATCATTAATATTTATTTTTATTACCAGATTGGATATTGAGTAAATCAAGTAAAAATGAACGTTTTTCAGTTTCTTCTACCCAAACAATTTTTTGCGTTATATTTTGTGATGTAGAACCCACTCGGCCAATAGCCAAAAACACATAATCAAGAAGAAAATCACGTGCCAATTCCTGAATAATAATAATAACAAACAATTATTTTTAGAATTAAAAATTTTTAATTATGAAAAGAAAATAACAAACCTGAATTTGTTTTGGAAAAGTAGCTGAAAACATAAGCGTTATACGCTGACCAGTAGCCGGCATATCTGACCGTTCAACAATCTCACGAATTTGAGGCTATAAGAAAAATAAATAGGAAGAATATTACTAAATTTTGTTATTTAGATTTTCTTACCTCAAAACCCATGTCCAGCTGCAAAAAGAATAAATAAGAAAAATAATTATTATTATGGCTGATTCAATAAAAATAATGATAATTTGACTTACCATGCGATCAGCCTCATCCAAGACCAAATATCTTTTTAAACATAAAAAAACGTTCAGTTATAAGTAATGATAAAAAGAATATTATAATTTACCGGATATTTTCCAATCCGATACGACCACGTTGTATTAAATCATTAAGACGACCTGGTGTAGCTACTAATAAATGTGCACCTTTTTCTAAGTCACGTGTTTGAAAACCAATATCAGCTCCACCATAAACAACACATGAACGAACCATAGATCGATAAGAAAACTAGAGGATGAAGAAAAATAGATTAATTGCTTTTTTTCTTCTTCTTATTCTTTATTAAAAATAATACTTTTCGTGCTTCATCATAAATTTGTGAAGCTAATTCACGTGTCGGAGCCAGAATAAGACAAAGTGGATATTGCTTACGATTATTTCGATTATTAGTTTGAGGACTACGTACAGGACCTTCTTGGAAGATCATGTGTAAAATAGGAAGAAGAAATGCAGCTGTTTTGCCCGATCCTAACATACAAAAACAAAACATCAATAAAAGAAAAACACCATCTTTTTATTTTTTTTAATTGTACCAGTCTGAGCGCAAGCCATTAAATCACGTCGAAGTAAAATAGTAGGTATTGCGTAACGTTGTACTGGTGTTGGTGTACCATAATTTGATAATTTAATATTGTTTTTAATAATTTCACCAAAATTACAATCTTCAAACTATAAAATAACAATAAGAAAAAAACAACAACAACATAGAAATATTTTTTTCAAAATAATACGTACTGACTCAGCAGGTGGATGATCCATATGTGATGATTCAACAGGAATATCATTATAAAGGTCAAAATTAATACCAGTTGGATGTACACCAAATAATTCCCTAAAAAAATATTTCTAAACATTTGAACTAATTCATTAATTGAATATATTTACATTTCAAGTTTAGTATTTGATGGTAGTGGTGTACTCCAATCGGCACCCGTTGCATCACCTGATTGACCACCAACATGTGAATGATACGGTTTATGAGACTCCTGGTCACGTCGATTATAATTATTATCACGTTGTCCACCATAATTACCGCTATTATTATCACGAGTATTTCGATTATTATAATTACCAGAAGAACCACGTTGATAATTATTACTGTTACCACTATTATTAGTTGATGTTTGTCTTTCAGCTAAAATAGCATCCCAGCGCCCGCCGCCTGCAGATGCTTGTTGATTGACAGTTCCGCCACCAGCAGGACCCTGTCGAACAAAAGTTTGTTGAAGTTGTGATACATCATTGAATCTATATAAATATAATATGAATATCTTGAATATTATGAATAAAATTCAATATACGATCGATTTTGTATCGATACTGGTTGTTGTTGTTGTGGAGGTTGGCCATAGTTTCGATTATCAAGTGGTTGTGGTGAATTGATTGAACGTGGTACTTGTCCCATCTGTTGAAAATTATTTGGTATAGGTTGATGATAGATTTGCTGTGGTTGGGCTGGCATTTGGCCATAATATGGTTGTGAAGGTGCATGAGAACGAATATTATTACCATAATTTTGTTGTGAAGATTGTGAACCACCAGTATTAGCTGGTCCTCGATAGCCACTAGTTGTATTACTATTATTACCGTAATTTCCACTGAAAGTAAAGAATAACTAGATTTTAATAGAAAATATTTTCGATTTTATACTTTGGCAAATTCATTCGGTTCTGTAAGTGTGGCGGTCGATAGGCCTGTGTAGAAGTTTGTTGTTGTTGAGGAGTTCCTCCACGATTGTAGCCGCCAGCATAGTTATTATCATTATTACCGTGTTCATTGTTAGTATTCTGTAATTTTGAATTTTCAATGGTACCGCCGCGTGTTGGTTGCGACGATTTTGTATCTTGACTACAATAGAATAATAAAAAAATGATGTATTCAAAATAATAAATAAGAAAAAAATAAAATTCCCTTACTCATTGTTCATGGTATAGTGTTGCTTTTGTTGGGAAGGGAAGTTATTGGTATTAAAGATTCTTTATTATAAAACTAAAATAAGAAAAAAAATATGATCAATTAATCATCGAAAAAACTTCTTTTTATTTCAAATAAATATAATATAGTTATTTGAAAATATACAATAGCTATATGTTAGTCGAAACATATGTTAAGTGCCATTTAAGTCCAAAGACTGAATGAACTAATATTCGTTTTTCCATTTTTCCTCTCTCTTTCACTAGATTTTTCTTTTCCATTCTCATTTGTTTATTTATTCTTTTTTTTTCTCTCTCTCTCTTCCTCTCTGTGTTTCACATTCTGATGGTCTCATCATCCTTGTCATCTGCCAATGTAACATTAGATACTAATAAAAAGGAAAAATTACGTAAATTTTTTTGATTTTTATACAAACATTAACCAATTATAAATCGTTTAGTCGTTCCCTTTAAAAAACGGACAAAAAATGAAAGAAAAATGAATAAGGAAATATTTGATAGAGGACGCTAAACGACGAACAATTCGATTAATATACTTGTGCATGTAATCAAATATGATTATCTTATGAGATAAAAAAACAAAAGTAATCATGTTGTCTTTTTATTCAAATATTTTCTCAAGATATAATCAATGTTATTTATTATTACTGTAACATTGCATTTAATTTATTTTATTCTCATTCACCGTTAGTGAAATATACTATAATTAGTTACAAAACAACATATACATAATGAAGCAAAACAACATAAAAATAAAATCAATCAATAACAATGAATTATTATGTATTAGAAAAATTAAAACTGTTTATTAAAAAAAAATATCTTATTTTAAAAAAAAATACAATCAAATATTTGTTCATTCAATTATCATTGGAATTATCAAGAGGAAGTAAAGGAATTTCTTCACTATCATTATGAGATACTGTTTGTTGAGGTTCAATACTAAATAATGATGCTATTGTTGTTAAATGTGAAGATGAAGAAGGTGTACTTGGTTCTATGTCATTATTTATTGGTGTTGTTTGAGATTGTAAAGTGAGATTTACAGGAAATAGATCTTTAACATGAGTTATAGTTCGTGTTGTTGATTCAATAACACCAAATGTACTTTCATTGGATGTTATACCAGATCGTGTTAATGGAATGAGAAATTTAACATTTTTTGGTCCCGAGACAATTGATACTTTATCATTACTAGTCATACCTATTTCATCAATCGAATTGATTGTTGTATGTTGTGATGATGTATGAAGTAATTGATCAAGTGCAGCATTGAGTATATCATTACCACGGTAGAATTGATAATCATTATAAGTATCATTATTTGATAAATTTTGATGATCATTAATTTTAGACTTTGATGTAGATAATGTTTGTTGATGAAATTGAGAACGTCTAAAAACTAGTATGATAAATAATATTCTATGCGTATGAAACAAATCTTACAATTCTTCTTCTCGTTTTGCTCGTATCCAATTACTAAAAAGTATCCAATCACCAAATGCCATCGATAAAATCTGTTTAAGTTCATCCAATTGACATGTTGCTAAAACTCTTCCACTAATATTATTTTCATTTAAATCTTGAATATAGATTGGTATCATCGTTGGTTTTAAACCAGTAATATCAGTTTTTAAACAGTCACATATATCATTCACTGTCATTTCACTTAACGATGGCAATAAATCGATCTATTTAATTTTGTAAATAAAAATAAAAATAAAAAAAACATATAGAAATTTTAATGATCATTGATATGTATACTTTAACATTTGCTGATGGATTATTTGATAAAGGTTGTTGTTGTTGTTGATGTTCGATTAAAGGTTGTATTATAGGCATTGTTGATGATGCAACAGATGATGTTCGAAGACGCATATCATCATCATTCTCTTGTTTTGTCATTGGAATATGTGTATACGGACGGTATACATTTCCTATACATGAAAAAAAATAAATTCAATTTTTCAATTGATTATTAAAATTTAATTTACCGAAATTGAATTTCGGATAAAAATTATTTTTATGTCTTGAATATGGTCCTGGTTGATAATAACCATTATGTCCATCATAACTAAGAAAATATAAATAGATATATATATATATTGATAGGCAAATTATTGATTGAGAAAAAAAAACGAAAGCATTGTTCATGCGAATCTGATAATAGCCTTATATTTATTTATCATTTTTACCATTTATTACAATGACTGTGATTAAATTTTCTTAACAAAATAATTAGAAAAAGAAAGATATCTACTACTCAAAATGTTGTATTCTTTATTCTTTTTACTTACGTTGGATCATGACGAGGAAAAAATCGTGAAGGGTCACCGTTCATAAAACCATTATGATCAGAATTTTTCATATAAAAATATGATGCAGATTCTATAAAAGAAACTATTTTCTCTATATTTATAGATACTAAATAAATTTTACCTCGAATAATTTTATTTAAATATGGATCAAGATTACATGTACATGGAAGAAATTGTTTAAGATCAGTTACATTTAAAATAGGTTCACTACGTTCAATACAAAGTTCAAATTTACGTCCATTACGATCAAGTTCTAATAGAGGATCATTTGATATTGGTATAAATGGTTTAAGTCTAAAATTAAAATATTATAAAATACAATTAATAATTTAAAAATATACTTGTTATAGAGAGTTTTAAGTTCAGTATCTTCACCATAATCTTGTTCATGATCTTCATAATATACAATAATCCATGTAATACGATATGGCCATTGTTCTACTAAATAAGACCAACATCCAAGACGTTTCCAGCTAAATAATGCTTGATTAGCACGTAAAAGTCGACCTGTCATAGCAATTATATTAATAAGGCGTTGAAGAATTCTTGGATTGATATCAAGAAAATAATCCGATTGAAGTAATTGATGAGTTAATTCAGATGTTGTTACCTAGAGAAAAATAAATAATTCTTAGACATAATAATAATAATAATTTATTTTAATGTACTGGTTTAGTATTTGGTAATGTATCACGTCGTTGTCGACGACGTTTATTTTTTGAAAGTTTTTGAGCTGTTGTTGGTGGTTGTGCACTAACATCAAGAACTGACGTACCAGTTGTAAGTGTCTAAAAAAAATTTTCTTTTAAAATTTTTATAGAGAACGATAAGTTTAACTAACTCCACGTCTTCTTTTTGGAAAAGTATCGGACTCTTTTTTTAATAATTTTGTTCGATTTAAATTTAATTGTAAATAAATAGGAAGTTGAATAATGGATAATAAATAATCATGACCATTTACAGTTGTATCAAAACCAGATCTTTGAGTTAATGATGATATTGTTGTTGGTTGTGGTGGTGGCGATGATGCTGTTGTTGTTGTGGTTGTCATATCTTGCATCATCTTATGTGGATCACAAACAATTAATGTAATAAATGGATCATTTTCTTTTGTTAGAAGTACATGTACTTGCTAAAATGATATTAAATAAAAGGTCATATTATAATAAATATTTCATTTTACATCAAGTATTTGAAGTATACGTTGTTGTTCACATACATCTAAACCATCAATAAGAACAACTAGACGAGTATTAATATTGAGAAAAGCTTCAACAGTTTTAATAATGTATGACAATTGACTAACCTTATAAAAAGAGAAAAATAAATTGATTATGTATTTTTAAGAAATCAAATATACTTCTTTTCGTAGTCGATAAAGTGAAGTTTCATTTAAACGTGATGAACGATCTGAAAATTTAATTATTTTTGATCTTGGTGATCTCATTAAACCTTTTATTAATCGAAACCATGTACCAAAACTAAGTGCAATTGATGTACTTAAAATACTTGTAAGTACAATATAAATTGTATTAATTGAACGATGATTGGATGGTACACCTTTACAAAAAAAATATTAAATCCGTGATGATTACACATAATTTAATCTTACCATTTACTAATGTTAAAATACTTAAAGTTAATATAAGAGAAATTTGAATAATAACAATAATAAATGCTGGTACACAGCAAATATGTCGAAATCTATGATGACTTGTATCTAATCAAATGAAATATTATTAGATTAATGTTTTTTTCAAAAAAAAGAATAAAACCTTTGGAATGAAGTGCTCGACAAAGACGTGTTGCTACAAGTCCAAATGTTTCTTCAACACTAACAGCAAGTTCCGCAATCATACCCGCACTAGCTTTTTCACCATCAGCAGTTGATACTTTTCCATATTCAGTAAAAATAAATCTTAAAATAATTTATATTTCATAATAAGTATTGAATTTTCTTAGATATATATATATACTTCATTTTTCTACAATCAATTGTATCATTAATTTTTAAACCACGACGTGCATAAGGATTCATAAAAAGAACTTGAAGTAAAAATCGTAAAATTTCTAAACGTTTATTTATAAATTGTGCTATATTTGCTGTCCATAGATAATCTTTATGACGAAGAAGATATTGAATCATAAAGAGAAGTACAAGAGGAACAATAATTAATGCTACACCCAGTGAAATACCAACAATAAAATGAATTAAAAAACCAGTGATTAGACCAACAATTAAAGCAATAATAATAATAACAGAGAGTAACAATGGTGAAAATTTTATTATAGGAAAATCTAGAAATGATAATATGGAAATTCAAATAGATAATATATATAAATAGAAAAAATATACCTGTTAATTGAGCAAAACTGTGCATTTCATCTAAAAATATTTATTAAGTTAGTTAAAATCAATAGTAAGCATTTACCTTTTAAATGTGTTAATAAAGCTGATTTACCACTACCCCATTTCGCATATAAACCCTAATGAATCAATAGAAAAATATTGAATAATCGATCTAAATTGAATACTTACTACAGTAATTGGAGTTCGAAGTGATGGTTCACTTAATATTTCAGCTAATGCTGATGAATAGAGATCATAACCAAGAATAGAATCATCATTTAAATTTAATGTTCCTATTTAACAAAAAAAATATGAATTCTTCCATTCAATAGTGTATATACATACGTTGTCCAAAGATCGTTGTAAGTATACTTTTTTGTAAACTAGCATCAATCTTATATGGTGTTTCACCATGTTTATTTGGTCGATATAAATATTTGGCATGTCGTGGATTAGAAAGTAGAATATCAGCAATATCTCGACTACGATTACGCAAAGCAATATGTAAACTATTATCACCAAACTAAATAACAAAAATATCATATGTTATTTTAAAAAATTTAAATTCAAAAGTAATCATACTCGATCAACAGATGATAATCTTGCACCATATTTGATTAATTCATAAACAATACCAACACGTTTTCGTTTTGTTGCTAATACTAATGGTGTATCATCATCAGGACCACCTGATACTTCAACATCAGGATTATATTGAAGTAAATGTTTAACAACATTAACTCGACCACGTTCGACAGCCCACCAGAGAGCTGTTTTATTGTCCTATTATTTTCAAAATCAATAACAAATACAAGCAATTCTTTGTTTCTTTTTAAAATTAAACTTACGGCACCAATTGCATCTATATCAGCATGACTGTCAAGTAGAATAGCAACACAATCTTCTTGTCCACCTTTAACAGCTGAAAAAAGAACTGGATCACCATTCTATATAGATAATCATTTAGAGTGAATCGTAATTTTAATATGAAATTTACTTTATCAACTGTATTCACATATGCATGACGTCGAACAAGTTCAGCAACAACATCAGTCATGCCTTGAGCACATGCATGACTCAATGGTGTTTGTCCATCCTATTAGTATTATTATTTAAGAAAATTCTATTTTTATTAAAAACTCATTCGAACTTTACTTTATCTTGTATTTTAATATCAATTGTTCGATTATCAAGAAGACAAAGAGCTGTTTCTGAATAACCACCTTTTGTAGCAGCTAAAAGTGCTGTCATATTTTTCATTCCAATATTATTAACACTAGCATTATATTTTAATAATAATTCCACTACTTTTGTATGACCTGAATATGGAAAGAAAATAATATTAAAATTAATAATCTTATATATATATACCTCGTCTACTAGCCCAAATTAATGCAGTTGTATTATTTTTATCGCATAGATTCGGTGAAGCACCAGCCGCAAGTAATAGTGTAACAATATTCACATAATTACGTCCTGATGCCCAACTTAAACTTGTTATACCATGTTCGTCTACAGCATCAACATTAGCACCACACGTTAATAAATATTCAACAATTCTTGTATGTCCTTGATATGATGCCCACATTAATGGAGTAAAATGTCCCTATAAAATAAACAAATGAAAAATCTCATTGTTTATTTATATTTATCTAAAACTTACACAATCATAATGTTCTATAAGTGCATCACGTTCTAAAAGTGCACGTACAATTTCTAAATTTCCATTATGACATCCATTGAGCAATGCTGTCCAGTTATCCTGAAAGAAAAAATTTTTGTAAAATTTCTTCTCTTCGATTCTTTTTTATAATTTTACTTACTACATCTTCAGCATTAACATCAGCATTAGCTTCAAGAAGAGCTTTTACACATTCAACATAATTACACCGTGCAGCTAAAATAAGTGCTGTTTGTTGATCCTAAAATAATGAAATTTAGTTTAATTCAAAATTTAATATATCGTCATCTTACTTCATCACGAGTTTCTAAATTAATTCCATTTACAATATTTCGTTTAACACCTTCTAAATCTCCATTTTCAACATCAACTAAAAATTGAATGAATACATTGGCCATTCAGAACTATCTGAAAATGTATATTTACATCATTTATTTTATTACAAAAAATAATAAAATACAAATAAACAATTTATTTCATTTTTCTAATCGATCAATTACTAAAATAACCTTGCTCGATATATTATTCCTCATATCTTACCTGCAATATTATATAAATCAATGATCGATAAATAACTTTCACTTTAGATAAAATAAAAATCGATTATTAATCAAAATTAATAACCTATATATGTATATAGTTACGATCAGTAAACAAGCCAAACGACAAACTACCATAACGTTTTATGTCTTTAGAAAGGAAAAAAAGAATCTATGACGCTTCGATAAAATATATTTGAATATTTCGATTGAATAAACTTTTGTCAAAAATAAATCAACCGAAAAACTGAATCATTCTTCGTATTGAATTAAGAATACAATTATTCGTTAAGATAGAAAAATAAATATAAAACAAACCTTTTGATAGAAATTTTTATTGCGGCAAATATTTTATATTAAACCATTAGCGTTCGTAAACGATATAAAATTATTAGAAAATTCATCGACTAATATTTGTCAAACATACTTGAAATAATTGATAGAGTTGTTCTTATTTATTATAATTGAATATAATCGAAGATATAACTGTTAAAATTTGTTACGCATATTGAACAAAAAAGAATTCAGCGAGAAAGTTAATATTTAAGCATATATAAAATGCACTTGAAAGCGTAAATCATCGATTTCTCTTGATTTAACTAACGGAATTGATGCATGAAAAATGTGATTTTATTCTCTATTTAGTTATTAAGAAATAGTATCTGCATTTTAAGAAGCATGCACTCGTGTCTTTCTAAAGAGCAATACTAGCACACAAAAGACATTTATATAAAATAAGTATAGAGCAATAAATAACAGAACAAGTAAAGCATGTTTTTTTTGCAAAAGATGAAGCTTTGAGAGACATATATCTTTATCATAAATCGATTCCTTCAGTTTTTCTTCTTGTTCTGCCTATCGATATATATATTTATATATGTATAAAGGTCGTTTACAATCTGACGAAGAACTTTAAAAGGTTTTCGTACGATAGATCTGTCAAACAAACGAGCTGGCGATCACGTATATTGTTGGTTATTTAGATTGTACGAATCATAGTGACTAAGTCGACAGAGGACAGTAGCTGTTAATATGAATATAGTCATTTATTTAAATTCAAAAAAGATACTTTTTATTTTTATTTTCTAATAAATATATAAATTAATTGATATTTTATTACAAAAATGTTTTCTAATCTATTATTCATAGCTTGAGTTAGATACATGATTGAAAAATGACTTTAACAATTGGATGAATGCAGATATTTATATACGTCAAGTAATATGATCTTGATTAGAGATAATTATTTTGTTTCTAAAAAAATTTTTGCAAAAGATTTTGAAACTAATTGAATATCTATAGATAAATCATTTAGTTCATGTCGAGACTGTCCTATAAGTCATCGCACCATTTTTTAGGACAAAAGAACAAAGTATTACTAGTAGATTTTGTTTCTCTTGCTAATTCTGCCGCTTTATATAGGTTATGTTAGTGATTTCAGCAACACCAGCCATAAAGAACCACATGTTTGAAAAAAAAGAAGTCAAAGTATTAAAATTTTCATTTATCAGTATATTAGAGAAAAATGATCATAAAACTCTACATTATAATATATGATAGATGATCGATAAGAATGTATGTCCTGAATTCAAGCGAACGAGATCATCTTATGTTTATAAGAGTTCAAGATGTTTTATCGTCAATAGTAATGGTTGTCTTGAAAATGAATTTTAATTGTAAATTATTGTGTTGTCAAATCTGTTACTTAGTTTTAACAAATGAATAAGGTTTAGAATGTATCTAAAGTTGATCTATCTCTAATATTTCTAAAACTAGACTGATACTTAATTTAGAGTATGCAATTTATTTAGCTGTACTAGACACTTAGTGGTAATTGATAGGAGAGCAACTAAAGATATTATTGCCTGTCTTTCAAGATTTTATAGTAGTAAGTATTCGAAAATAAACTATCACAATCTTAGATGTGCAACCGGTGAAATATAATATTATTACATTATCATTTTGAACATCTCATATTTAATGTAGATAATCTTCTAGTTTCTCACACCACAGATAATTTATTTATCATAGAATATTGTATATCACATCACAAGAAAATACATCCGCCATAGTTATTATCATATAATATTCTTTTCTAACATGTGATAATATAACTTTAGTTGAACATTTCGTAGTTACGACTTTAATTATGGTATCTAAAATGAATTCCGAAAAATAATTATGGCAAAATGGTAATATTTATGTGTTATCTATTTGCTAAGAATATCGAGCAAAGTGATCATGAATGTACTATGGAAAGTTAGATTTAATTAACTTTACTTTGCTGTCATTAACTATTCAAAAGTAAACGAAAATTAAACATTTATTAAAGATTAAGAGTTTTACTTGAACAGAAGAAAAATTAGAAGATGCATTTAGTTTTAAAAATAATAATAACATAGATCTCATATTAAACCCTTAAAATAACTTCTTTGTCAAAAAAACACTCTCGAAAACGTATTCTTGAGATTAACAAGAGCTATATGTTTAGTTTATATTTTTATACTATAACATGGCATTCCCCGATACTTTTTAATTGTAAACACTTTCAGTTTATGAAAAAACATACTTATTATATGTAGAAATTGAATATCAATCTCTCAATAAAATGATTAATCAATTAAAGATGACATCACTGTTCTTATGCAATAAATAGTTCAGATATTCGAAGAAATTAGAGATGAAAGATTATGACTACGATATCCGCAAGTCAAATATTACTTTATCCGTAAATACATTATTGGGCATCTTGCTGAAACATTGTGGTTCTACTCGATCCTATACAGCGCTTTATTTATACAAAGGAATATGCCCGTTTGTGAGATAAAACAATGATCTGTAATATTTAAGACATATGATTTTATTACTTGTTCAACTAATATTATCTATATCATACAGTTGCTTTCTATTTTATAAACGTAAATAAAGCATACATATAAAAGCTACAATAAAAACTATATAATTCATAGAAAAAATACACAAAGGTACAAATTAAAAGTTATCTTGATTATAATCGTAATAGATTCAATGTTAAGTCGATGATATTTCCGCAATAGATTCTGCTACAAGATTTAATAAAACTTCAACTTTGAGTTTTAACATATTGTTTTCTTCTTGCAATACTTCAACTTGTTTTCGAACTTTCTGTGCAGTATTACTTGAAATTCCACCAAGCGCTTCGGCATTGGCTAAATAATAAAAAGATTCTTTACTTATACAGAATAAAGGAAGAATGAACTACCACACCTGTATTCCAATCACCACTCTCAATATCAAAAGCAATTTTTCGATCTGCAACTTTTACATCAATTAATCCATATTTTGGACCTAACTCATGATATAATTCATCAGCAGGTAATTTAAGTGGACTTCTTGAAACATATTTTCTTGGTTTTGTTTTTTTAACTGAAAAAGCACTCTTTAAAAACGACATGACTTCAATCTAATGTCTAGAGATATTTATAAATTCTATTAACCATTGAACATGAACAAATCGTTGCCATCGTATCAAAATGGCGCATTACTATCATGATTTAGACTTCTATTTGTTCATTCATACACCAATAGAAATAGAAATAATCGTTCAATTCAAATTTATCTATTTATTTATATATATTTATAGGATAATTTCTTTTTCTTCGTTTCAATATATTCCGATAATACTATTAATTATATGTCTACTTTGCTGTTAGTCATTTCGATAATAGAATTCCCTTGAAAAATTAATTATAATTCAATGATCTAATGGAAAAAAAACTATTACCACGACTGTTCATAATTTTTAGTTTAGATTTCAAAATAGAGTTTCACGAACAGAATAGAATAACATAAAAAATAGATCACACGCTGAAAATATAAAATTTATACTATTCGTTCTCAATAAACTAGACAGCAAATTAAATCAAATATGTTTCGAAATATAATTAGTAACATATAGCAAGTGCAATGAGTATTAAATAAATAAACTTGTGTTATATTCATTAAACTATTAAAAGGTGAATAATATTTATATTTTCCATATGATAATATTCTTCAAGGTGTATATAAATTATTCATCTGTATTTTTTCCCATTTCACAAATTTATTGACAAATCAAAAGTTTATGTAATTGCGAAATTCTATGTTATTAATTAATTAAATGCATACAACATACTATCCTCCTTTGTTGGTTTATATTTTCTAACAGATAGAATTGATTTTACTTTTTATTTATTTATTATCTCGTACTTAAATATGAAATAAAATTTATCTTTATATTCGAAATGCATTACTATTTTATATTTATTCATCTATCAGCGACAATTATACAGAACCGAAATAAATAACTGGAAAATAAAATCTCCAATATTGCATATAATTTGAAAAAATTAAATAATAACTTTTTTCAAAATAAAAATTCCAACTTGGGTTAGTCCCTCTCTACAGATGCAATTTAGTTGGTCTGTATTTTAACAGAGAAATATCTCACTAATCCGCCATATTGCTCATACGCTTGCCTGACTCTCGAAAAGTGTATTTGAGTGTATTTATATTTACTTCATATCATTTTCATAAATCTTATTATTGATTAAAGACTACCTTTATTTATTTTAGATTATGTCACCATACAAACAAAATGTCTAACGACAAGTAAGAATTTTTCATAATCATCAATTAATCTAAAATAATTTCTTCTAGGAATGACACCAACCAGGACTCAAGTACAGGTGTTCCATCTATGGAACCTGGTAAATAATACTAAAAAAAATGTTTATATTGAATATTTATTGAAAATATTTAGACGGAATAATTGAGAGCAATTGGACTGAAGTGGTTGAACAATTCGATCAGATGAACCTACGTGAACCACTTTTACGTGGTATTTACGGTTATGGTTTCGAACGACCTTCTGCCATTCAACAACGCGCTATCAAACCCTGTGTTTTGGGTTCGTTTCTCTATTCTTTTTCTTCTAGAATAAATCTCTATTTCAATAAATACTATAGGTCACGATGTGATTGCTCAAGCGCAATCTGGTACAGGCAAAACAGCAACATTTGCCATTTCAATATTACAACAACTCGATTCAGACAATAAAGATTGTCAAGCACTTATTTTAGCACCTACTCGAGAATTAGCTCAACAAGTATAATTTCAAAACTATATTCTTTTCTTATTTTTACATCCTTTTTTCTTCTTCACCATGTAGATTCAAAAAGTAGTGTTAGCACTCGGTGATTATATGGGCGTGACATGTCATGCTTGCATTGGCGGTACCAATGTTCGTGATGATATAAAACGACTTGAAACAGGTGTTCAGATTGTTGTCGGCACACCCGGACGTGTTTATGATATGATCAATCGATCAGCTCTTCGTATGATATTTATTATTTAAATATTTCCTATAAATATATATGTATACATATTTAGGTAGCAAAAATATTAAAATGTTCGTGTTAGATGAAGCCGATGAAATGTTATCACGTGGATTTAAAGAACAAATTTATGATGTATTCACAACAATGCCACAAAATATTCAAGTTATTCTTCTATCAGCTACAATGCCTAGCGATGTACTTGACGTAACAACTAAATTTATGAATGATCCAATTAAAATTCTTGTTAAAAAAGAAGAATTAACACTTGAAGGTATTCGACAATTTTATGTTACTGTCGAACGTGAGGTAAATTAAATAAACTATTATATTTGCAATTGTACATTCTATAATTTTATATGTAGGAATGGAAATTGGATACACTTTGCGATTTATATGAAACACTAACAATTACACAAGCCGTTATCTTTTGTAATACACGCCGAAAAGTCGACTGGTTAACAGAAAAAATGCGTGGACGTGATTTTACTGTATCAGCAATGGTAAGTTGATTTCAAAATTTTTATTTAACTATGTATCAGCATCGTTGATGATACATGCCGACGTTAAACGGAGAATTAGAAAGTCCTTCTAGTCTAACTGGTTTAGGAGATCTGCTTGGGTAGCAGAAGGTGTGAGTTCGAGCCCCAACAAGGTCAGCTTTCCCTTTCTCTTCTATGACTCGCATATGATGCTTATACTATGGCCAATATTACCAAGCATAGATTTGTCTTACAGTGAATCTATTGTACTGGACCTGGCCAAAAATTGAAATAAACATAATCAGTCGTAAAGTCATTCTGGTTTTAAATATAAATCGAGTGAACAAATATTGATTAACATATCTATTTCTTTCTTTTTGTTTATTTTATTTAGCACGGTGATATGGATCAAAAAGAACGTGACGTTATCATGAAAGAATTTCGAACCGGTTCTAGTCGAGTATTAATTACGACGGATTTACTTGCACGTGGTATTGATGTTCAACAAGTTAGTCTTGTTATTAATTATGATTTACCTAATAATCGTGAGAATTATATTCATCGGTAAGATCAATTATTTACAATAATTAAATATCATTATAATGTTTTGTTTATTTAAGTATTGGTCGTGGTGGTCGATTTGGTCGAAAAGGTGTAGCAATCAACTTTGTTACTGATGATGATCGACGAACATTACGTGACATTGAACAATTTTATAATACACAAATTCAAGAAATGCCAATGAACGTTGCCGATCTTATATAAAAAAGATAGACATATGTTCTTGTTCTTTCATCAATATCATCACAATCAAAGAAATAACATTCTTTTGCCATCTTATCTTTATTCTGATGATAACAAAAATAAACTTATAACTAACATCATAATTTGTTTTTTGTTTGCCTCTTTTCATCGAGATCTATAATGGACCCGCATATATACATATATATATATATAAATTTATCTGAAAAAAATCATAAAGATAAAAATTACTCCAGTCAAACTATGTTTTTTTTTTCGTTTTTTTGTTTCTCTTTCTTGTTATTTTTGTCTTTCTTTGTTTGTTGTTACGTTTTGTTCGTCGAACAGGGAAACAAGATTTATTTCATAACATAGATACTGTTAAGAAGATTAAGCTAATTAGCAAAATCGAATATATATATATATGTATGTGTATGGATTCTTTGTTCATTTTGTTATCCATTTATTCTTGACTTTTCCTTCGCTTTTTTACGCTTCACAACTTTATCAGTTACCTATCATCCACACACATACATATACATATAAAAAGTTTCTTTTTTTGTCTTATTGTTTTCATTTAGGAAAATATTGTATTTTCCTTGTTCTGTGTCTTTATTTACCTAAACCAAAAATAACGTATATATATATATATTATAAGGCAACAAAAATAATACGAATATTTATTTTTAATGCAAAAATGCAGCGATAGTATTTGATAAAATGAGTTTTACGTATATTCTTATTACCACTATAGTTCTTGTTTTTTTGCATATCTCCCAATAGATACTAAAGAAACTGAATAAATAATAGAAGACGTCTATTTATTTGTACTTTTCGCATGGTAAAATCAATAAGACCATACTTGTTCTGTCATGCGTATGAATATATTTCGTAATACTGAAACTATTCGCTTTTATATTCTCGCTAATATTTATCATCGATATAATTTCATATCGAAAATTAGTGAATTTAAGTATCTAAAAATATTAACGACAATTATCAAACAAAAAAGAAATAAGATAAATATCTTGATATATTCTTTCGTGACTCATTTGTACTTATCTTCAACTTGCATATGATTATTGTATAGATATATACAGAAAAGGTACATGTCATTGTTTAAATAACCTTGTTTCGATTATATGATTTATTATTTCTTTGTACGCTACTGATTACCAATCTGTTATCTAACCTCGCAATAAAATTATTATTTTCGCCTTTTTGATAAAGTTTATTAATGTATTGAGTTCAATGCATTTCTGATAAATGAAGCGATTTTGAAAGAGAATTTAATGTTCGATAAATTCTATCTCACAAACTATATTTACATAAGGCGTTACAACAATATTTAATCTTACAATTGTTATCATTCCATCCGAATTAATTGGTTTCTTTATTTGTTTAATTATCTGTACTGTTTATATCATTCTCATCATATTTATGATAATTACTAACTAATGATGAAATAAAACTTCATGATTGATCCTTTTTTTATAATTCTACCAGTGATGAATGACATCATAATTTCAAAATATCAAGTTTTAAGTACTACAATTAAAACATATACTGCTCTTGAAATTGTTGAAACAAAGTAGAATATCATGAAAAAAAGAGAAGTAAAATGTATAGTTTCATGTTTCAATAGGTAATGTATGTAGTAAGACGATGTAAGATTATTCTAACACTTTCTGCACTACAAAACAACAGTCATATATAGATGTATGAATAATAATGAACTGATTATAAAGAGATCTATCTATATACGTACAGTTTTTCGAAGAGTCTTGTTTATGAAGAGCGACAGTAAATACTGAGATATTCAACGAGATGTCATACCTAGTAATATTTTTCATAACATCCATCAAAATAAGTATTAATATTAGGTATGTAAAGATAAAATCTTGAACTTTTATTCTATTAAAAAAAAAGAAGAACGACAGAGTAATAATTTGAGCAGTAAGTCTTTTTCAAATAATTAATAGAGTGAAATGAAATATTTCAAAGGAAAAAGACACGTCTTTCAAATAACATCCAATAAGAAGATAAACTAATCGAGATCATTAGATGAAAATGCATCAGCACCACCTCCCATATCACCTAGTAATATACGAATATACAAATCAATGTAATAAAAAACAAATTAAGGAAACTAACCTGGAAAATCCGGAAAACCACCTCCTCCCATAGGTCCACCAGCACCACCAAATTTACCAGCGAGTTTTTCCATAACCTTGCGTACCTTTGGATTACTTTGATGAGCAGCTAGTTTTGATGGATCAGAACTAACTTCCTAAAAACAAATATTATTGTTACTATATCAAAATATTATGAATTAATTTTAAAATGAAAAACAAAAGATATCAGTATAATATCTTACTGAAAAAGCTTTTTGTACATCTGGATCTTGTAATGCTTCCATAATTTCTGGATCATTCATCATAGCACCTAATCCTCCTAAATCAGCTTCACCACCCATACCTGGAAAATCTGAAAATTGATGACCACCTGCAGAACGAGATTGTTGTTCTCGTGCTCGTCGTTCATTTTCTTCTTGTTGTGCTTTGGCACAGGCTTCTTGAGCTTTACGAATACGTTCTCGTTTAGCATCAGCATCTTTTGTTTCTCGACGTCGCTCATATTTACGTTTATGTTCAGTAACTTTTTTAGCCTAAAAAAAAATTGAACATAGATTCGAAAAATGAATGATAGAGATAAAAAAACACATACATTTGCTTCAACTTCTTTACACCATGTTTGAACATCTTCATCAAAATCAGATAATTGAGCTTTACAAAAATCTTTATAAGCTGCTTCCCAATTACCTAACATGCTAAAATAAAACAAATTTTATAATGAATATAACCAATATTTTCTCTACCGGTGAGCTTTTCCTCTCCATTTAAGTGCTTGTTGAGAATTTTCATTGATTTCTAAAGCACGATTACAATCACGTATAGCTGCATTTGGTTTTTGAAGTTTAATATAACATTGAGCGCGTTTAGCATAAAGAATAGCTGATTGTGGATTATTTTCAATAGCTTGTGTAAATAAAGTAATAGCTTCTTCAATAGCACCTTCAGAAAGTTTTGCCTGAGCTTCACTACGTTTTGTATCAGCTTGTTCTGACATAGCATCTGTTACCTAGTTCAATCGAAATTCTATTAACTAATAAGTATATATCAACACAAAATAATACTTCAACATTAGGATCACCCATCGATTGTGGTGCATCATTATCACCTTTAATCACACCGGTTTTGTCCAAATCTATTTCGATAAAAATTATTTCAAAATAATAAAAAAAAGCATAAAAATAAAGACTAACCTAAATCACTTTCTGGTTCGCTTTCAACTTTTGGTGGTTCTGCATGATGACTAGATGATTTCGTATATTCTTCATCATCTACATCCATCTTAGTTGATTCTGAACTTGAACTGGCATGCGTTTTTGTACTAGAAATTTTTGCGCCTAATCTAAATGATAATTAATCATTATAGTAAAATCTCAAGAATAGTAATATATTACTTGGTAAGCCATTGTCGAAAGAATTCCAATTCAGGTGCTTGAAGTAATTCAGGTTGTGCATCACATAATGAAATAAATTGTTTAAGAGGAGTTACGTGTTCACTTGGAATCTTTTGAGGCATTTTATGAATGTTTTAATTAATCTAAAACGAAATATTCATAAAGCGCCATCTAGATTTTTCGTTGTATTGTTTTTTACAGAAAAAGATGCGTCAAGTTTTCAAATAAAATAAGATTTAATAATTCAACAGTAAACATGTGTTAACTATAAAAATATGTTTTGAATAAATAGAAATAATATCGTACTTTGTCATAATAAAAACGTATTTAATAATTACGTATGTAAAGACAAAATAAATCAGACAGTTAAAACAAAATCATTCTTGGAATGTCACAATGACATGATTCGTCTTATAGATATAACTATAATATTTATAGTAGCGCCCTCCTTTTCCGAATAGAATACTATATAACAATAGTATTTTATGATAATCTTTTTGAAAATTTCATTTCCTCTTCAACAATATAGTCGTTTATCCTATTAAAATATAGATGGCATCAGTTAACCATTTTATTTCCTTTAGAGAGGAATAGAGATTAAATATAGTACGATAAATAATTGAACCATTCGTAATAAAAAATAAAATTTAGATGAATAAATGACAATATTAACTGAATTACAAACGAAAAATACATGACTACATTTAAAACACATGCATTTAAGACAAAAAGGGTAAATAATTTAGATAAGTTTCTTTGAGAGATCATTGTAATTTGAAATTACTGTTCACTTAAATGTTTCGATGATGAAATTGCACTAGATTCTAGAAAGAAAAAAGTAATTATCTCAATATATCCAGATTACAATTAAAAATGAATCTACCTGATAAAAGAGCTTGTTCAGGTACAACTGGTTCACTTGGTTGTTTTGTAGCCCATGGTTGAACTTCACCTGATCCAATCAGTAGAAAAACAACCATACCAATAATATATATTGTTGCACAAATAAAAAAAACAATACGCCAATTATTAGGATCCTATGTTTATAAATAGATTATTAGATCATAGGATTATTTTACAAAAAAAACTAACTTTCTCTGTAAGAGCACCAACAATATATGGACTAATAATACCAGGTATAGTAGCAAATGTATTTGATATACCAAAGACAATTCCTGCATAAGCTGGAGCAATATCATTTGCAGTTAACATAAAACCTCCACCATAGCAGCAACCACTGCATTCATCAAAAAAGATCAACATAAATCTTAAGAATTTTAAAATACCTACGTAAAAGTAACACCAGTTGTTAATAAAGCAACTGCCCAATATTTGAGTTTACATGTCATAAATGCTAAACCAATAACAAATATGGCTGGAAATAAATTTCCTAATACATTAAATACTTTTCTTGTTTGTGTTCTTGTTAAAATTTTCTTTCGAATAAACATATCAGCTATAACACCAGATATATTTATATTAAGCCAAAATATCATATAAGGTAATGATGAAAGTAAACCATTCTAAAATAATTCTAATTAATATGAAATTTGATTATCTTTTATTATTAATTACTTACAGATTTAATATCAAATCTTAATACTTCAGCCATATATTTTGGAATTGATGTGAGAAATGTATATGTTCCCCAATTATTACATGTATGAATAATGAAAAGTCCCCAGCAAGCAGGTGAAGTTAACATAGCTTTCCATGGAGCTTCAAATTCATTTTTACTATGACTAGATAATTGTTGTTGAGTACTATCAAGAATATATTCTTTTTCTTCATTACTAATACAACGTTGATCACGTGGTGAATCAGTATAAAATAAAAGCCAAAAAATACCCCAGATAAGACCAATAATACCTGTTGAATAAAATATTAATGGCCAACCACCAACAAAATTCCAAGAACACATTAATCCACCAATAGATAATGTTAGTACATTTCCAATTTGTGCACCTATTTCATACGAATATATGTTTATAATATATTTAAATAAAAATACTTACCAGCATTCATAAAACCAACAAGTTTTCCTCTTTCATCCGGTGGTGCCCAATGTGCCATTATTACAGTCATACATGGCCATATAACTCCATGTGCAAGACCAACGATTAATCGAAAGAACCAAAGTACTGCATAATGTAAACTTGCACCCCATGGCATTAATAAAGTAACAATACCAGAAACAATCATTGCTATACCAAATATATATCGAGCACCAAATCGAACAGCCAAATAACCACCAGGTATTTCAGTAATTAAATAACCCCAAAAATAACCTCCTAAGATGATACCTTGAGTATTTTTTGACCATTGATATGGACCTTCCTGTGAAAAAAAAGAAATATAAAATATAAAATTCTATTATCATATAAGATATTTTTTTCTATTACAAGTTCAACTGTATTATTGGCGCGTGGACAATCAATATCAGCTTGTGTAAGAGGCATAGCAACAGAATATTTTTGATTATCAATAGCTGAATGATTGACCATACAAACAAGAGCAATACCAACACTAATTTTTTGTGAATAATGTGCAATCATGCCAAGAAATCCGACAAAAGCAACAGCAACACGAATTGAACACCAGAAAGAAACTATATAAACATGAGGTTATATCTTTCGAAAACTAAACATATTCATAATAACTTACTCGACCGTGAACGTTCCATATCTGTTTATTTCGTTGTATCTTTTTTGAAACAAATTTACTAATAAAAAATTTTTTTTTTCTATAGAAAAACTAATATTTATTTGGCGCTATTATGTATTGTAAACGATTTCGATGTTACGCTATAAATAACTCCAAATCAATAAGGAAAAAAAGAACTAGCTATACAATACTCGTTTGCTTTTATTACATAGAAGATTATCTATTCTGTTCTCTTTTTTTGCTGACATCACTTTTCTTTTTCCATATATTTCCATGACAAAAATTCGGTACATTTGCTTTATAGAAAAAGAAGAAGCAAAAACTGCTCTGAAGCTAAAATAATATGACAGTCATAGAAAACATCTATGCGCATGACGTCTATATTTATTTATTCTACAAAAAAGATAATTGTCCACAGTTGTAATCACATAGATAAAATATTATAAAATTAATTAAGATTGAATTAATAATATAATTTATTCTTTTTTTTATGTTAGTCTGAGAATAACTCATTAGAAGTAAAATGTATGACGAATGTTAAAGGAAAGTATTCAGAAAAGTGCTATTAACTATGATTGAAGGGACAGTTGAGATAAGGTTATTTTTATAACTTATCGATGAAAAGTGCTGACTAATGTGACATACCTATAATAGAATCAGAATTAAACGGAATTCAATGATGAAAATAAATACTGTTTTTATGCTACAAACCAATAGAGAGAAATTGATTATCTTGTTATCGTATCATTTTATTGAATACTACGAATATATATAAATAGAAAAAAATTGTTTTTTTAATAGTTAAAAATTATTAAAATAATTGTTTTACATGAAGTATAATGCAGCTATCTTGAGGGTGGATATGGGTGAGTATGGGTGTGGGTGTGTAAGGGAAACAAAAAACCAGTGTCACATTCAGACCCACACCCATACCCTAAATAAACCGAACCATGATATAGCCAAATTTTAAAAAGACTTTTTGGCGCCGAACTCTAAACAAATTTTAATATTTTTTACTTCACATTTAATTGTCGACAAAGAGTGCCTGTTAGCGAAGTGATTGTCGGCCATATGATTGCCTCCCATTTACCGTTCTAAATGTTGTATCGGTAATTTCTTTTACTTTTCCATTTACATTTGCTGTTATGTACCGATTCACTTCGATAATTGCTGGATACGTGATTGATTTTTCATTATCTTTCATTACGATGTAGATCAAACTAGTGTTTGCAGCCATTAATGGTACCAAATTAATTTAATAAAAATCTAAAAAAGAGAAAATAATTAAGAATGAGTGGAAATATGTAAATAAAATAACCATAACAGTCACAACGCGACTAACACGTTGTTTATACCCAAATCGAACATAACGGGTATCGAATCCCACAGAAAAGACGCGGGAAAGTCACCGGATCTTGCAGGAACGCACTGATAATCACCGGAAGTGGAAACAGTATTCCGCCCGGAAATTTTTTTCCGTGGATCCCAGTCAATTGCTTATTCTTTTCCTACAGCAACCGATGGGAAATCATCATGTCTTTTAACATGGGTATATATGATAATGTAATACAGTATCCGAGAAGAAAAATAGAATGAAAGAAAAAGAAATCTCTCTTAACCTTAGAAATATCGTACGTGTGATGACAAAACAACAGAAGTATCATTCAATGAGCTAATAATTGCTATTTATTTCGTATGTAATGATTATCCTTATTGTACATGGTAAAGACGGACAGTTTTGTTCTATTTTTCATTTTAGTTAAATGAAGTCTCAAAATATGCATTCGTACATGTATTTTATACCGAAATGTTTAGATTTGCACGAAAGGCAGGTTTCGAAAAATACTAAAAAGTTTCCACTATCATCCATTGCCACATATAAGATCTATGAAATATAACAGAAAAAAACGAAATTATACTCGTTCCGAGGAAATTTCGCCTTAGTTTATATATTACTACATCACATAACTTATAACATCATATATATCTAAGATATATGAAGAATAGAAGAAAAAGAAATTATAGAAATTACCTTGAAATTTCTGTATTTACTTTTTATATTCTACCCTACCTCGCTATAATATGTATATCATATTATATATTATACACATCGATTTTACTCTTCATTTCTATATTTTCTACTTATCGTATTTACTATCGAAAAACGTCATTATCATGAACTTCATTTATTATAAAACTGTTGTATTTTTTTGTCAACAATAATAGCAATATAGATTCGCAATATTCTTATTTTCGATCTTACAGAAACAAATTCATCTAGGAGTTGTCAAATCTAAATAATCTCCAAATCTTCTAGTAGCAACATCCATCTCATAGACAATGTTGTCAACAACTACATCAATCAGTCAGTAATATGCCACGCGAACCATAGTGTCTCTTTTAAGTTGCCAACCGATCAATGGTTGTTTAGTTGGAGAACTATTCTCTTAGAAGTTCCTATTTTTTATTTACTGAATGTGTTCGATAATGATAAATAACTTTCAGATAAGATTTCTCTTTGGATATTTATTTTGAAAGTTAGAAGTTAAAAAAAATAGCTGAAGGTTAATAACAAAATCACATGTTATACTAATTATCGGTTCATAAATAATCACTTCAAACACCATTCCACATTAATGTCGTCTTCGTCGCTTTCTTTAAAATCATTATAAGCAACCCATTTTAAATAAAATGTGTTCAAATATTTTGGCTTATTTTCCACTGTGCCGTTATTTTTCAGACGCATTGTTTTTTTTTAAATGAACTGCATATTGTTATTATCTTTTATTTTCACTCGTAATCGGCAACTAAGTATTTATTTCTCAATTGGAATTAAATCCAAGAAAACGCCATTGGAAAATACAACCATATTAGTTATGTTAAAAAATGTTTCATCGAACTTCTTTGTTTCTTTTCATTCACGTTCAATATTATATACCTCTCAAATGTACATGTAGCTGGTAATTTAATTTTTTTTTCTTGTTCTATCATAATCATATAAATTTCATAACTTCTCGATGCCATTGATGATAAATCAATCTAATAAAAATTCAAAAAAGAAAAAATAATATATATGTCATGAAGATAAAATGATTAAAAGTAAGTGAAAAGATCTAAATGAAATAAGGATAACAGTCACAGCATGATTAACATGTTGTTTATACCTAGGTCGAACATTTAGGCTATTGGATCCCGCAGGATCCTGCAGGAACGCATCGATAATCACCAGAAGTGGAAACAGTATTCCGACCGGAAATTTTTTGATTTATTTCTCGTAGGTTTCAGTCAATTGCTTATGCTTTCCTACAGCAACCAATGGAAAATCATCGTGTTTTTTGACGTGGGCATGTATGATAATGTGATATACTATTCTAGAAGAAAAATGGAATGAAAGAAAAAGAAATCTCTCTTAATCCTAAAAATATCGTACCTGTCATGAAAAAACGATAAAAGTATCATTCATTGAGCGAATGGTTGCTGTTTATTTCTTGTGTAATGGATATAGATTCGCGATATTCTTATTATTCGATCTTGCAGAAACAAATTCATCTAGGATTCACCAAATCAAAATAATCTCTAAATCTTCTAGGTTAGATTTAAAATGGAAGACCTTTATCTAAAGTCTGATATGGCGTGAAATTTATTTCATACCTAACTGTAAAAGACCAAACGAATTTACTAAAGTTTACGGATGAAAAAAAACACTATTTTATCACATTCACATGAACTGGAAAGGATTTTTTTATAAAATTTTCCTTCGTATCGATGTAATATTTATATTTTCATTCAATATCTATCATATGATTTGTTAAATTGTGAATGGTACTTATAAGATGTTTCCAAACAAACTATAAAAACAACCTTGCATAATTACTAATGTCAATGATTTTTTTTCTTTTCTAATGAGATGTTGAAAACAAAAACAATGCTCGTGAAACAAACAGACGATAGTGTATGAGTTCAAACATACCCGCTTAATTTAACGTGAATTAACCAATCATGTTACTTTATTTTTTCAGTCTGTTTCATTCCTATGCCATTACGTATATGAATATATATATTAATTCGAGTAAGATGAGTATCAAAATCATGAGCATTACTACATTTGAGTCGTTACCTATTGATGTTATTTTTTATATATTCAAATATTTATCTCCTATTGAGATTATTCAATCATTTTCATCAGTAAACAAACGATTATTAAGAATGATTATGTATGAATATTTGTGGCATATTCATATTGCTGATTCTACAATGTCATTGTTAATGTTTACTGATTATTGTCAGAAAATCTTGAAAGTAATTGGCAGTAGACTTGTTTCATTACGTGTGACGTTAACAAATGTTATTGGTGGATGGTCACTGATCTCATCATCTCTTCGATGTCATCTATCATTATCACTGCAACGTCTTCATCTTATTGACATCAAACCATATGAATTCGATAGATTATTACGGAGTCATCTAATAAAGCAAATACATACTTTAATAGTTGATGTAATCGATTATAGTTCTTTCAAGGAGCAAAAAATCGAAGGACTTTACTTAACTAAAGTAAGAAAAAACATTTGAATTATAAATAGAATTTGAATTGATTTCGTCTATTTTTAAAGGTATGTTCACAATTGCCTCGTCTAACAGTTTGTCAACTTCCGTTTGATATTTGTTATGAAAAACAAATCCAATTAGATCAATATTCATTAATGCCACGAATTTATTTGCCGAATATATCGAACACTAGACATCTTCGAAAATTGATTCTCGGTATGAATTCATCATACTTTCTGGAACGTTTACTTACTTGTATACCATTGATTGAAAATCTTTCTATTGGCGTGAAAGATCCATCGATAAAGGACAAAAATTACTTCAATATAAGATCGTATGTACTATTATTTCTAATATAAAATGTAAAAGTAACGTTAAATATTTTAGTTCACCTATCAATGCTCGTTTTCTTTTATATCTATCTAAATTATCAATAATTTGTGCAAATAATCATAGTTTTCATCGTTCTATGACAATTTTATCATCTATATTGAACCAATTGAGTCATCTATCATTGAAATTACATGAATACACATATATATCTGATCCATTAATTATATCAAGTGACATTATCCATCAATTATGTCTCAGTCGACTCAATGCATCAGCAACATATGATCTTAATCTACTTTTTCGTATTATGTACGATGTCGAAGAAAAAAGAATTTTGAATTCATTTATTAATAATCTGTTTGTTTATCGACAACAGTCAAAAATATTTATCCAAGAAACTAATCATGATGATATTGATAGTAATTGTCATAGTTTCATTGTTTACACGATACTTTACAATGACAAAAAGTTTTCATCTCATTTACTGTGTAGAAATTCTCAGATGTACGTACAAACTATTTGATTTGTGTCAAAAAACAAATGAAATTGTTTTATTTTAAAATAGATTTTCTCAGACGACAATGAATTCATTGAAATTGTTTCGGCATGTTCAAGAATTTCACCTCAATGGTTTTATGTATAATAGCTGTTTTTCAGACCTCACGGATTGTACTAGTCTCGCATCTTCAATGGTTCCATGGTCATCATTAACAAAAATATCAATTTGTGGGACTGATTTTATTAAGTCTAGTTTATTAGAAGCAATATTAAAAATGGCATTTAATGTACGTACATTAGAAATAAGTGATGATATTGGTCGTCTACCTTGTATGATATTACGTAACAAGAACAATCTAGGAAATCGTATTAATGAACAAGTAAGTATTCGTTTTCTAATAAAGAAATAAAATTAATTGAACTTATATAATAATTATAAGTTATAATGAGTATTTGTTAGTTTCAGTCAAGTTATTTCTATTTTCGAAGTTTGATATAAGAGAAAGATGACTATTATAAATATTTTAATTTTCCATGTAATAAAATTTTTTTTAAATTAGATACAATCATTAAATATATGGGATTGTACGATAACATTATTGAAAGCTGAACGATTTTGCATACGATTGTACAATCAATTACCCAACTTGAAAAATCTCACGTTTCATATTTTTAATTCATATAACTTTCAAGAATGGAAACCATTATGCGTTGTTGATGGTAAAAATAAATCTACGATTATGATTGTAAATATTATTCGTTTTATTATTGACAAATTCCAAGAGCTTGTCTCATTCTATATATATTTTATGCGACAAGCTCAATATCATTCACCTTGTTTTCCTCATCTAATTCGAAAACAATTACATGAACAACCACTTAGTCGACCGTATCGTTTACGATGTACGGATGAAGCTATTCAAATTTGGATTTAATCAAAATATTCATTATATTTTTATATCTTAACTTGTTATAATAAAAGTAGAACGTTGAACCTTAACATGTTTTATAATGTAAATATATCACACAAACTAAATAAATATTTCCAGTAAAATTCATCGTACTAGTAAAGAAAAAGAATTGTATTTCTTCTTCTTCTCTTCTCAGAGAACAAAAGAAAACAGTTTCTTCTCTCTTTTTTCTTTTCTTTCTATGTGTTAAGGAACGATCATCAAAGGAAAATGACTATTAAGAAGAAGTTTGAGAAATGATGCTGACACTCATTTCACACGTAAGCTTCGAAATAGTTATCTTTATTCTTTGTAGAGAAATAATCAAACGTATAATATTGTTTCAAATAATTTTACTTATCGTATATGTTCTCTTTGATTATTATGATAATTCAACTTCTAATCGATTTCCTGATGTACAAAATGGAACCCATCTTTGATCATTATGTCTCGCTGATGACAATTATTTTCGTATAGCACGTTTATTACCATGTCAATCTGTTGAATATACTGAAGGACCAAAAAAACAACTTTATTCCTGTACTAATTTGATCAACAAATGAACTTTCTATAGAAAATACTTTACAAGCACAAAAATGGTCATTTGATCATCAACATCCAATAAATTGTACAAATAAACGATTTGCAATCATTCGACAATTTGCTTGGTCAGGTTTTGGATCAATTGTCTATTAAATTGCAGGAACATTTGGTATGACATTAGCAGATCATAGAATTGCTGTTTATGTACGTCGATCAGATAAATCTACTGGAAGAGAAATGTTTCGAGCTTATTCTTTAAAAAAATATTTTGATCTGTTTGATGCAGATGCTCGACGAACAAATATTACAAATATCTATTCACACTCTGAAGATAATCAAGTATTCAATTTATTTATTTTTATTTTGTTGTTTCGTATCCTACAACAGATTGAAAATACACCTAAGTATTTATATATCGTAGAGGAACAATCCATGAGCATGAATTATTGTAGACTTTCCTTAGTTTCAATTCGAATGCGCTATATCATTAGTTAACCATGTCATGTAATTCATAACAAATAATTTATTTTTAATGAATAACAAAAACAAAAAAAATGCGATTTCTTTATATAACATTAAATGTTAATAAACTCTATACAAATAGGATAAAAACATGGAATATAATAATTAGTTCAATAGCCCCTCTATATTTCCCTAAATTTGAGTAAAATTCTCATGTCAAGAAATGACTAGAATGTATAAAAAAAAATAAGATCATTCTAATTCTTCTTCTAAAGATCAGTTTTTATACATGTTTTAAATGTATATTCAAGATTATATAAACTTGTTGATAATCGATTAAATCCATTAATAAGTGACACAATTTCTGATCGTTGTAATTGTATTGGACTTTCAGAAAAAAGAATTTTTAACGATGTACCTTAAAAAAACAAATTTATTTAGACAATTAAGAAAAATATTTTATTCTACCTAATGCTTGTATTTGTAATTTTCCCCATAGTTTACATTTATCACAACCAACACAATCCATGATACGAGTTATATTTCTAAAATGTTCTTTAAATTCAGTTTTTAATAAATCATTTCCATTCTGAAATAAATTTTGTTCATCAAAATAATTTGCAAATGGTTTAATTTCTTTTAATAAATTATTTGTTATTAATTCTTTCGTATGTAAATCATCAATTTCATTTCCAGTAAAATATGTTTGATCTTGTAAGAATTTTCTTGCTTTGTAAATAGCACGTAATTCAATTAAATAAATAAAATAAACATTTTTTAACCATTTTGGTCCTTCGCCATCGGTTGTTTCTGGATCAAAACGATGTTTAAATTCATTTAGATTAGGTCCCCATCGTCCATCTACACCTGAATAACCACCACCAATTGTTGGAAAAAAATATTGTGCACATAAATGTATTGATATACTTGTATGAAGACCTGATATAAGACGATAAAATGTTCGTCCTTCAACACACATTTTATGTATATTTAAACGTTTTTGTTGAAGATTATAGAAAATTTTTGAATCAGGAAGAAAAAAACAATTTTCATTATAGATTGCTGACCAAACTCTTTGAGCAGATGGTCCTGTATAACCAGTATAACGTTCAGGATTAATTAATAAATCAATATATTCTAAATCAATTGATGTTTCATCATCAACATAACAAAAATTTTCCGATTGTTTATCATCAAATTCAATCCAATTTTCAATAGTTTGTTTATGTTCTGTACTTAAATTTTTATTAACTAATCCAAGTGTAGAATTTGTATCAGTTGCTAAACAATTTTCATTCGATTGTGCGATTTTATTACGTAAAGGTTCTGGTACTTGTTCAATTGGACATGGTTGTATTGCACATGATCGACGTGAACATTGACCATCATCAAACCAAAATTGACATTTTTTACGTAGATTAACTGGATAAAATCGAAAATAATTTTTATTAACTATTTGTTGTAATAATGGACGAAGACGTTGATTATTCAGTTCATGTAAATCGGATATTCGGCAATTACAATCATCAATTTTATCATTATCATTAATTATTTTACATTCTTCATTACTTGATACTTTATAACAATAAATAATTAAGATCACAAATGATAAGCAAATATCTTTAATCATTTATATCAAAAATCACGAAAAAAAAAAATTCAATTGAATTTGTATGTGTCAGTTGGACAATGACTCATCAAAGTAATGTACAGAAGGTACAGAATAGATAAAAAACACTTGTCACACCCGCACAATTAAACTATAATTATTTGTTTGTAGCGCTATCATCGTATTCGATAAAATCGAACCAATAAAAACTGTTCGGGTTTTTTCCCTTGTTTCATACACGAATTTTAATTTAATTGTTATCTCTCCAAGAGTTATCTCAATCATTTATACGTATTCTGAACAATAATGGCATTTACTTTTGTAGCACTTGCTTATATTATTGCACTTATTCTTACTGCATTACTCATCTTTTTTGCAATATGGCATGTAAGAAATTTTTCTTTATAATTCATATAGATATTTATTTATTTTTGTAATAGATAATTGCTTTTGATGAATTAAAAAATGATCATAAAAATCCAATAGAACAATGCAATTCATTAAATCCACTTGTATTACCTGAATATGCAACACATATTTTTATTAATTTTCTTTTTCTTATTGGTGGTCAATGGTTAACATTATTTTTTAATATGCCATTAATTGCATATCATATTAATAAATATCGTACACGTTCAATGATGAGTGGATTTGGTGTATATGATCCAACAACAATAATGAATGCTCATATATTAAATTTAGCACAACGTGAAGGATGGATTAAACTCGGTTTTTATATGGTTACATTTTTTTACTATCTCTATTGTATGATTGCTGAACTTATTCGTGAATAAATCAATAAAAAACGATTTTATCTCTCTGTTGTTATAATTCATTTCTATTGTAAATTTTCTTCTTGTGTTCTTTGTTTAAGATAATATATAATCAAATAGATATTTGAACATTGTGTACATAATTTCATATATCAAGTATTTATATTATTTCATTAATTTCTAAATCTTGTATTGACTGAATAAAATACTAGCAAGGTTATAGAAACAATAATTAATTATTGTAAGTGCGTATTGAGCTAAAAAATAAATTAACGGTTATTCTATCGACTTATATTCAATATTCATTTATTTTTCTTGCCTCGTTTATCTATTTCTTCTCTGAAAAAAATACAATAAATCACATGTTATGTACGCACGAATTTAACGGGTGCATATGGAGAAATTGTTAAAATTTTTCTTTAATATATATTTATGTTATAAAAGCATTGTAATTTAGTATAAGGATGTATGTTATCTATACGAATATTAGTAGTAATAAGAAAAACAAACGATACACAATTATAATAAAAAGGTTAACTTGATAATTTATATTAGTATTTAATAATTTATTATCTTTGCTTGATAATTATATTTTATTTATTTTGTATTCAAGATGGATCCAAATGAACTTAAACTTCGTAATGTTTTAATTGATATTGATCATAAATTATCTGTGAATGATCGTCATATGCTCAGTTTTCTTCTTGATGCCGATGTACCACGACGAGATCTTGATGCTATTGCTGATAATCATCGAACACCAATGAATATTATATGGGAAGCATTAATTAGTCGACAAAAAATTACTCCTGATAATGTTGATTATCTTATTGTTCGTCTTGATGAAATTGGACGGAAGGATTTAGCACGTACATTAAGAGAATATTCAGCAACAGCAAGATCCAATAATCGAAATGAACCACTAAACAATGCTTCGAATTTATTTAATCGTTTTAATCCATAAACATCATGAAACTATTTGAAATTTTTCATAATCTGCTTGTTTTTCCCCGAAAAGAAAAAAAAACGCAATCTGTTTTGTTTTTGCTTTGTTATATTCGCTCAATAATATTTTATGTGATTTATATTTCATTTTAGATTGTAATTTAACTATTAAGTTAATGCCATCGGATATTCAGTTTCGTCAATTATTACTCGATGTTGAAAATGACTTAACCGATGAAGAACATAAGAGATTTGTTTTTCTACTTGGTGATGATATACCAAGACGACAGCGAGATGCACCACTTGTGGTCATTTTCACAACATTAATCGATCTTGGACGTATATCAGAGAGAGATTGTAGTTATTTAATGAAGATCTTCGAAGGAATGAAATTACTTACCGTAGCTTACAGAATTGCTGAATTCGAAGCTCGTAAGTAACTATTATTATTGTTATTTCTTTTATTCATTGAATACTTAATTTTAAAGGATTTGCTCCTCCTGTAAAAGTGCCTGAAGATATTCAACCAATAGAAAATGGTCGTAATAACAGTATAACCCCTGATGAATTAGTAAATGATTTTTTAACAGATGGGGTGATAATATCTGGTGAGAATGAAATAATTTCAGTTGACCATTATCAATATTTATTCTTTTAGATATTGAACAAACTAGTTCACTTGATTCACCAGTCATTAATGAACCTGTAACCCCAATAACTACTTTATCTTTGAAGAATAGCGATCTAGAAATATTTGAGAATGATATATGGTCCGATGAATTTCTTCAAAAAATCAATGTGAAAAATATTCGACCTTACGAATATCAACGTGTCTTGGTACAAAGTGCTATTCAAGCAGGAAATACAATAATATGTTTACGAGCAGGTGGTGGTAAAACTCTTGTTGCTGGTTAGTTCCTTTTTCCTTTTCTTTTACTTTGATTATTATGTTTTTGTAATGATATTTAGCTTTATTATTTAAATACTATCTTATCAAAAAAACAACATCAGAAAATGACAAGAAATTCTTAGCATTTTTCATTGTACCACGTCGTGCAATGCTTAAAGAACAGTTAGAAAAATTAAAACAAGTTGGAAATCTCCGAGTCGTAACATGTGATGAGCATATCGATGTTACACAGTATACTGATAATTATGATATTATTATTTGTACACCACAAAGACTTCTGAAGTAAGTTTTTATTTTCATTTATAATTCTTTTTTTTTTAAAAATTTAATTTATTTAATAGTTGTTTGAACGCTAAAACAATATTGGTATCTAACATCGATTTACTTTGTTTTGATGATTGTCATGATAGTGTAACACGTAATCAATATATTGGAATAATGCAATATATTATGTGTAAAAATATCGATTACATACCACCAGTTGATTCTCCACCAATCATTATTGGATTAACAGCAATCGGTTAGATTTTAATTTTAGACTCATTCACATAGAATTTATAACAAACACAGCCTTTTCATATTCTCATTATAGGTGTCCAAAGTTTCTCTTCTTCTCAAGTCATCCGAAGTTTAACTGATCTATGTGCAATATTCAATTGTTTAAAAATAACTACATTATCAGAAAAAGAAAATGAAGAAGAACTTGAACGATGTGTAACACGTATATCTGATGATGAAATTATTTATGTTGAGAAACAAGATAAATATGAAACATTAAGGAAAACAATTGAAAAAGAACTTAAAGATTTAATCTTATATTTATTTATTAATAAAGATACAAATCCATTACGTATTTTTCCTGAAAAAAGATTCGATGAAAATGGATATGACCAAAATCTTGAATTATTAAAACAATCCGAACAGAAAAATCAACATTTTTCATCTGTTCTTTTACTTAATTATACTCTTCATATTTATCGTCATTTACGAGCTTTGACAGATTTAACACCTCATATGGTTCTTTCGGATCTAAAAGATCAGTTTGAAATTATGTATAAAGGTCGAGAACATCCAATTAATATAGATACATTGATTTATAATCATTGTCATGATATATTCGAAAAAAAATTAAAGGAAATTGAAGATTCTGAGCAAATATTAACAAATTCAAAATTGGAAAAACTTGTTGAATTACTAAAAAACCATGCAAAAAATACAAATAGTCGAGGTAATTGAATATTTGTTAGTTTTCCTTTTTGTTAATAAAATTTTATTTTGTTTTAGCTCTCATTTTGGTTGAAAAAATATTTTATGCAAAGAAAATTTGTGAATTCTTAGAAAATCATTCAGATTTAAAAGTTTGTCAACTATTCTTACTTTTTATTTCTTAGTTTGATTTATTTACAAATAGAATATTATTAAACCATGTTGGTTAGTTAGTCAAAATAGTGCTGGTAATGTAAAATTAAATAGAAGTCAAAACACAACATTAGAAGAATTTCAAACTGGTTTGTTTATTTTAAAGTCATACATATATTTTTTTAATAATAATAATTATTATTATTAGGTGTTCATAATGTAATGATTTCTACTGATGTTGTACAAGCAGGTTTAAATATACCACAATGTTCATTAGTATTAAGATATGATGTATGTAAATAGCTTCGAAGAGAGATTAATTAGAAAAATAAAATTTCTTTTTAGTTTGTTCCTGATAGTATTGGAACAGTTCAAGCACGTGTTCGTGCACGAGCTACAGACTGTAAATATTATCTTATCACTACAAAAGGTAATACATCTGTCATACAAATTAATATTCATATCATGAAAGCATGTCAATTTTATCTAGCATTGTTACTCTTAAACGTTTAATAAAGTAAAACTATAGAACATACAAAGGAATAAAATCATATCTTAGCAATGTTACTTAAAAAAGGACATTGATTTTCACTTTTTGCAGCTTAGTTTAAAAAAGTTCGTGATTAAGAACATTATTTTCGGGTCATGTACAGATTTACTTTTCGTTAGCGACGTAACGGAGTACGAGTATTCAAAAGAAAAACTGCACTTATAAGTGAATGTGGAGTATGAGAAGAATTCCAAAAGATACAAATTCTTTCCCATGACCTTCATATAATGATAAGACAGACATTTTTGTTCTATGGATGTTACTCTGACCCTAGAGTCTACCATCACAGTTATAGATATTTTCTTCAAATGGTTCGATGATGTTCACTGAATACTGATTGATTAATTAGTTAATTAATTTTAATTAAATAGCAGCTGAAAGCGTCAAGATTTTTACATATATTTGTGCAAAATGAATTTATTCAGGAGAAACATCCGTATAAAAAATTAAAGTCAAATAAAGGCGGTATCCAGTCAGACAGAATAGGTAAAAAAAACCACGTTAATAACGCGTAAATACGGCGTTTTTTAACTCAGGTAGACAAGCGTTACAACACGCCATATTTACTTGTTTTTCGGTGAAAATAAGAAAAAGAAACGGTTCTGTCTGACCTAATAAATGTCTTATTCGGCTCATATATATTTCTGATTTCTTGTAAATATTTGTTCAATAAGAATATAGACTTATTTATTTAGATTCTCCGAATCATATTAAAGAGCGAGATAGTCGTCAATGTGAACAAAACTTAAAAAATATTCTTGAAATATGGAAAGGAATTTCTCTTGATGATTTTCGACAAGGAGTTTTACAAGCTAAAGTAAAGAAATTTTCTTTCATCTATTTTAATATTAGACTTTATTTCGTTTAGGAATCGTTTATTCAAAAATGGGAAGAGAGTCTTCTAAAAACTATAGCATTACAAACAAATATTTCTGAAAGTACTGAATTAACTGGAGATATTTTATGTAGAGCTTGTGGTTATTTACTTGGAAAACTTGACAAAGTTTGTCAATATGAAAACGCTCATTTTATTAGTGACCATGATTTCTATAATCGTATCGAAGAAAAAATATTCAATCAACCACAAATATATGCGAGAAGCTCAGATATTGGTAATTTATTCCATTATTTTTTTAATTATTCATTGAAATTTTTTTGATTTATATTTCAAGGTAAAGCGTTATGTGGAAGTAAAAACTGCCGTACTCAACTTGGATGCATTAAAAAATTAAATGATTATCCAGAAATTAGTCCTATTTATCCATTAAAATGTGCATCGATTAAAATTAAATCTGAAACAGGAGAGATGATCTTAAAAAAGAAATGGTCACAAATGCCGTTTAAATTTCCAAAGCTTTCGAAAAATGTAGATATAAATAATGATGATGATATATTTTATGATGCTTCTGATAGTCTTCCCGGTGATTCATAGAAACACGAAATATTTTTATCTCAGTTCTTGACTCTATTCAACCAACGATAGTTTTCATAATGACCATTACATTATTTTAACTATAATGTATTAATAGTTATTATGATACTTAAAGAATCGATCCATCTTTTTTTTTTTTTAGTTTTTACTCAGGAGAAAAATTTAATTTGACAACTATATTTAATTATTTAAATAAATAACTATTCAAAATTGTTTCTTTCTTTTTGTAACGTACAGACTATCAGGAAAGAAGGAAACTACTTTGATTAGATGCTTCAAATCAGTTTCGTTTCACTGAGAGTTAATAAGACAATATTTTTCTAGTTTTAACTTTACTGTTGAGATCTTTGACGTGATCAAATAAAATTTGTTTCATTTTATATTCGTTTTTTCTAATTCTAAAAAATATTAAATTAAGTCTTGTATATTGTAATGAAGAAATGTGAAAAATTCTGTCAAATCCAGTCTAACGACATTGTATTTCATATACTCAAAAGTTTATAGAAAATATTGAGATATTTTAATTATCATACAGAGCATTAAACAATAAATAGAAAAGTTTTGAATGTATTTTTTGACAAAAAGAAGTAATTCTAAGTCAACTTTATGATTTTCTAATGTTGCTATATTGAAATAAATTTTTAGAAAAGCTGTAAAAGGCTTTGTATATCTATCTGTTTATCACTGTATTATGTTAATAAATTTTGTATTTTCAGACTACACTAAGTATTTGAATGGACGAAGCAGATACAACCTTTCGCATAGTTTTAATAAAAATTCAACATTCACTTTCGAATGAAGACCGTCAACAATTGAATTTTATCTTTGGTAATGATATCCCACGCGTTTTACGTGAAAAAGGTTCACTTGAAAATTCACTAAGTGCATTACAGGCACTTTTTGATAGGTTAAAAATATCGAGAGATAATTATGATTATCTTGTTCAAGCATTACGAGCTATTGAACGTCATGATTGTGCACAACAACTAATTGGTAAAATTCTAAAATCCTTTAATATAATATGAATGAAGTACTATTTCCCTTAGATTATACTAAGTTTACACGAGAAATTATACCACCTCTACCAAATGAGCAACACCAACAAAACCAAGCTGAAACAACAATCGGATCACTAATAACTAAATCACAAGTAGTTGCTTCAGAAATACTTGCGGATCTTGAAGACGAAGATGATAATGTGTGTGTTCTAAGTAAGATTATCATCGAAAAACTTCTTCAATAACATATTTTTTGAATAGAAACTGAGACACCTTCAATTCGATTTAATTCACCTGAACCAGATCCTATGAATTTTGATATGATTGATTTAAAAATATTTGAAAATCCTGAGTATCAATGGACTGACGAAGATTTAAACTCACTTAATGTACAAAAGCCTCCTCGGTCATATCAAATTGAAATTATTCGAGATTCTATTGCCAATGGTAATACTGTTGTTTGTCTTCGAACTGGTTCTGGCAAAACTTTCATTGCATCAATGTTAATAAAATATTATTTCATTAAGAAACAAAAAGCAAATCCAGATTCAAAGTTTTTAACTATCTTCTTCGTACCACGAAAAGCTATTCGATTACAACAAGCAAAAGCTATTTCGGAAATCGGTAATTTAAAAGTACAACTATGTGAAGATGATCAAACAATTGATCAACTTATCGGAACAAATCAAGTTATTGTTGCTACGCCGCAAAAATTTCTTAATTGTTTGAAAAAAGGAACAATTGATTTATCTAAAGTCAATTTAATGATTTTTGACGAATGTCATAATACATCAGGTGGCAATCCTTATTGCGAAATAATGAAATTTTATTTATGCCCATCGAAAAATCTGGATCCAAACGATAGACCCACAGTTATTGGTTTAACTGCAACAGTTAGTGCAAAAGATACAGTTGAAAAAAAAGAATCAATTGAGAAAAATCTTGTTAGTCTATGCAGTAAACTTGCTTGTAAGACTATTTCAACTGTATGTAATCCGAATAATATTGAAGAAATTAATCAACAAATTCGTCGGCCAACAAATGATCAATTTGAATTTGTTTTACCGGTAGAATATAATCCTAGTTTTCATGAATATTTAAACATGTTTAAAAATCTTATTGAAAAAATTAAAAGTCATTTGGATAGTAATGATTTATTAAGTGAACAAGAAATAGGCTCATCTGGTTTTATTGGTCAACTTGTTCTATTACAACAAACATTTGAAATCAAAGGTGATATGAATAATATTATTATTTGTGAATATTTATTATTATTAACAAAAAAATATTCAGCACTTAAAGATTTACCATTTGATATGGTAATAAATTATATATCACAAAATATTGATGAATATTATAAGGGATACCAACAATCAATACCAATGAATAATGTATTATACGAATGTTGCAAAGCAGAATTAAATAAAATTTTAGAAAAACATGAAGAACATCCGACAACTAATTCAAAATTAGATAATCTAGTTCAACTTCTTAAACGACATGTTACTGGATCTGCAAAAGGTTTCTATATGTTTTTTTTTCACTTTATAATTTTTTTTGTAAAATATAGGACTTATCTTGGTTAAAACAACATTTTATGCGAAAACTATTCATGATTATTTGTGTAAGCATCCGGAATTGAAAGTAAAATAATATTTTTATATATAATAGTATTAAGACAATGTTTCTTTAGGATATTGTTAAATCAACATGGCTTGTTGGTCAAAATAGTTCAGATCATTCATTGACAATACATGATCAAGAAGCAAGATTGAAACAATTTCGAGAAGGTTTATTTTTATTTATATTTTTATTTTTCTTATTTATTCAATCCTATGTTAAAATATTTTAGACCAATGTAATGTATTAGTTGCTACAGGTATGTTACAAAGAGATAGTCATTTATTGTTATCAATAGTTAAACAGTTATATTTATGCTTAGCGAAATAAAGTTCATTAAACTGGACAATAACTTTGCTTTTGTTTTAAATAGTATTTAAGTTTGAATCATTTCAGTTTGTAATTCTATCGACATATCCTCGTTTGTAGATCTATCAAAAGATAGTACTTTTGTATAGCTTTAATCTTAAACAATGACCCTTTGAGTTTATTATTCTATCTGCACAATATAGATCGATGATATTTTTATTATTCTTATATTTAGATATTGTGCAAGAAGGTTTAGATATACCAACATGTTCGTATGTAATTCGATATGAGTTTGTATCCGATGAAATTGGTACAATTCAATCACGGGGTCGAGCTCGAGCACAAAATAGTTCATATTATCTTATAACTGAAAAGGACTCCAACAATCATCGCCGAGAACAAAATAATAAAATTCGTGAAGACAATATGGAAATGGCTATTAAAGCATGGCCAACAGTTAATAAAGACATATTTTATCGTGATGTTGAAAATAAAACTGTAAATATCTTCACTTCTACAATATTAACATTAATTCACTCTTTTTTTTTCTTCTATAGAAAACACTCATTGTTGAATGGGAAAATGCTTTAAAAACTGAAATACAACAAAAACTTGCATTAAGAAAGATTGGCAAAAAAACTGGATTTATACGCTGTCGAAAATGTAATCGAAACTTGGGTGCACTTGAATGGTTGAGAAAAAGAAATACAACTTATTTCATAAATAATCCCGAATTCATTGATAATAATGAATGTAGACTCCGCAGTGAACCGGAACGTCGTCTTGAAATTTTATCTATGGGTAAATGTTTATCAATAAAATTAATCTTTTATTTAATTTGTATTGTAGGAAAAGTTATATGTACTTGTGGTAGTCAACTTGGTGGATGTCAGAAATTTATGGATCGACAAGACTTAGGTTTATTATGTGCATTAAAATGTGACCAAATTAAATTTGAAATTGAAGGACAAACAGCTTATATAGAATTTAAACAATGGAGTAAAAATGATCGTTTTGATGTTGAAGAACTTGAAGAAATTTAAATTAATTATTTTTCTTAAAAATTATCTCTTTTTTTATCTGTGATTTTTACAGTGTGGCGTCACCCGTGAACAACTCTTTTATTGATCCTCTATCTATTTTAGTTAAATATTTCTTTCTCGTTTATTTTCATCTCTTTCATTCTGTTACATATATATATATATATGTATCCGTTCATCTCCATTTATTCATTCTAATAAAGATCGTATGAAAGTGTCATACATATCGTTAACCAAGAGACTGAAAGAAAGAAAATATATGCACGTGTAACAATGATCAATTATCCTTTTGTATTTTAGATTTATAATGTCATCAACAAAAGCTTTATTACGATTTGCTAAACTTACCGAAAATGCATTTCCACCAATGAAAGGTTCAGATTATGCAGCTGGTTATGATCTTCGAAGGTATGTAACTTAAAAAATTCTATTGTTAAATTAAAAGAAAAAGAAATGTTTATTTTTAGTGCTTATGATTATGTGATACCAGCACGAGGAAGATTAATCGCTCAAACTGATATTCAAATAGCTGTACCAGAGAATTGTTATGGTCGTGTTGGTTAGTAAATATTTTTAAAATTCCAAAAATGAAAGTTTTATTTTTCTTTTAGCTCCACGATCTGGTCTTGCTGCTAAATTTGGTATTGATACAGGAGGTATAATTATAATTTTAGTTTAATAAATGCAATCTATTTTGTTTTTGACATAGCTGGTGTAATTGATGCAGATTATCGTGGTAATGTCGGTGTTGTATTATTCAATCATAATGATTCAGATTTTACTAGTAAGTTAGAATATATAATCAATAAGTTTAATTTATTATGAAATTTTAGTTAAACGAGGTGATCGTATTGCACAATTAATTTGTGAAAGAATTGAAATGGCTCATTTAGTTGAAGAAAATGTTTGTATTGTGATATTTCTTTTTTGTCATCTTATCTCTTAATTTATATTTAATAGAAACTTGATGATACTGTACGTGGCTCGAATGGATTTGGTAGTAGTGGTGGATTTTCACATGTTATTAATGGCAATTCTCATTAATTGAATACTCTCACTTATCAGATAAAAAATTTTTTTTGTTATAAACAAGACATTTACTTCCAAGATGACTGTTCATTGAATATTTTTCTCTATATGTATAAATAAATTGATTTGTATTGTGTAATAAACAATGTGAATCTAAACATATAGCATTATTCTTGCTGTAGTGAGTAGAACTACATAAATACTTTGCTTCGCACCGCAATAATTTAAAGATTTCTTCGTCTACTCTTTCACTGATGATTAAAGAAAAAATATTGGACAATATTTTTTGTATGATGTAGTTTTGTTGAGTGAACCACCGACAGAGTCTTACAGTTTTCTTTTTGATTTTGTCATAAAAATGATAATGATCTATCTCATATCGAATATGTTAAAAAACAAAATTTTTCTTGGTTATTCATTTATTGTAAAAAAAAGAGAGCATAAGAATCAACAATTAGAACACTATGTTTGAAAATGAGCAAGTTCTTTCACCATAAGTGAACCAGATGGAACAAGACCTAAAATACACAACAAAGAAAAATATTTTGAAAAAATAAACGAATTTTATTCAATATTTACCAAGTTCAGTTAATGATTTATGATTATCATTTTCACTAAAATCCTTTTTTGGATAATTTTGTACAAGAATAAATGGACGAGATTGTTGTTTTTCACGTACCCATTCCATAACTTTTTCAAATCGATCAGCTGCTTTAAATATTTGTCGTACTGTTGAACCATCTGGTAAACGAACTTGAAGATTACATTCATCATATTGTCGTGTTGGCTGTGGTGTAACAACATGTTGAGGTTTAGGAGCTGGAACATCTTCTACAGTTCCTCCACTTTTTTCTGCTGCAGCTCTTTCTCGTCGAGCACGTTTATCAGCTTCAATCTGTTCAATAGCACGTTGTTTAGCTAATTGTGTTTCAAGTTTTTCACGACGATTAGCTTCAGCAATTTTTTTCATTTCATCTTCTTCTCGTCTTTAAAAAACAAAAAAATAAATTTTAATTAAAACACTATCTATTTACTTTTGTTTTATTTCCAATAAACTTTTAGCATCACTAATACGTTTTTTCTCCATTTCAATTGCATTTTTTTCATCAGCTATTTGTTGTTCTTTACGTCGAGCAACAATACGTTCTTGTAATCTAAAGTTCAAAATAAAAATAACATTATTTTTATTAAAATAATTCAAACTTTTTCTTCATTTCTTCTTTTTCTTCAGCTGTTAATGGTTTAATTGCTTCTGTACATTCAGAAAAACTTGAATGATTTGTTCGTAAAGCATGAGCAGTAGCCGTATCAGCATCTTTTAATAATTTGCCACATCTACAATAATTCAGTTTTAATATTAAGTAAAAACATTATCTATTTTTCTGTTCTTACTCATCACATTTGAGTGAATTTACTTCAGATTGTGCTTCAGTAGTAGTTGCTGTTGTTGTATTACCACTAGAGCTTAAATTGAGAACTGGTTCAGAACCAGAAGCAGTTCCTGCTGCTATTTCATTCTCATGTGTTGTAATCCTAAACAATTGATATTGTAATTTTTCAAAGAAAATTATAAAAAAAACTTTACCAATCTATAGCTTGTTCCAAATTTGCTGATTTTCCTGTTTTGATTGCGCTATCACTTTAAAAACAAACGAAAATATAGAAAAAATCAAATTTTAAATAAACATACATTTGGTTTTGATGAAAACCCATTTCAACGAGTTGCTCAGCGAGTGACATATCTATTCTCAAAAATATCTATAAAAAAGAAATCAATCATTGTATGAATCAAGAGAGAAAAAAGGGAATCATAAATATTCTAACTTTATACTAAAAAAAATAATAAATACAAAAGACAAGAAAGACATTATGTATTTAAAGATTGAAGCATTCTTTTGCTTTTGCTACAACCATATCAGCAATTGGTAATGATGATGTTGCTGCAGGACTTGGAGCATTTCGTACATGTAAAATTCGATTTTTAAGATCGCCTGTATCAACTGTTTCAAAAACAAAATCTTCAACAAGATTTCCATCTGCTGATAATGCTTGTGCTCGAACACCACTTGGACCACTGAAATACATAGAAGACAATATTTTATATCAAGATTATTTTTAGTAAAAAAGTTACCGTTCAACATCGTCAGTAGCTAATGCTGGTACAAATTTTTGCAATTCTCTAACAGTAGCTGATAGAGAATAAGCACGACGCATTTCACCAAGACCATAGCCAAGATGTTTCCAAGCAAGTTTACGAAGGCCGCTACATTACAAATATATAGAAAACATTTAAATTTATTGTAATTCTTTCAATTGATTCGCTACAGATTCTCTCAAACTCAGAAGTATCGTCCATATTGAGATTTTAAATTACCTATTAAATGCCAGGTCAATTGTATCTCGAATACTGAAATCGAATAAACCATATCCTTCACGTTTCATCGAAAGAACAGCATTAGGACCAAGCCAAACCGATCCATCCATTCTTGGAGTAAAATGAACGCCTATATTCATTTAAATTCAATATACAATAAAATCGAAGATAAAAATTAGTGTGTTTTTTTAATACCAAGAAATGGAAATCTTGGATCAGGAACTGGATAAATATTTCCATTGATTTTCAATTTATCTGTACCATGTTTTAATTTAAGATAATCTCCACGAAATGGTACAATTGTTGGATTTTTTGAACCTCCACAAAGTGTAGCAAGTTGATCAGCTTGTAATCCACCACAAGTTATTACATAACGACTTAAGAAAGTCGACTAAACATATCTAAATATATTATTTATATAACAAAAACAAAAAATACAAACATACATTCGTAGTACTTTGAACAAGAATTGGATAGGAAGCATCTCCAGATGGTAAAAATTTTTCTGCTTCAAAATTAAGAGCAATACGTCCACCCATTTGTTCAAAACTTTTACCAAAATGTCGACATATTAAACCATAATCAATAATACCTGTATGTGGACTATGTATTGCTCGAATACCCTTTTAAAAACAAACAATTAATTAAATATTTGAATAAGATTAAAATTTACTCGACAATTAGGTTCAACTTCTCGAATTTGATTTGAATCAAGCATTTTCAGATCTTGAACACCATTTTGTGTAGCTCGTTGAAATAAATCATCAAGACGTGCTAATTGATCACGTTCAACTGCAACAATTATCTAAATATTCATAGATATATATATACAAGAAAAATAAAATCTAGAATATCTAACTTTTCCACATTTCCTATATGGTAGATGATTTTCATCACAATATTCATAAATTCTTTTTAAACCATCAATACAAAGTTTAGCTTTTAATGAACCAGGTTTATAATAAACACCAGCATGTATGACACCAGAATTATGACCCGTTTGATGTTTAGCTAAATAATTAAACAGTAAAATCTTGATTAGAATTTTTATTTATACTAACCTAAAATATTTTCTTTTTCAACTAACAAACATTTTAAATGTGAAAATGTTAATTGAAGATTTCGAGCAACAGCTACACCAACAATGCCACCGCCAACAATAAGACAATCGACTTTTTGCATCTAAAAAATATATGTATATCTACATATGAGATTCATTTTAAAAATGAAAAAGCCGGAATAAAAATATCGGAATAAAAAAATATTATTTTATGTTTCATATTATTGATGTCGTGATAAAGGATAATGATCAGAATTCTGACGAATATGTTCATTCATCTCCTTCATTTGTCGGTTTAAATTAGAATCCATCTTATCATAAATATTTTCAAACATTGTTGAAATTGGTGCTCGTTTTATATTTTCACAATCCATCAATGCTTTTTTTACCTAAATATTCATATAAATAAATTCATTTTTATAGATCAATAAAATTTAATATATATATATACCATTCCACTGGAAGTTTCTCTCCAATTCTTTTCTTTTTCTTCATTCCAACAGCCACGTTTATACATATATTTACGAAAACGTATTATTGGATTGTGTTTTTGATCATATGAACTTATTTCATTATTTGATCGATAAGCTGAACTGTCGTCAGATGTCGAATGATGACCAACTCTACAAATCAAATTTCAAATAACTGATGATTTCAATTCAAATAACTTAAACAATAATCTGACATAATATATCTAAGCAATATAAATTTCTTCTTATTACCTAAGAGTCATTGCTTCAATTAAAACTGGTCGCATTTCATTTACGGCTAATTCACGTGCTGCTTTTGTTGCATTATATACAGCAAAAAGATCATTACCATCAACACGTATTGTTGCCATACCATAACCTGCTCCTCGACTAGCAATACCATCTCCTCGATATTGATCAACTGATGGTGTTGATATGGCATAACCATTGTTTCGACTATAATATTTAGAATAAAATCTAGATTATATGCAATCAGAAAAATGAAATAAATTAATAAACCAGAAGAAAATGATTGGAACTTCTAGAGTAGCTGCAAAATTAAAAGCAGCATGAGCATCACCTTCACTTGCTGTACCATCTCCAAAATAACATATAACACATAAACCATTTTGAGCTCTTTCAAAGAATAAATAATATATGAATACTTTATGATTATTAACAAGTATTTACTGTTTATATGTATAAGCACTTCCTACAGCTTGTGGCATTTGTGTAGCCATTGTTGATGATATAGTAACAAAATTCAGCTCTTTTGAACCATAATGTATAGGCATTTGAATACCTTTACAAGGTGAATTAATATTACCAAAGCATTGATTAATAAAATCGTGTAGAGTAAAACCACGATACATAAGAACACCTATAATATAATGTCTAAATTTTTTTAACTACAGAAATATTATGTATTGATTTTTATACCGGATTCACGATACTGTGCATAAACAAGATCTTTTGGATTAAGAGCAGCAGCAGTTCCAAAATGTGTTGCTTCTTCACCGAAACTTGTCATATAAAATGAAATACGTTCTTGACGTTGTGATTCGTATAGAGTAAAATCCATAACATTCAAAAGAACCATATCTTTATATATTTTTATGAGATGTTCATCGCTAAGCTAAATAATTAAATCTCTAACTAACGAAAAATATTAGACTAACTGTACTTACATCTGGTATATGAGTTTCATCTTTGACATTGCCTTCTGCATCGAGAACTTGATATATTGGAATTAGAGATTGTTTTTCTGGACGAATAATTTCTAATTTATTAGTAATATCTCCTTTAATATGACTACTATAAATCGAAAATTTTGTTTGATTCAATTCCGAAACAACATTTGATTGTGGTGATGATGCTGCTGCTGCTGCTGCTACTGATTGATATCTTTTTCCAATTTGATAAGTACATGATTTGTATATATTCTGAACTATTTGGAAATTTCTATACGATCTCAACATGGCTCGTATCTATAATTAAAACAAATATTTGTTTTTTAAGTTTATCATACACAACCACTGCTTTTTCATTCTGAATTCAATATATGTTAGAATACACAAAAAAAAAGTTTTATAGTATTGCACATGACAACGAAAGGAAGGCTAAAAAATGTGAGATACATAAATAATTATTTGTCATATTGTGTTTTTTTTTGGTTTAAAATATTTCTGTAAAAGTAAATTTTCAAAGTTCATCAAAATTATCTTTTTCTCGTTGTATACGTTGAAGTGCAGTTGATATATATTTTTCACGAGAATTTTGTGTTGTTATATTAACGAATGCACTATTATCAGATAGATGATGTATGCCTTTATGCCGTTCATTATTCCACATAGTTGTTTGATTTGAATTGATTTCATTAGTATTAGAATTTGATTGCGAACTAAAAGAGAAAATTTAATTATGAAATATATGTAATTTATTTTATTTTATACTTTGGATCTTGTCTATTAACATCTAAAGATTGTAAAGATTTTTTTGTTTGTCGTATTTGTTGATCTATTTTAGAGAAATAATCATGATAAGATGATGTATTTGTTGTTGGAATGGAAGTTGAACTATCCGATGAACGCATTGATGATGGTGTTTTATCATCGGTTATGGATGCTTGTCGATGTTGACCTGTTAATGAAGGCAAATTTTGAAGAATATCTAATGATGGATATATAGTTTGAAGTGTTGATAATTGCGTAGAATTAACTGGAATGTATACATATGGAAGTAAACGTAATTCAGCGTCTGACCACAATTTATTAATTCGTTTTATTTCTTGAGTCTAATTAAAAAATTCAATTAAGATCAAGACGAAAAAAAATAGTAAGAAAATACATACATTAATACTATATTTTAATGCAAGTCTTTGTAATGTATCATCCATTTCAACTTTATGAGAAATATAAAATGTTGGTTGTAATTGTGATTTTGCCAAACTACCATAGTTTCTACCTGTATGCTTTGAACTATGTACGACGTCTCTAAGAGTACGTGCTTCTGTTGATGTCAGTGGTGCTGTAGCAAATCCAGTAGATGAGTTGTCAGACGGTAATTTATCCATAATTTCTTTAACATTTAATGAATCAAAATAACGTAATCATGACAACTATTTTACTCATTTTCATTGTGCTACTTTCCAATGTATACAATAGATTGTCTAATTCCAAGATACATCTAATAATGAGTAAAGTATGGATCGTATCATAATTATTACTGGTTGTATAAAATTTATTGATATGATGTTTAATCAAGCATCAGTACCTGACATCTATAGAAAAAAAATGTAGTAATATATAGAGATAAATGATAATCAAGCAGACGTAAGACACATTGTTCATCTTTTTCTCAATTAAATCTATGTATATCACAGTAAACTGAGCAAGAAAAAACAAAAAATAAGTGTTTATCAACATTCGTTGTACATGTCAGATATAGTAGACGAAGTGTAACAAATATTACAATACTCTAAATTATTTATCTTGCAATATTATACGTAGGTGTTAATTTTGAAGATCTTATAAGCAATAGATAGACGTATTTTTTTATTGACAATGATTTATTGTTGAAAGAAACAAAAAAGTTAATTCATGTTCAAAAAGAATTGATAATAATGCTCATATTTCTAATTCTATTATAGAATATGTATCAAGTAGAATCACGTTGTCATATAGATTTAGTCGTTGATAATAAACGTTTAAATTATTTTATGAGATAAATTGTGTTTGTCACTGAATAAATTGATTGATGGAATAAAACAATTTAACTAGCAGAAGAAATAGGTCACTGAAATCTGATATCTTTTCTATTTACGGCTAGATTCTCATGCTAAATTAGTTCGTGGTGACATGATTTCATATACGTCTCCAATAGCTTCCATACTTTCTCTAATTTTATTGGACTTGTTTAAAACGTTTTCTATTATATACTTGCTTGCTTGTTCTCCTCTCAACCAACAATCGATCGATCGCAATAGACTATCACATTTCTTATTGGCATAAATAACATCCAATTGAAACTTTCTCTTATATGGTCTGTATGATAGCCCAAAAATTAATGTATGTTTTTTTATAGAAGATAGCTATTATGTACCTAAAAAAGCGTTTGAGTGTATTTCTACTATTATATTTATTTTTAACACGTGGTATTCTTTATTTCGAGCCTCTCTTTATTTATTATATATATATATAAACATATGTTACAGATGAGTTTCCTTGCAAAAACATTTTCGCAAGTTATTGCACGCGCAGGAACAACAACAGCACTTCTTTCAAAACCACGCTATCCAACATCATTGACTTACCGTTTAGCTTCGGGACAATCATCTCAACAAAGTAATACATTAAAGAAATTCTAATTGTTTTCTATCAATCAGTATATATATATATAGGTGATAATAAGGAGCAAAAGAAATATGAATATTTATTAGTTGATATTAAAGGAAAGAATTCAAATGTAGCACTTGTTCAACTCAATCGACCAAAAGCATTAAATGCATTATGTGATGGTTTGATGAGAGAAGTAAGTATGAACAATTTTTATTTATCTATTGATAAAGTTTTTTTTCTTTTCAGTTAAGTACGGTCTTGGAGACAATTGATAAAGATGACAAAATTGGTTGTATTGTTTTAACAGGCAGTACACGTGCATTTGCTGGTAGGTATTTATACTAGAATTATCTATTTTTCTAATGAATAAATTAATTTAAAATATTTTAGCTGGTGCTGATATAAGAGAAATGCAAAATAATACATTGGCACAAGTTGTTGGTGCAGGTTTTCTTGATCAATGGTCAGCAGTAGCAAAAATTAAAAAACCAATTATTGCTGCTGTTAATGGTTTTGCAGTAAATTACTTGAATAAAACTTTGCTATAGATTTCATATTTCTTTAATAGTTAGGAGGTGGCTGTGAGTTATCAATGATGTGTGATATAATTTATGCTGGTGAAGAAGCAGAATTTGGTCAACCAGAAATTATTCTTGGTACTATTCCAGGTAATAAAAAGAATTCACATAATAATTCTCTTATGAATACCATACTTTTTTTAAAAGGTGCCGGTGGTACTCAACGTTTACCTCGTTATGTTGGTAAATCAAAAGCTATGGAAATGGTATTAACAGGCAATCGAATAAAAGCAAAAGAAGCTCATCAAATTGGTTTAGTTAGTGCTGTTTATCCAGCAAATCAACTTATTGATGAAGCTGTTAAAACAGCTGAAAAAATTGCAAGTCATTCAAGAATTGTTGTACAACTAGCTAAAGAAGCAGTTAATACAGGTAGATTATATTTCATTAAATTAAAAAAATATAATAATATTGCTATGATCTATTTTTAAAAAGCATTTGAAACAACATTGGCTGAAGGAAATCGATTTGAAAAACGTATTTTTCATACAACATTTGGTTTAGTAAGTTAAATCAATAGTTGAAGTGATGATAGTATTAAATTTTTTTTATTCTAAAGGATGATCGAAAGGAAGGTATGACGGCATTTGTAGAAAAACGTAAACCAAATTTTACTGGCCAATAATAAGCATTCGATTATATTCTTCCTGGTGATTTCCAAATTGCAGTAACTTTTTGAAAATGTGTTTTTTTCTTCGTAGTTTATTATTATATATTACTCTCATGATTTTGTTTCTTTTTAACTAAAAATCATTTGATGAAAAAAAAACATGTTTGTTTTCTATTACGAAACTAAGTTTTTATGAGAATTGAAGAAAACAACAAATTTTAAGATCTACAGTGTATAGAAAGGGTTTATAATCAGATTTATTATCAAAATAGTATAAATATTGACAATAAGCAGTTGACTGTCAATTTATCTTATCGGAAAGTTGTAGACTAAATATATATTTTTTTACTATGTATCTATCAAAAATTCATAGTTAATATTTGAAGAGAAAGAAAGATAAAAAAAGATTACATAATATCGACTGATCTACTTTTTCTTTTGCTCTATAATCTTAACACGTCTAACAGTAATATTTTGTATTTGTTAACAATTAAAAGAAATAAAATTTTCATTCTATTTTATTTAATACCTTGTTTTCTTTCTATTATTTAAGATCATATGTAGATGAGCCTATTATTTATTCCTTAATGGAATTCTTATTATTTAGTAAATATCTCATTTTAATTCTTCTTCTTCTTATTAACAATATTCAACAAATTTCAACAGTTCCATTAGTATTGGACGATCCATCTTCATTGTACAATGCAACCGATAAATTAACTGTTCTTAATTATGAAAATTTTGCATCAATAGTTTATCGATCTAAAACAGCATGGCTCATTGAATTTTATGCTAGTTGGTGTGGTCATTGTCGATCTTATGCCAATGTATGACAATAGATTTCATTTCCTTTTTATTCTCTAATCAATTTTTCTATGTTATTTTTTATTAATTAGACTTATCGGGAAATTGCTATTAATGCTTGGAGTAAGTCAGTTAATATAATGTTATTTGAATTAAATTCTGTTATTTTTAAAGCATGGAAAACAGTTGTTCGTATAGCTGCAATAAATTGTAATGCAGGAAATTTAAATCTATGTCGTTCGCATGGTGTTCACGGTTATCCAACAATAAAAGTAAGTAAATAAAAAAATTATTTTTTATCGTAATTTTTTTGTTCTATTTTAGTTAATACCACCTGGAGCAGATTTTGATAATGTAACTAAATCAGTTACTCTTTCTCCAGATGATGCTAAAGATGTTACAACAGAACTTCTAACAAAACTTGGCGATATACATAAAAAATATAAATCATGGCCACGCTTTACACCTGTTAAGTAAGATATTTTATTTATGAATTTCACTATTTTCTTAGTTTTATTGTTTATAGTCGAGTTATATTTGAAGAACTTTATGCACGTGTTCCATCAACAACTAAACTTCTTTTAGTAATCGCTGAGAAACGTGATGATTTGACTGGTAGACAAGTAAGATTTCTTTTAATTATTTTTAATTTGAACTTTTAAATTATTATTATATAGATAATGCTTGATTTTTCTCAATATCATGAACAATTATCTATTTTTCGAACGACTACCGATGGAATATTATGGCGTAAATTTCATCTTAATCTAACAGATGTACCAGCTTTATTTGTTATTTTACATAATCGAAGTGCTGAACGAATCTATGTTCAACAAAATATAGGGTTAAAAGAATATTTGTTCAAAAACTAAAATTTATTTTTTTTATCTTTAGTAATGAACTCGATAATCGTAATTTATTTCATTCTACTATTCAATCATATATTGATAAAACAAAATCTATCACTGATTTTGATGATCATGAATATGAAGAAATGATGACAAGTTTATATAAACTTAAATCAAAAGAAATAGAACGAAAACGTGTTAAAGAACAAAATTCAATAGATAATGATATTGATAAAAATACAGTTCATCGTAAAGTAAATATGGTTGATCTTGAATTAGCTTTATCTCATATTATTCGACAAGAAATACCTCAAATGAAAAAAATTCAAGGTGAAGCATACACTGCACTAGTACAATGGCTAACTGTACTCGTTAAGGTATAATATATTGAATCTATTCATCATTCAATAATTTTAATATTACAGTTTGTTTGAATAGATTATCTTTTGCACGGTTTAATTTATTGATTGATATATATACATATAAATTTCTATTTTCTCAAAAAAAACTATTAAACTGCAGTAGAATTTTGTATATATCTATATAATTGAAAAAAGCTGGTCGGCGCAGCTCCGTTGAGGCTAAAAATGTAGAACTCATGTATATTTTTATCAAAGACATTTGGTGACTTTTAAGTTCTTAGTGTTCCCTTATTTATGAACGATAACGTATGTTGTAGTATTGGAACCTCTTAGTAGGTGAGCTGGAAAACTTATGTGAGTCCCATAAAAAGCAGTTAGCAAAAGTTCTACTTGATCAATATACGATGCACGAAATCAATTGCTGTTACTAACAGAAGAATACCTCTGGCGAATCCTATTTTGAAGACAAAGACGATAGATGTAACTTTTTATTTAAATACTTAAAATATTTCTTTTAGTTTGCATTACAAAAAAGTAAGAAAGTATATAAGCCATTGGAGATTGCTTTCATTTCTGACATAGACTATTTCTTATCTACTAGCTAATGTAATATTGCTATATCTTACTTAAATAAATAGAATACATTTTATATCATTTGTAATCATATATAAATAATTATTTTTGTATTTTATTTTCATGTAGTATTTTCCTGGTCGTGAACCAGTTATGAATTATCTTAAACATTTATTATCTAAAGTAAATGAACAGTCAACTGATTTTAGTGGAGATAAATTTCAACAAATAGCAAATATAAAAACGTCCGATGCTTATTTACCAATTACTTATGTTAAATATCAACATTGTGCAGGATCTACTCCACAATATCGTGGTTATACATGTGGACTTTGGTTACTTTTTCATACTTTAACTATTTCACAATTTGAACAAAGTTTGTTTATTCTTTTTTAAATACTTATCTTATCATTTGAATTTTAATAGAATCTCAACAAATTAATATTCCTGAAATTCCAAAAGCTATCAAAGGTTATATTCAATATTTTTTTACTTGTCAACAATGTCGTGATAATTTCATGAAAGAAACTAGTAATATAAATCAACTTAATACAAAAACTAAATACGAAGCAGTTATGTATCTATGGACAAGTAAATATTCTAGAAGCCAATTTTTTTTTCTTATTCTTTAATTCAATATTTTAGTTCATAATAATGTAAATAAACGTTTACGTGGTGATGTAACTGAAGATCCTAAATATCCAAAAGTGCAATTTCCAAGTAAATATCTATGTCCACAATGTCAAATCATCAATGCTAATGCATATGATGTTGAAAATACGATTAATTTTCTTGTTCGCTATTATTCCGAGAAAAATATCGATTCAACACTAGTATTAAACGAATCTCAGGATAATGAAAATGTACAAAATCGACAAGATTATATTATTTCAAAAGTAGAATCTCATAATGAAACAAGAGATCATTTTAATCTATTTCCGATTTTTCCTTCAACTATACCAAGTTTTCCTTTGTATTCTTTTATTGTATTTATTGTTGTTGTTGGTCTATTACGTTATCGATATTGCAAAGCAAAACGAAAACGGTATACACTTTAACAATATTAATTATTACAATTTTATTTATCTTAGTTCATCTCATTCAATCGATATCGATTACAAAGAATAGTCAGAAAATATTAATTTTTTTTTCTTCTTTCCAAAAATACTCTGGACAATTCATATAAATAAAAGCTTTATTTATTATTATTGTTGTTGTTGTAATCTCTTTTTTCTTCCATTCATTGTAATTAACGTTTTTTTTGTTTGTTTACTCCACCGACTACTATGCATGTGTTGTAATATTCAAAAAATACATTAAATAAAACCGTTTATGTGACATAATGTTTGTTTGATATCATTCCAAGAATACGCATAAATACAATATAGAATTTCTCTTCTGTATATTTGTTCAATCTTAACTTCAGTAAGTTCAAGAATCGAAAAAAACAATTATTTTTACTAGATTAAAATAAACTGTTTGCTTGTGTGTCCGCAGTTCACTGATTGGTTCAAAAATTAAGTAAAGATATAAAAGGAATTTTTTTTATAAGAGTTGATCGAAGTGTACTCAGAGTCGAAGAATTCAAACCTGGCTTCTGTTTTGTTTAATGATGTAAATCAATAACTTGGTAGTTGTTTAGTAAGGTGACTTCTACGCGAAAGAGCTGAGCTAGTTTGGACAAACTTTATTATTATGTCAAATTATAAAAATGTAGTAAAAAATTATCTATAATTTGAACAAATATACTGTCTTTATTATTGTTCTTGTTTATTTTTAAGTGATTGTTCAAGTGAAGTATATAATATTGGACTTCGTTGTTCAAGTCGAGCTGGTGGTCGATCAGGATCGATTGAATATCGTTGATATATATTATTCGTTGATTTTATTTGTAATGTATCATTTTCTGAAACAGGTTTTAAACGTATTTGATTTAATGTTGGTGATGGTGTTGGTGTTGTTGAATGTGTTTGATTCATAATATTACCTTCGATTTCAGTATCTGAAGAAGTTGCAGAAAGATTTGGTGAACGATATTGATGTACAGATATAGACATTGAATAAGGAACTTCATTTTGATTAGAATATGTTTCAGTTTTTGGTGATAATGCTGATTGAGAATGATTATCTGTATTGGTACAGATTGATGTTGATTTTTCAGTTGTTATTGTTGGATCAATTGATACACGTCGTTGTTTACGATGTTTTTTCGTTTGTTTAGAATCAATTAATGAACTAGTTTTACTTCGATTTGATATATTGGATGTTAATGTACCTTCAACTGATAAAGTAGAAGAACCAGATTGACTTCCATTTTCTTCTTGAGGTTCTAAAAGGTTCAATGATTTTTTATCTTGCGTAAGTACTGTGATATTTATAACTCAGATTTTATGATAGTATTTACTCGATTTACATGCGTTACTTACCTATTCTATAGAAAAGTATGAACATAGATCTGTAAGATATATAACTGATATCAACTAACAAGACTATTCATTGGAGGAAACCCTAATGTTTGGAAGAATCGAAAACGAGAACGACTAAACAACAATTTCTTGTAAATCACACTCAAACTAAAGAGATTGGAATACTTCATTGATTCGATCATCTTTCAATATTCTACAAAAAAATATAACATAATAATTATTTACCATTTAAATTAATTATTTTCTTATGTAATATTTTTGAAACAACTTGAAAACTACGCATAGTTTTTTGATCATTTGATTTAATTGATAACCAAGTATTGCATGGAATCTCATAAGTTATATGACGAATAGAATCATCAATTGATATTTTATTTAAAAACCAACTTGCTTCTAAAAAATTCAAGTAACTATAGATTTTATTTTAATATCGAAAATATTTACTCATATCTTTTCGATCATGTCCAATAGTTATTCCAATTAATTCACCAATATGATATGTTTCAAGTTTAAATATATCAGTTTGATCTTTTAAAAATGGTATATGATGTGTTTCAGAATGAACAAGTTCATAAAAATTTATATGTCCGTTTGTACCATATAATTTAATACGTATAGGTGCATTTGTCGATGCTCCATTACAATTTCCTGTTGTAATTGATATTTTATATTCACATAAAATACCTTGATTAATTAATTTTGATTTTTTCATCTTGAATTAATAAGAAAACAAAAAAATATGTTTCCTAAAAGTCGTTTTAATATTTACGATAAATGCTGATTTTGTTAGAAAATCTTTTGGTTTAGATTTTCCTTTATTTATTGATAATGTTCTTAAATCAGTCGTAGGAGAAGTTTGAATATTTGACTGATCACTAAAATATGAATAAGAATATCTTTGTTTTCTTCTTTTTAGAATTATTATTTACTCAATTTGATGCGGAAAGTGATTTGTAATTTGTGAAAGATATGCTAATGGTGTCTAAAATATATATTTTCGGAATAGAAAATATTCTCTTGTTTTGAAATAAAATTTACTTGTTGTATTGATGAATTTGTTTCACAAAATGATCGTCGTGATTTAACCATTGATGCAAGTATATCAGCTGTATTATCAATTAATTGATCTTGCTCATGACGTTTTAATTTAAGTGGTGATCGTAATTGAATATCACGATTAGTAGTATATAATGAATTTGATCGAGTTTTAGATCGTTGATGAAGCCTGGAATTCTTTAAATTTTCATTTGACTATAAAAATCAATAAAAAAATTAAAACCATTTCTCTTATTTTTTATCTCCTCACTGAAAAATGATAAGATCGCATATGGAAATTAAGTTCTTCACGGCACATTTGTTTTTCCGGACTAGTTGAAATCATCTAAGAAACACGTATTCTAATTTTATTCATATACTTTTGATAATAATTTTACATTATTATATTTTTGATTTTGTTGAAAATTCGATGAAATATTTTTATCAGTATGAAGAGAATTTGAACATGATGTATATTGTTTCTTTGTACGATAGAGAAATTTCTAAAAACAAATTTTTTAGAAAAAAAAGAGTTTCTTATCTATTTACCGTTTTGAGTGGTATTGAATCACATACAGATGAATTTGTATTTAAAACAAATGCATTTTCACGACGTTTTACATCGATATAATATTTTCTTTTGAAAAACAAAGAAGGAAGTATAATCATTTATATTTAATTCATATACTTACAAACTTTTTGATGTTTCTTTGAGAACAGCATGTGTTAATCGATCTAGACATGGTCTTGGAGTTAGATCAGCACTCTCGTTAGTTATGTTTGCCATTATTATTTTTAACGTTGACGTACTAGATTACCGTTGTCAAGTAAATGTTTACAGATTTTTTTTCTTCATATAATAAGCTAAGTATACGATCAAAATCAGTTTTCATTGTATTCTTATTTCTTCTTTTCTTTTCTTTCTTCAAATTAATAAAATAGCCTCCGTTCGTCTTCCATCGTTTCTTTAACCGATATGGTTTCATAGAGGTTGAATTGTTCATTTCTTTTTTTTTTCTTCTTCTGTCTCTTTTATGTTACTCTCAACAATAACTTCTTTCCTTTTCTTTGACAAATTCTTCGCTTGATAAAAAAAAAAGAAATTATTCTTCTTGCTTCTGTTTTATTTCGGATGTTAATTGTAACGATAGAGTTCGATAATTCTTTTTTACCTCTCAGAGTAATACTATATATATAGAAGAAATGTATAAAAGATGAAGCTGACAACTATAAAGTCAATAAAAGATGTATGTTGCCGTAGTTATTATTACAAAATAAAATAATGAAAGGATATATCAGAATAAATAAAAGTTATTAATGAAAAGACAAAAATAAATGATAATGCTCTTGATAAATAATTCGAGTTGGGTTTATTGAAGAAAGATCATATTTGTTTTTTGCATTTAGGTTTTTAAGAACTTCATTCATAAATACTAATATAGCATATACATTCAATACCATCGATCATCTTTCTTCATTAATATAGATTGCATTTATAATTTTTCTTATAAATATTCAAGAAAGAGAATCTTTTTGTTTCACTAGAACGTATTCATTATGATATAAAAATTTGTAAAGAAGTTAACTAAACATAAACAATCAATGCATAAGAGAAATGCTTGAAAGTCAATACTAGTCGCGTATTCCATAAAAATTATTAGCAATAACATTTATTTATTATTTAAATAAACAAAGTAAAAATTGTTCATGTTCACGAGATAGTCATATATTCTCTTAATGAAAAGAATTAACAATACAGTCTAATTATTCAGTAGGAACAACTGTACTTGGTCGGCATCGATTTCGAATTTTCAATATGATTTCGATTAAGAATGGAATAATAAATCGTAAAACAACAGTTAATCCACCATATAAACCAAGAATACGTGATGATATAGAAGCAAAATGATCATCTCTTTTAATGTTATAAGAACATTCCTGTGGATTACATTCATTATCAAGTGATGAATACGATATACTAATGTTCCATTCTTCAACAAATAATTCATCAACAATATTTTGAATAGTTGTATTTCGTTCAAAATGACTATTATTCAAAAAACTTATTGCAGATATATTTACATGATCAGACTAGCTTTTGAGTTGAATTTTCGCTGCGCATTCGCACTCACGAAGAACACTATTTAGGTGATATATTCTGATTCCATTCATTCATATACCATTTCATAGACTATAGGGTGAGTGTCAAGAAGATAAACCGTTACTTACACCCGCACCCACAATCTGTAAATAACCACCGTAACGAATGATCTGATACGTACTCAAAGATGATGATCGTTATCATTTACAAATAAAGGAAAACAACAAGATCGTATAGAATTTATTCATTTTACTTTACCAAGAAGTTATCGAATTTTGTATAACTGACGAGAGTTAAATGATTAAATCCAATCGGAAAAAAGATTCCAACACTTATTTAGCAGACAATTGTTCGGACAGTATCATCTATTTTATGGATGAGAATGAGGATAAGATAAGATAAATAGAATGATTAGTACATTTCTGTATGCATCGTTATAAAAAGAAAACCACGAAATCTTATATTCGATATTCTGATTCTTTTCTTAATCAGTTTATAGTTTAGATGAATCAAATCAAACGCTAATCTTCTTCGAATTTTTTATAATATAAATAACAAAAAGAAAACACTATGATTGAAGTTTATAACAATACAAATAATCATCACGTGAACCCACAATAATATAATCAAGATAACAAACTGGCGACGAAAATAATCCATTACCATCAATTTGTGTTTCACATATTGTTCCTCCTGTTTCACTGTTTAACACACGTAAACAACCATTCGTTGAACCAATAATAATCTTTTGACCATTGTCAAACACAAAAGGTGATGCATAGACCATCGATGGAAATAAACATTTCCATTGTAAAATACCTTGTTGTTCATTTGAAAGATCAATAGCGTAGAGATATTGATCGTGACAACCGATAAATAATGTATTATTGAAAAGACAAGGTGACGAAAATATTGGACCATTTGTTGAGAATGTCCATTTCTAAAATTATCAAATATGACGTTAATTATTAACTTCCGAGAATAATAATTAGATTTTAGTTTCTATTATTTTTAAATTAATCAAGCATACTCTACAATAATCAATTAAATGTTATCGAAAATTAACAAATAATTAGTTTCTTTTTAGCATAATATTTATTGTTTACTTTAAATTATTATGAAACAAAAATATTTACTCATACGTTATTAGAATAGATGGTAAGTAAATAAATAAAACAGTTCGTGTTAATGAGAAGATTCACAGGGTGTATTTTTTTTTGTTTCATCTTATACTATCATAATTATTATTGTCGAAAAAGAAATTCTTCTTGAATTACATTACCTGTTCGCCATCATCACAACTTAAACAATAAAGTTTTTCATCAACACATCCAATTAATAAAAATTTTTCTTTCCATATAACTATTGTAGAAAATATTGGTTTATTTAATGAGTGTTTCCATAATAATATTCCTTCATTTGATTTAAAAGCAAATATATTTCCATTTAAAGTAGCAACATAAAGATATTCATTATCCGATGATAATTGTGGTGATGAAGCACAACTACTATTTAATCCATATTTCCAAATACATTTCGATAAATTTTCCTAAAATTATAAACATTAATAAAAATATAAATCTTCTTTCTTTTTCAAAATAAATACTTCAATATGAATAGCATGAATAAATTGATCGTGTGCACCAAGATAAACAATATCATTTGATGAATGAATACAAGGAATTGTTTTAATTAAATCTTGACATTGATACGATGAATAAAGTTTTCCATTAGAACAATTAATTATATATAATATTCCACTATAATCACCTAAAGAAAAACAATTTAAAAAAGAAAAATTTAATATTTTGTGTGTCCGCAGGGTAAAAAAAACATCGAAAACCAGTTGTTCGAAAAAGACATTTCTAGGGGTATTTCGATGCGGAGTGCTCGAATCTGAGGACTATTGGGTGACAGTATGGAAGAGGGGGTCTGAAGAGGAGTCAAAGGTCAAAAAAACATCAAAAATCAATTTTTCACGGTTTTTCCAGTAAATGTGAAGAAAATGCATTTCAACCAGAAAGAGCTAAGCGAGTCCTCGGATGAGCGTTACTTGTAAATACCAATAAGAACAAACTGTCCATCTTTTGAAATAGTTCCACTTGTTTCAATTCTATCATTAGTTTGAAATGACCATATAAGTTGACCATTATTAATTTGATAAGTATTAATTAAACCAGCATGTGATCCTATAATAACATATTGTCGATATTCATCAAGTATAACAATTAATGGAGATGCATCGATACATTTATTCATTGAATATTTCCAATTTAATATTAATTTATTTGCTACAACTATTGATTCATTTGGTAAAGTGGAATATTGTGACATTAAATGATTATTATTATTATGGAGAAATATTTTTGAACATCGTTGAATTGACCAAATTTGATTTAAATTTGAATTTTTTATTAGTTCATTTGTTAAATTCGGAGTAAAATGTTCAATTGTTTTGTCTTGTTGTTGTTCTTGTTGAGGATTATTTATATATTCAAATAAATCCTCGAAAGATTTATGTAAAAGAAGATTCAATAAATATTCTTTATTAACCGATGAATAAGATTGTTTAATTTGTTCAATCATTGTTAAAGCTATTAAAGAATTACCGCCATCAGAAATAAAAGTTGATTTTTTCTCTGGAGATTTATTTAAAAATTTCTAAAAATTTAATAAAAAAACACAAAAAAAAAAGGAAAATATTTCTAACCTTCCAAATATCTACTAAATTCTTATCGATTGAATCTTGTTTAGTATTTAAATAGATAGAATTTAATTTTGTACGATCGATTTTTCCATTGATACTTAATGGAATATTTATTTGTAATGGAAGAATAATATTTGGTAGAAAATGATGAGTTAAATGTAATTTAAGAAATAATTCCAACTGATTTATTTGATTTTCAGTTTTAAATTTACAAAGAAGAATTAGAAAATTTTTATCATCATCATCATCTAACATTAAACAAGCACATTCATCAAGTAAATTTGATTGATGAGCAATCTAAATCAGAACGGAATATTATTAACTAGTCAGTCAAATAGATAAAATGGCGGCTTATCTGAATTTCGCCAATTGGCGAAATTCGGAAATCCCAAAATGAGCTACGCGATTTAATATAATAAAATTATCTCATTTTCGATCAGGATTATGTAATGAAGACTTTCAAATATATTTTTAATGAGAATGTAACAAAGATTTCTATCAATATTTTACGTTTCAGAAACTTTTGCTTACTTGTTCAATATATTCAAGATTAATCATAATACCAAAACGTTTTACTGTTAATGTTCTTCTACCAATATAATATATGTGATCATTTGCTTTGTCATAACGAACAAGATCATCAGTTTCAAATATGAATTTTTTTTCTAATGATAAATCTCCAATTTGTACCCAACGTGTTTGACTTTCTATACTATAACAAATTGAAATTCTATTTCTATTTATAATTTAAGTGTTCACGCATTCTACCTAATGTCAATTGAAAATAATCTATTTTTGTTTTATCATCCAGAAAAGGTTTAAGTACAAATGATGTTTCATCAAGTGCTTTACCTAATGGAATACCATCTATTCTTCTATAATATCAAATAACAAAATTATATTTTCTTTTTTGCAAAAATTAAAATCTTACTCAAGATCATTTTTATTCAATATGTAATACGATGCCCAACAAGACATTTCAGTTAAACCATAAATATTTATAACACGTTTATTTTCTTTTATCATCTTTTGAATAGTTCGATTTGATATATCAGGAAATTGTTCACCTCCAAGTATCAATGTTTTTAAATGGCTTAGATCACAAGATGTATTGATTTGACGAAAATAACTCGGTGTCATCTAAGAATATTTTGATTATAAACAGAAAAAGATATATATCAACAATACTTGTGCAATTGTACAATGACTTATCGATGAATTAGATACTGAATTTTGACGAATATCTTTTGATAGAATAACAAGACAAGCACCACAATGAATAGCAAGAAATATATCAATTAATGATGGATCAAATGTTAAAGATGTTGCACGAAATAAACAATCATTTGATGTTACATCAAATATTGATCTTCAAATATTTATAATTTAATTTCAAAAAAAAGAAAGAAAACTTCTTACTTTAATTGATTTAAATTAGGCAAAATACATGCATGTGATACGAATATTAATTTCGGAATACCTGTTGAACCTATTCAATTACTTAAAAAATTATCTAATTAAAATGATGACCTTAGAATCAATTTCTATTTTCATATAGATGTCATATTTTGTAGTTATAAATAATTAGAATTTCAAGAGAAATCTGAGTTGACTATATTTATTACGAAATAGAAGTTTCTAATTTCTCTGTCAACTTTACAGTAGACTTATATTACAATAAATATTAGAAAAACTAATTCTAATAATATTAAATCTCATTATAAATAATGTCCGAATAAGAAAATATATATTAAAGTACACTTTTTTTTACACTGATTAATAATTTAGTCGAAAAAATTCCGAAAAGAATTTTTTATATTATTAATGTCAAAAATGTTTTTTTGTTTTGTTTACCTGATGAAGCAACAATATAAGCAATATCTTTATAATTATTACAATTATTAATTCTTGTATAAAAATCAATTTGTTCATTGAATAAAACAATTGATGATAACATAGCGTGATGAAATATCTGATCATATATTTTAGACTAAATAATAATCTTATGAAATAAATTTGACATTGATTTAACAACGGAAATTCACTTTATTTTGACGTTGACAAATAAATAGTGATGGGTTGAGTTGCATGATATAATTTCTAAGCATATTTTCGGGCCAATTAGAATTACAAATGAAAAAAGAATTATTCGATTGTAGTATTCTAATAAAGAGTAGAAAATATTTTTTTAGCAAAAAGAAGAATTTCAATCGAACCCTAATATAAATGGAATAGTTAAATATGTTTCATCACTATCAATTATAATTAATTGTTCATGAATATTTAAATTTAGAATTTTTTTATAAATCTAAGGAAAATTCAACTTAATATATATTTATATTTATTTATATCTATTTACTTCATTTGCAAGTATTGATATTTCGAAATGAGTTAAAATTTTTAATGATTCTGTAAGATTGTCATTAAAATATTTAATAGCAATATTTTCATTCATTGATAATGGCCATCCATTACTTAAAATCCATTCCCAAATTGTCTTGAAAACCATTATGATTTTACTAGTCTTGTTCTAAGCAAAAATCGAAATAGTGTTTTCCTCATAATAAGTGCGCTCTTCATTGATTAGTTAGTTTCTTTTGTCCAATAAAAAGATCGTGAAAGACGGAATGGTAAACAAAATTGATTGTCATTTCTCTTTCTGAAAAGAACTTGTCATAATCGATTTCTAATCCGTTATATCTTCGAAATAACAAAAAAAATTTGATCATGTATTATCTTCTTTTTTGTAAATCAGTCATCATAGTTTGATTATGTGGTAAGAAAATATAAACTCTTTTCAAAATAAACATATTCTTTTCTCATCTATAGAAAACAATATTCGCTATTAGAACAAATTAATACACCTTAATATATATATATATAAATAGAAGAATTCATACAAATATCTTAAAAGAATTTTTAAATAGTTCACCATTCATAACAATCATTGAAAAGACTTTCAAAAAAAAAAAAGAAAGGAAAATTATTTTATAGAAAACAATTCAACCATCCAAGGTCATTGAATATTTTAAAAGACATTATTATTCCATTCATAATAGTAAAATATATTTTTTCTTCTTATGAGTTTATTATGTTCAATCAGATATTAACAATAGCAATCATTTATCGAGTGAAAATATCGTTCAACGTATTATTTTAAATAAAATAAAAAAAGGAAGAAGAAGAAGAAGAAGAAGAAAACATTGCGTGATTTATTAGGTATTCGTATATTTATGTCGAAGCGTTCAATATCATGCCATTTTTATTCAAGACATTCAAATGAAATAATCGTTTAGATTTGTAAGTTGCTTTTAATTATTGATTAAGTAAATTACTATGTAATTTGTCGTATTGTTTACTAGTTTTCTAATGACCTTCAATGACTATAAACATCTAAGTTCTATTCGTCTTTGATGACAGAAATGTGTGTGTGTAGAAAGCACAAGAAGGAGATGATTTACAAATAATAATTCTTTTCGCGTCGCCGAATCAATTTTTGTTCTTGTAAAAGAGCGTGCGTACGCGCATCTTACAACCATCATTTTCCTATTAGTTACTTTCTTAGAGCGTATATTCTGCCACTTTTTTTGACAGCTGCCGACACGCACATACAAGCGAAAGAGGACAAAAAAATCTATATTGACAAGCTAGTTGCAAGAATAAATTGAGAAAAATTGTATAAGAATAGTTTTTGTAAATATATTAGAATTTAGCGGCATTTATAAAACAATGTTAGCAAACAAACCGACAACATATTCATTTATATATTTGTGGAAAAAAGAAGAAGAAGAAGAAGAAAGAATCTGTCGTTTTGTATAGATCTCAAGAGATCGTCAAGTATTATCATAAAGAAGAAACCTATTGAATATAAAAAAGAGAAAAGAAAAGGGAATAGATCATAATTATCATAAAAAGGAAATAAAAAAAAAGTTGTTACCACACCTTGTTCAACTTATTCTACATTATAAAACGATATGAAGAGAAAGAAATAGAGAGGAGAAGAAGAAGAAGAAGAAAAAAAGAATATTCTTATTGTCAACAAGTAAGGGTTATTTATTATTATATATCAAAACGAGAAATATGATTTTGCATGTTTATTGAAAGTCTTGAATATATATAGATAGATAGTTATATATATATATAGATAGAAAATGTGTTGTTTTAACATTTATTCTATATACTAATAGCAGTGACGAAAGACAGTTCGGTTTATGTGTGTACGACGGATATTTTGTCATGAAAATTAGATTATTGGTAGAACGCGATGATGGAATAGCGTTCTTCTTCCTTTTTCCTTCGTCTTTCCCTCTTGATGCCACATCGAGGATTCTATAGGAGAAGCCGAGATTGCCACCCTACGATACATTTAGACTTGTATGTATACACATAAGAATATTTTGTATTCTATTTTAGAAGTGGTCAACTATATAGAGCCGATCAAATTGTATGTATAAAAGATATTGAGTCGAGTTCATACGATTCGATACTACTTTGCTAATCGTACTTATCAACTACTTGTTGATTCAAGACGATTATTATTTGAACTTATTATTCATATTATTATATCAACTATTACTATTGATTCTTCTCATGCGGTTGTGTCAACGTCAAGTAATGATGGACACAGCTGTATTTCGATATTGTCGACGCCCTTTAACGTCGACATGGTGGTAAGATAATGATTGATAGACATATACATATCTGTATATACATGTATATATATATATAAATACAATAAATATATATATATATATGTATATACTTAAGTTACATTAATACTATTTAGCTAAATACATTGTGGACACAAATTGAAGTTGTCGATTTAACCAACGACGGCACTGGACTTGGCTTTGGCATTAGTGGTAATAAGTCAACGGGTGTTGTTGTCAAAGCTATAGTGCCCGGTTCGATTGCCGATAAAGTAATATCAATCTGATCTTATTATATACTATATTTTCATATGTTCTATTTCTTGTACTTCCAGCTGCTTTTTCTAATCGATGGAACAAAAGACAACAGAGAAAAGAAAAAAAACATAGATAGAGAGAGAGCAAAAAAGAAGAAGAAGGCAAAAAATAAATTTGCCTAATGAATGATAGCTAGTAGTATAGTATGTATATATCTTTAGTAGAAAAAAAAAGAACAGAAAAACGAAGAGAAAAATGGCAAAGATGAGAAAGACAAGCACTCATTTGCGTTGACATACTAGTCAATCTGATGAGCAATATATCAAAAGAATTCTTAATATCCGTTACCGTTTCATTTTCTTTTGTCTATTATTATCTAGGATGGTCGTATTCATACGGGTGATCACTTGTTTCAAATAAATCATGTCTATGTACGGGGTATGAGTTCGGAACAAGTAGCTGGGATACTTCGACAATGTCCTGAACAAGTTCGTCTTGTTGTTGCAAGAAGTGTACGTGAACCTACAACAGCAACAAATAGTACACCATCAACATCTCAACGTCCTTCATTAACATCTGAAAATCTTATTCAATCAAGAAATCCTTCATCACCAATGATTCTTGATAATGATGGAATTATTAATAATTCACAAAATAAAATCATTCTTCGCACTGAACGGTTACTTGAAAGCAATCATAATTTAGAAAAAATCCTTGATAATCTGCTCGAACAGGTTCGTTCCCTTTACTTTTCTTTTTTTTTCTTTTTTATCTTTCGGGAAGTTTAATAGAAAACGAGAACTACTAATTAACAACAACATAAAAGCGTTTTCTACATATTATGTTTTTCTCACTGTAGTTTTACATACATATATATATATATTTTTCTCTTTTCTATTTAGTATTCTTTCCGTTTTTTTCATTCATCCTTCAAATCTCTTGGGCACTTTCTTCTTTTCACTCTTCATCATTCTCGACTGAAGGGTCTTTACATAGAATACAAGCATGACAGGTTGCTTTAGTAGTAGTCAAAAGTATTAGGAAAAAAATGCGAACGAAGCAGAAAAAAGAAAGAATCAAGCATTCATATAGCAAATGTGTGTTTTCTATGTTGTCGATTCTATTAAAGCAAGAAGGATAGATAGTACGAATCGATTGTCGATTGTTAATCTCGGGAATCTTTTTCCTCTTTTTTTTTTTTTTGCTTTCTTAGGAATTTTTTTGGTATAACTAAGCATTGATTAGATATCTATCCGTTCGTTTTTTGCCTTTTTTCCTCAATGTAAATATTGTTATTTGATTATATCAATATGTTTAGTGTCAAACCGAAGATGGAACTGAAATATTAGATGTTACACTTGAAAAAGGTGATGATGGTTTAGGTATAACTGTTGCTGGTTATGTCAGTCCAGATTCAACTAATAATGGTAAATATTTGATATTTCAATTTAGTTTTTTCTATCATAAGAAATAATTCAATACATTTTATTGTCAAAACTAATATATTTCAGAGATTCGGATTTATTAAATATATAAATATCATAATAGATTGTGTTAATCTACTTGTCTAGTGATAAACATATAAATTATATATGAAAGTTATTGCTCGAGGTCAAACAGATGTTATAATAATAATGATAATACTCGAGAATTTCTTGATTTATTTTCAAAATAATCGTAAAATATTAGTGTTTGACATATATATTATAACAACAACAAAATAAAGGTTCACATAAGTCTTACGATCAAATAAATATTTCCCTAGAGTTTAGATTGTATCTTATTATTTACATTAGTAGTATCGGAATATTTTAACATTTATATATTGATTTTGTCAACACAAAAATATAATTCCAGATGGAATGGAATCCATTTGAAGTTTCGATCATCTATCATTATTAAGCATCTGTAGTTATTCTATAAATATATAATGATCGATATGAATCAATTAAACAGAAAATAATATTATTATGTTTTTATAGATGCTATTGCTGGTATTTTCATTCGTGATATAGCTGAAGAAAGTGTATGTTCACGTGATGGTCGTCTTGCAATAGGTGATCAAATTATTGAAGTAAATGAACAATCATTAAATGGATTTTCAAATGTTCAAGCACTTTATTTATTACAAAATACAAGTTCATCTGTACAATTAAAAGTTCGACGTTATCTTGATGGTGTTAAACATGAAAAAATTAAAGAAATGATTTGTAAAAATCTATTTTATATTCGATATATATGTTAATATTATTATCTTTTTAGCACTCGAATCCTCACATCAAATTGAAGAAAAAATTGAATTTCAAAATCGAGCTAATATTAATGACCAAATAAATCAAAAATGGATTAAAAGTCTTGGAAATAATTACGATATTGTTATTATTGACCTTTATAAACCAGATAATGGTAGTCTTGGAATAACGCTTGAAGGTACAATTGATGTTGAAAATGGTGAAGAAGTTGGAGCACATCATTATATTCGAACATTATTAGCTGAAGGACTCATTGGAATAGAAGGAACATTAAAACCTGGAGATGAACTTTTAGAAGTAAAAATTAAAAATAGATTTTTGTTTTTTTTAATTTTTATTTTCTTCATAGATTAATAATCAAATTTTATATGGAAAAAATCATATAAATGTTATTGAAATTTTGAAACGTGTTAAACATCAAATAAAACTTGCTTGTGCTCGCCGTAAAATACAACAAATAAATGAAGCAAATGAAAAATTAAATTCAAATCGTTCACGTTCAATATCATTTGGTAAAACAACTGAAATTGTTGTTAAAGCTAAAAGTATGGGAACATTACATTCAGCACATAATTCATTAACAAGATCAATGAAAACACGTTCATTAGAAGTTATTTCAAATTTAGCTTTATGGTCAACATCAATAGTAAATATTGAATTAAATAAAGGTGAACATGGATTAGGATTTTCTGTACTTGATTATCAAGACCCATCAAATCCAAGTTATTCACCTGTTATTGTTATACGAGCATTAGTACCTGCTGGTGTCGCACAATTAGATGGAAGAATTGTACCTGGAGATCGTTTAGTTGCTGTTAATGATATAACATTAGAAAATATGAATTTAGATGAAGTTATTAAAATATTAAAATCAACACCGAAAGGTCCTGTGAAACTTAGCTTATCAAAACCATTACCATATCCAAAATTCAAAAATGATGTTGATGATAAAATAATAACTGATAGTGATCAAGATGTAAATAATAATCGACGTTTATCACGTATTAGTAAAAGTAAAACAACAGCAGAAATGACAAATAATCATAAGGTATAATAATAAATCAAACTAATAAGTTTATAGTAATTTTATCAAGAAATTGAATATATTAGAATAATAATGAATGAAATTTTGTGTAAAATTCAAGGTCAATTATTGAATATCTATTCAGCTTATCTAATACGATTGATTCCTTATTCTTATCATATAAATTTATATGTTATCAATATTAGTACTTAAAAAGAAAAAAGGTTTTTTTCTTTACATAATAATTCATAATCAAAGTTGAATAATTTACAATGTAGATATACTAAAGTGACATTATATGTAAATTTATTTCCGATTCTATAAAGTATCTGACAGCAATCGAGAAGAAGAAGAAAAAAACGGACTATATTACAGAAATATTTATAATTTCCATAAAAATCTATTTTTGTTCTTTCTTGTAAATTAGCATAATCAAGCGGATAATGTTTTTCTTTTATAAATTAATTATGCTAAATACACAATGTCTTTCCCTATTTATTTCTATCACGCTTTAATAATTAATTCATTATAAGAGATTTTAAGAATTTTTTTTCTTAAAAGAATAAAATCCGCCGCCGTCGTCTTCGATTATCTTTACTACTATTAACATGAATTGATTCTGTATCAACATACAAAGAAAATGGGGGTTCTTTTTTCATGTTTTTATTACTCGATGTTATGATTGTATTTCGCATCTATCTTTTTTTTTTCTATTTACTAAGAATAATATCGTGTTTACACAGCTTTTCTTATTTGCTATACATAATCAATGAATATAAATATTGTTTTATATTAATTCCATCGGGATTTAATTATACAAAAATATTTTACATAAATCTATATTTATATATTAAAATTTTCTCTTTTTAGCGTTCCGCATCAAGTCATCGTTCATTAAAATCTAAATCAGCTGTCTCACCTGGTATATCATTATCTGCTCCAGCTATTTTAAGTAGACATGAATATATAGCAACATTAATAAATAAAGAAGATTTAATTAAAAAAACTGAACAACGATCATCGAGTGCTAATTATCGTAGTAAAACATCGAAAAGAACTTTTTCATCGAAAAAAACTCAATTGAAATCTGAAAAACATCCTCAATTGAATAGTGAAGAAAAACCGAAAATGCATCATTCAGATTTATCATTAATAAATACTTATATTAATTTACCCGAATTTATTGATTTTCAGTCAGATCATCTTGTTCTACCTTCATCAGTAATATTTCATCGATCTTATGACCGTTTACGTAGTCCAGCAACTATTCCCACATCGAAATATATTCGTCAATCAATTCTATCTCAAACTACATCAGTTAATACATCTACAAAACGTTTATCTCGATCAAGACATTCATGTGATGCAACAATTTATTATGAAAAACAACGGAAACAACAGAAATATTCTAAACGTTCACTCATAAATAAAGTTGATTCCATGTCATGTTTTAATGAAGTGAGTAGATTAGTGATTTCCTTTTTGTGCTTGATTCATTCAAGCAAAAGACACTCCCTAATACTCAAAGGGAAATAATAACGAAGACGAAAAACGTACATATAACGAAGAATAAAATTTGATTATTGTAATTTTCCCAAAGGATATTACAACAAGGATGACAAGAGTAAATACTAAAATTATAAATAGATAGACAGATAGATAGAAAGAAGAAGAAGCGAGACTCATGAGAATACATTCTAGAATAAAATAGAATACTTTTGAGATGCGAATAGAAATTTTGCCTTTAGAACAATAGTATTGTGATTAATTATATACTATTCAGATTCTACATAAGGTATATAAGAAAAATAATATTAGTTTTACCATTAGAAAAATCCTGATATATATCATTTGTTTGTTCGTCAGAAGTAATTATCTAATAAACAAAAAACTTCGCCTAAATTCCATATATAAATTATTACTTTTTTCTGTTTTGATAAATGTGTTTTTCTGTTAGACATTCTTCGGGAAATAGATAGAATGAGAGAATAGATATAGTAGTATATATTACATACGCAAAAGTTAGTATTAGTTTCTCATTCTGTTATTATAGACGTATGTTAGACTTGTATGTCTACTTAAGTTGTTCATGTAGATTTTTGGTTTATTGATCGTGGATGAAGTTAAATCCTTATCATACATGAGGAAATAATCATTAGTATAATTATAGAGTTCTGTCGTTTTTTTTGCTAACCCCCATTGGCGTGTGTGTCTGTTTACATTTAAGTTAATTATGATTAACATATTGAGCTCAATACATATCATTTTTTTTATTTACTTCGATGACAAGGATTAGTTGTTTATATCATCAATATGTTGACCTTCTACGTTACTATAATACCACTAGGATAAGTTACTAATTGATTTATTTCTTCTTTAGGCTGATTTAAGTAGTGACGACACTCATTTAATTCGTTCATGTTCATTATCAAATCGATTTCTAAGTCAAAATCTTCGTCAATCAACAGAACTTATCCCTGAAGATGTATCAACAATCGATGATATTAATCAATTAGATGAATTCTATGATAATAATATACCATTAACAACTCAACCAATTACATGTGCTTCCCCATCAAAACAATCATCTAGAATGGCATCACCTGCATTATCAACTAGTTCACAATCATCTGGACGTATTATTACATTACTTAATCATGAAGTTATACAATTACCTGTTCAACTTGAACGTGAAATACTCATTAAACATAATTTCGATCAACTCGGTAAGAAGAAAAAAAACGAAAAGTTTATACAAAATAAAAAATTCTATTAAAATAATATTTAGCTCTAGTAGTCGATGCTTCTATTGATGCAGGTGTTAATGGATGTTGTATACAATCAATAGTTTCACCATCAATTGAAATACCTTTAAAAATTGGTGATTTCATAACATCAATTAATAATGAGAATATGAGAAAAATTAGTAATGCACAAGCACGTGCAGTTATTCGACGTGCATCTCTTATTGGGTCAGATATCAGGTATAAATAAATATAAATATATGTTAAATCATTTCTTCAAGTTTTTATTCATTTAGTATCATTTTTATACCTGGTAATGAAGCTAAACAATTCAAAGATCAAACACTTGATTCCCAAGAAATCTTATCTAAGTAAAAACGAACTTTATATGAGAGAATTCTATTTATGAAATATATCTATTTTAGAAATCCCGATCTTGACATTGAATTCAATGATGATGAATATATTTCTTCAAATTATATTGATAATGAAAATTTATGTTCAACATTATGGGGTTCACCTCGAACTGTTATTTTATATCGTGATGAAAATGTTAAAAGTTTAGGTATAAGTATTGTTGGTGGTAAATTAGATTTTTCTGGTCCTGGTAATACAATTGAATCATGTATATCTGGTATATTCATTAAACATGTTATACCTGATTCATTAGCTGGACGTCATAGTACATTAAAAACAGGTGATCGTATACTTGAAGTGAATGGTTATAATCTTCGTGAAGCAACACACGATCATGCTGTTGAAATCATACGTTCAGCACGATCACCAATTTATTTTATTGTACAAAGTTTACTTGACCCATCAACTCAAACTTGTCAAATACAACAAAATGAAAATATGCGAATACTTAAACAATATGAACATTTAAATGGTGATGTTTTATTTATTGATATAAAAAGAAATCCAATAGAATTAAATGAACCTCTTGGTCTTTCACTTATTGGACATCGAAATCAAGATAAATTAGCTGTTTTTGTTTGTGATATTCAAGCAAATTCATTACTTGATCGTGATAATCGTCTACAAGTTGGAGATCAATTACTTCAAGTAAATTAATTTATTTTTCTAATAAAAAAACATAACCTACAACTCAAATAATCTATTTAGGTAAATGAAGAAAGTCTTTTGGAAAAATCACATTCAACAGCAACATCGGTTATTAAAGCAATGAAATCTGATACATTAAATTTTATTGTACTTCGGTAAGAATATTTTTTTTATTCAAAAATTTTATTCATTTATCCACTTCTTAAACAGCAATCCTGATGCAATTAAAGAGATGGCTTTAAGAAGTCCGTATGTAACTACACCACAGCATATTATTAATCATAATAATGAACGTAAAGATAACTATGATAGATTAACATCCGTTTTTCCACTTGTTAAACATACACATGATGATAACGAACATATGAAAATGAAGAAATCTCCTAATCAAATCATAACAATGAATAATATTGAACATAATAATGATATTTTATCTGATAAAAAACTTATTTCTCCTATTTTACCTAATAATAATAATCCTACGATATTTAGTACAAGAAGTGTTGAATTATTATCAACACCATCGGATATATCACCAACTGAAAATGATAAAAAAGATCAAGAAATTGTTACTGATGTTATTCTACCAATTGTTAGTAAACAAAGAAAAGAACTTAATACAACAATTAATGGTACATTTGTATCACATATACCTATGATGTCATCATCAAGTTCGTCTTCATCACTTTCAATTCCAACTCCAACTCCCAGTCCTATATTAAATGAACCAAAAATTGATAAACTTGAACCTATTATAAATAATATTAATCAAGCTGAAAGTATGTTAATATAAATTAGTAGTAGAAGCAAAACAAAAAGATAAAATTTATAATTTAGATGATCTTCGTACGAAACCAATTATTGTTGGACAAGAAACTTTGATTGAAATTGATCGTGAACAATCGGGTCTTGGACTTTCAGTAGTCGGTGGATCCGATACACAATTGGTAAGTTCTATTTTATCTCTGAGATGATTCATGAACTTTTTCTCTTTATTGAAAAAAGCTTAAGGCTAAATTGATATAATTTAATATTCTTCTAATATTACGCAACAACTCAAAATCTAATAAAATGATTAGATTCGAAGGACAAAGTTGTAATGAACTTTTAAGAACATCAAACTAACGCATGAGTATAATAGAAATTCAAAGAGAAAGTATTTTATTAAATCATGTAGTATTTAATTAAGTCTGAATCAATCGAATTAAAGATCTAAACTTTTTGTTTTATTCAAATTGACAATAATTTTGTAATTATTTTTTTTTCTCGCGTATTTCTATCATTAATTTAACTAATATATTCTTCATATTTTCTAACATATTTATAATAATCAAATTATATTTAGTTGTTATTCGTGACGAGAATTTGTTAGACTTAATCTATTCAGACTTTATCATAAAAAAAAACTATTTTTTTATTTTAGTCAGGAATTATAATTCATGATATTTATGAAGGATGTGCTGCACAACGTGATGGACGTTTACTTGTTGGTGATCAAATACTCGAGGTTTAATTTCGAATTAAATATGAATGTATAAATATAGAATTTTTATATAATAGGTTAATTCGATTAATCTACGTTCAGCAACACATGATGAAGCTATTCAAGCATTACGACAATCAACAAATATAATTCGCCTAATGATTTTACGTGGTGAAGTCGTGAATGAAGAGGATAAATTTGATATAATAACAGTTGATTTAATTAAAAAATCTGGCAAAGGACTTGGTATATATAAAATAAAAAATTTATATTTTATGAAAAATATTTTTTTCATTTTAGGTTTTAGTATCATTGGTAGACGACATGGTTTTGGTGTATTTATATCTCATATTGTAAATTTGTTTTCTTTTTGCTTCTAAATTTTATTTTTGTTAAATTAGATTGAAAATAGTTCGGCAGAAAAAGATGGTCGACTTATGTCTGGTGATTTAATTCTTGAAGTCAATGGAAAAGATTTACGTACAGCTGCATATGAACAAGTTGCTTATACATTAAAAGTAAAACTTGATTTATTTCATAATTATGTTTATTTATTTTTATTTTCTTAGACACTTCCACATAGTCGTGTTTATATTAAAATTGGTCGTCTAAAAGCTAATGCTCGTCAAAATTTAGTTTCAAATGAACCTAAAAATCGATCACGTTCATCATCCGCTAATAGAATAAATGATAGATAATAATTGTTGTTGTTTTTTTTTATTTTTCTTCAATAGTCATATATAAAAACCATACTCTAGTCGTTAACATATCTTACTTTTAATACAATTGATAAGTAAAACAAAAGAAAAAAAACAAGAAGAAGGGAAATTTGTCGTTTTTGTCTTGTCAATTTATTTATGCTTCCAATGAAAAAAAAACTAACTTTTTTTTTGTTTGTTCATTTAAATAATTCTTCGATGTGAAAATGGAAAACTTTATGTTTATTGCTCGGGTTTTGTAATACTCCGGTTATATTTGTTTTCTTTTTGTATAGTTTTTTTCTTCGTCGATAATACAAAATTAGAAGGGTGAAAATACACACAAGATCGAAAAATAAAATAAGAGCTTTGTGTAAATAGTTTGTGTTGATATTATTTATGTTATTTTTATTTGTCTTAAAAATTTTTTTTTTCATTTATATTGTGTCACAAATTGATTAATAAATCCTATGCAAAGTTATTTCATTTTCTTTATATTTCAAATTTGTCATAATCAGTTTTTTATGTTATGATAAATATTCTACTCCATAACGCTAATATAATACATCATCATTCTACTGGAAATAAAAGAACATGATCGAATAAATTAATCACGAACGGAAATATCATTTTAAACAGATACATATGTGTTCAACTAACATATAATTAATTAGTACTATAAGTCGTAATCAATTACAAAATGATTATAGTCAATGCTTTTGGAATAAACGCAGTTTATATCACTTGTCAAGATAAAAATCCACTAACAAATACCTTCAGAATTATACCAAGAGTGTTTTTTTCATTAATACTTGAATTTAAGTTTCAAGTTTTACACTATTATCATATGTATATATATTGTAATATTAACTAAATTTTCATTTATTTTTACTTTATCATCTACTATATTAGACCGCATGACACAAAAATTATAAATCTTACTTTGTGTTCCCTCGCAGTTCATGCTTGAATGGTTTATTTTTCTTTTCTGTCATATTAATCATACGTTTATATGCTATATGCGCACTTCACCATATAGCATGGATATTATTTTGTAAAATACCTATAACAAGTAAGGTATCATTTTATCTTTGTTTATAATATGAGACATGTGTTATAAATAATCAGTAAAGTTCAATTATTACGAAGACACTTCGATAGTATTAATTAATCGTTAAAAAAATAAAATAAAGCTACTCATTTTGTTTGTTCTTAAATCAAATAATGACTAAAACGATATATTTTGATATAGATCAAAATTTGATCTAGTTGACAAGACTGTTTATAAGAAAGATTTATTTGTTTTAGAAAAAAATAAATTGTATATGTGCAGTATTGTTTTACTGATATAATGCCGTTTCGCACATGGTTTACACAAAAAAAAACTGACGTTGACAAACCAAAAAAAAGCAAAACACGTCGAGATGAAGAAGTCACAACTGAACGTGAGGATTTAGGTTATGGTGATGAAAACAAAGGTGATGACGAAAATATTATAATCGTCTATTTATCAAGTGATTCACCCGATAGTAAAGTTATTGAAATTCTCAATTCTATCAATAATAATGAACTTCAGGTTAGTCCATCGACGTTTCTTTGTGGACAAAATAGAGAAATTTCGATAGTCTATCTTATTCTGTGAATAGACATTCTTTTAACAGCAAAAAAAACTGAAGAGATGAATCTTATCATTCTATTTATTTGTTTTTGAATTAAAGAAAAATATTTGGCATTGTTCATTTTGTTCGTAGATCATGGAGACGGAACAAGAGTGTGTTGATTGGATTATATCAATGAAGGACAAGAAGATATTTCTTATACTTGACAGCCCACCAACAGAGACTCTTCTCACTTCTCTCGAAACTGTGGCTCACGTCGATTCGTTAATTGTGTATTCTCCTACGTTGGAGAAAGGGGATGAAATACAACAAAATCGTATTATTACTCGATGTCAAGATCCCACATCTCTTGCGGATACTATTCGTTCAGCGCGCGATGATCTGGCGAAACAGACTGCTGCCTGTAGTGTATACAATCAAAAGGAGACCGCTACACGAGATCTCAGTAAAGAATCAGGCTCCTTTTTATTTTTTCAAATGTTCAAGTCCGTTCTTTTGAATATGCCCAAGTCGGCCGAAGCTAAAGAAATGATGGTTTCAAAATGTCGTGCATATTATCGAGGCAATATCAAGGAAATGGCCAATATTAGTGAATTTGATCTGACATACAAATCAACGGAAGCTATTGAATGGTATACTAAGGAAACTTTTCTCTACAGGTAAATTTCGAAATATGTGTAATCTAATCAGTCAACATGAATTATTCAGAAATCTACTTTTATTTATCAAATATGTACGCAAATAATATTTTAAAAATTATAAAAAAAATTGAATCGTCCTAGTGTTCTTACATCTTTATAATAATTTTCTAATGAAATCTTTTGTTAAGATTCATCAACAAGGCACTCCGTACTGAAGATGTCGATGTACTATATCACTTTCGTTTCTATATTATTGATTTATGCAAGCAACTTGAAATAAAATACATCGAAATGAAAAGTACAATGAAGGAAGTACTAAAATTATATCGTGGATTGAACATTAGTCCTGATGAAGTACAAAACTTCAAACGAAACATGGGTAATTTGATTTCGACCAACGGATATTTATCGACAAGTCGAGATCGTTCGGTTGCATACGGTTTTGCTACAAAGCCCAACAACCGAGTAGGAGTTGTGCGTTGTCTTTTTGAATATCAGGTGGATTTGGAACTTGTCAAAAATATTGTTGTTGCTGATATTTCTCAATATTCGGCATTTCCAGAAGAAGCCGAAGTACTTGTTGATATTGGTAAGTCTTTTAAGCGAATATTCTTTGAAAATAACTATCAAGTGCTATTTATCATTTTGACTAAATTAAATGTTAATTCTATATCAATCTGATCTTTTAGGTGCATCATTTCGAATTGAGTTATGTGATTACGATCCGACTGATGATCTATGGCATGTCATGGTAGCGGCAACTGATCAGGGTGCTGCATTAGCTGCCGAATATATGGAATATCAGAAGAAGAAAATGATTGATGCAAATGTTATTCTTATGTTTGGTAGTTTACTTCTTGAAATGGGAGAATATGACAAAGCAGGCAAATATTTTGATAATATTCTAAATTCATCGGCTCCAAATGATGAAGAAATTGCGTGTCTCTATTTTAATTTCGGTCGTACCCATCGACTCAAAGAAAATTTTGAACGATCAATAACTTGTTATACAAAGTCATACGACCTACATTTTTACACTAAACCTAAACGACTGGCCAGCGCAGGGAAGGCACTTAATGGTTTGGGAATTGTTTATTGTGAAATAGGTGATCAAGATAAGGCAATGGAATGTTTTGAAAGAGCTATGAAACTATTTAACAAGAGTATTCGACGAAAACATGTCGATATAGGTGGAACACTCATCAATATGAGTACGATTCAATATGAAAGAAGACAGGTAAGATCATTGAATGATATCTTTATGAGCACATGTATACATATGGCTAATAATAAAATTTTCTTTATTCTTAGTACGACATCGCTTTGGCGAATGCTCGTGAGGCACAAAAAATCTTCGAAAAAGCACTTCCACCTGCTCATCCGAATAACGCTTTGACTTTGGCTACTCTGGCCAATATTTACTTGGCTCTTGGTGAATATGATCTTGCTCAAAAAAATTATGAACGTGCTTTAGAACTCGAAATGATAGCATTACCTAGCGATCATCCAGATATTGCTCGAACATTACACAACATTGGATTAAATCATGCACATCAATACTATATGAATGAAGCACGTGATTATTTCGAAAAGGCAATGGATACAGTTGCTCAATCATTATCCAAAGAACATCCGATCATACGAACAGTTGATACTAATCGAAATCATGTACTTCATGGCGCGCATAAGCGTCTCATGTTTCGATTTTAATGTTAATTTGTAAACATTTCATAATAATTATAAGGATGTTTCGCTTCTGTTCAATAAAATTATATTCTACTACATATTTAGTTTTTTTTATAAAATTAGAACAAGTATTGTTTGTTATAATCAATAATAATTTAATTATGGTTATTCATTAGATTCGAGCACAAAATAATAATCGATTCTTTTTATTCTTAATATACGTTGTTCATTTTTCAGGAGAAATATATTATCTGATCGTATAGATAACAATTGCTACCGTTTTTCTCTAAACTCAAACAAAGAAAGTATTAATCATCAGTTGTATTCTAAGTCTATGTATTCTTAAAATATCCATGTTAAATTATTCCTGCCGAATAAAACAATATTAGATCTTCATAGCAGAACATCGTTATCATTTATTGTATTTTGTAAATGACTATTACAATGAAATATAATAGATGTCGTACTAAATAATAGTACTTCTTATTTTTTGCGGATAAATAGTATGCAAGAGTATGTATGTACATCATAGAGATTTGGAATTTTATTAAAAGAAGCATATGAAAATTGAGTGAGACCATCCTGATTGGTATTGATAGGTTTTTTCAATTGATCGAATTTGCCTAGAACACTCTAGATATTTACGCATCATGAATATTACCTATCATATTGATTTGTATCATAATTTTTATACGCCATTTGCTTTAATAATAATAACCATGTGTATGCAATTTATTTGTAGGTTAATGGTATTTCTCCCGTTCTTGAATCATCACCTTCTATATACTAGTATAGGGCGAAAAAAAATTAATGAAAAGATACGCTATTGATGACTGTAATCAACAATAATAATATTTTCTTTTTCTTTTAAGGTATTTTCATTCTCTTAGATTATACGCGTTATTTGCTTCATACAGTCATGTAAGTATTATTTTGTTTTTGAAGATGGAGCAAAACTAATTAATATATATTTAATCAGTATGACGACATTTAAGAATAAGCAAGTAACCAATTTTATATTATTATTATTGATTATCTCTTTCGTATTCTGTTTATCTATTGATGTATCTGCCTGTGTTTTACATTGTGTACACTAATAGATATTAACATGCGCAAAAAAAACGAAAATATTTATTATATGCGATTTATAATACTTTATTAAAAATATACGAATATATTTGAAGTATATTATAAACTGTGGATGATAAAATATGATAAAATAGTAATCAACTTAAAATTAATAGTTTCAATTTTCAATGAAAAAAATTAAAAGTGTCAAAAAACACATTTATAATATCAAATTTTTGTAACATTCATAAAAAACTACACAAAAAAAATTTGATTAGTAGACTAATAAACTATTTTAGTTCAATAAAAAATATTTAAAAATACGCAATTTTTTAAAATAGAATTTAAATTTTGTTATGAATTTATCTTAAAATTTCAGATAAAATGACGATGGACGTTGAAATACATCCAGTGGATGACCCCAATGTATTAAAATTCTATATTGATCCAGAAATGACTCAATTTGAAGAAGTAGGTGGAACATGTTCGAACAGAGATAATCCAGACGAAATCTGTTGTACAGTTCGTAGCATAGTTATAGGAATAGTATTTGTAATTGGTATATCGTTTCTTCACCAATGGACTGTTTATACTTACACAAGTACTTACATTGGTCCCATGCTAGCCATTATTATAACATATCCAGTTGGACACCTATGGGCATATGTTATACCTAATGCAAAACCATTCACTCAGAAGGAACATGGTCTTATACTAGTTATGACAAATGTAGCTTGGATGTATTATTTACAATTCAATTTTGCTGTATCTGCTGCATTACCAATATTAGAAAATGATAAAAAAAACTTTGCAAATTATTTCTTTCTCGTTTTGGCGTTTCAATTTCTTGGCTTTGGACTTGCAGGTAAACATTTCTATACTTGATAGATCTAAGTAGAAAGATCATACGTAATAATAGTAAAAAAATATAACTGTTATAATATTTTCACAGGTGTTCTTCGACGATTCTTGGTTTGGCCAACAGAAGTCATCTGGCCACAAAATTTACCGCTAATCGCTATTTTACGTACTTTACATGAACGCAAGACAACTACGAAAGAAACAACTTATGGTCCTGCTGCACGACGTTGGAGCTTGAAGGAAACGTTAATCCAAAATAAATTACTCTTTTTTGGTATAGTTGTCTTTTTAGCATTCTTCTACGAATGGTTTCCACTATATATTATGCCTTTTCTATCTGTTTTCTCATGGATGTGTATGTTCAATCTTAATAATCGTCTTCTTGGTCAGTTAACTGCTGTTCGTGGATTGGCATTAGCTGGTGGTGGACTTACTCTTGATTGGATGAAGATAACAGTATATCTTGGATCACCACTTATTTTACCTGGTTGGGCTTTATTCAATATTGCATTTGGTTTCGTATTAATTATTTGGTTTATTGTTCCGATTGTGTATGGATCGAATGTACGTGGCGTAAAAACTCGTCCGATTGCTGGAGTTATGTTTTCAGGAACTACAGCTATGAATCTTGTTACAGCATTTACTTCATTTGCTTATCTTCCATGTATTTTTGTACATACATTTCTATTTCATGGACACAATCTCTGGACACAATTTCGTACAAAATCACTTGGCAATACAGGAAATGATATGCATAATCGACTCATGTCAGTCTATCCACAAGTTCCTGATTGGTGGTATTTCATACTCTTCTCAATATCCTTGATTATGGTTTGTGTCATTTGTAATCAAAATGGTTGGTTACCATGGTATTTAGTGCTTCTTACTCTTTTCATTAATATGATGCTTGTACTTCCTGTTGGACTTGTTTCTTCTATAACAGGACAGTTTCTACATAATGCACCTGTTTATTATCTTGGTGTAATGGTTTCTCAAGGATTGAATTTAGGAAACGAATCAGCAAAAACATATAGCTTTATCGTCGTTGGTTATATATTATTTATTCAATCACTCGCTCTAATACAAGACATGAAATTAGGTCACTATCTCAAAATTGGTCCTCGTTACATGCTTTTTGCACAAGCTCTTGCAGGCTTCGTATGTTCTACATTTAGTGTTGGTATACAATATATGAACTTTAATAAATACGGAATTAATAATGACTATGATTCAAGTTTTTCTATATTCGATTATACATTACTTGGTGGCAGTGCTTTCTCTGATATAGATGGTTTCTTCGGTGGTGCAAATCGTGCTAATCGTGCTTTACTTTGGGCATTTTTAGTTGGAGCACTATTACCTATTCCTGGTTGGTTATTATCAGGCTGGCCACGTTTTACTTGGTTAAAACATTTACACTGGCCTCTTATTCTAATATCATTTAGTTGGATGCCTGCTCTATTGTCAGCAGGTGCACTTTTCACTTGGCTTCTTGTCGGTCTTGTAGTATATTTTACTATTGGTAAACGTAGCTGGAGTCAACGTCACATTTATTTAGCTTCCGGTGCACTCGATCTAGGTCTTAATTTGGCATTGATCTTTATAAACACAATATTTTTAAACCAGGACAATTATTTTCCAAATTGGAGAGGCACTTCAACGAACAAAGGATGGGACACTTGTAAACAAGCACTTTTAGCACAGTCATAAACGATGTAATAAACGTATCTAACTTTTCAAGAAGATTCACTGACATTATATACTTCGACATTAGAAATGTTCTTGTCTATGTTTGTATTTTTTTCCTTTTGATATTTATTTGCTTCATAAAAAAAAATATCATTAACTTTTTTTTCTTTTCATATCATTCTTTTATTTCATTTCATTATAAGAAAAAAACGAATAATCTTTTAAACGATAATATTAACATACGAAGAGTTCAGAAATTATTCTTTTTTTATCAGTTTTAAGACTTAATTACATGCATAGACTGAAATTATATCAATAGAGACAATATAATATAGTTTACTATGCAAACAGTAAAAAAAAGTAGACACAAATAATATTAAGTTTCTAACATGTGTGATTGAAAGAGTCATGTTTATTTCGAAAGCATAATAGATCATCAGAAAAATTATCTTTTGAAGGAGAATAAAGTAAATCCTATGATTTCATTTATTATTCTCTTTCTCTCTCTGGTAGAGTGATCGAACAATAGTTGATTAAGTAATTTTCTTATAAAATTGAATATTAATTATATGATGAATTTCTATTCGCATCGGTTATCTATTCATCATTATCCTTGTGAAAAAAAGACAATTATTGATTAAGAATTCTTATTAGAAAAATTCTTTTCTTCATTTTTCTTTGTTTAAACTTTTTACATTATCTCGGAACGATTTGATTAGATAATACCAAGTAATTTATATAATGTTAAAAAAAAGAAACCAAATGTCAGTTAATTATTGAATTGTACTAGCATTCTTTTATACCTTTTTTGAAACAGGAAATTATAACGGAACTAAGTATCATATGTATTTCTTTTATCGATATTCGGAGAGAGAAAAAAAAGTTGAATCTATTTCTCTCTTAGCCATTTTATTGATATTAACACTAAAGATGAAAAGAGTATGTCAAATTCAATTTTATAAGATACATATAAGCAACAAAAAAATTCATTATTTCTGATTAAGTTTATTTAGTATAAGCTGCTCATGAAAAATCTAATTTTCCGTCACCTACACAAAATTTTCTAGATGAATGACCCACTCTTCAACGAGATTCAAAACACCTTGACTTATATAATGAATGATGTAACACTAAATTTACAATCATAATGTACATATGTACTCAAAAAAGAGACCAACTGCAAAGTCCATTCATCACCATTTCTTTCTTTTTAACAAGCGCCACATGGCATTTAGTTCTAATTATATATCCAAGTTTTATATAATTAATATATGGTCATATAAGTCCAGTTGTGACATTGAAAATATTCGTTCTTTTTATTTCATCGATTTAAATCAACATGTAGTTATAAGGTTGTATCTTTCTTTAGAAGATGATCAATAACAATTTTCAGGTCAAATAATTCTAATCATATGCTATGCTATTCGATGAGCAAGCGCATATATGAAAAGTAACACTCTGAAAAAATTTTATTCCATTAATTGCTGTTTCTCTCACCAACGGTCATCAGAACGAAAAAAAGAATGAGAAAATTTACATTCACATCGATGAGTATAATGAATGAAGACTAAGAAAAGAGAGAGAGAAAGAGAAAGAGAAAAAGAGAGTGAATAAGAGAATTTCTCATTCTTTTTTTCATTGTAGGAGATAGCTACTTGACAATAGAGACACAAACATACATATATCGACTAAACAACATGATTATTGATAGAGAATAATCTTATATATTCAATATGCATTCTGCACTCAGGTTTCATCCTAGTTAAATACTATAAAATGATAAATAATATTTACTTTTAAATTTAGACCAAAACCTCCTGTCAAATTACCTCCATCATTAATTCCATCATGTACAACACATATTAAAAAACCATCTATAAGTCAAAATAATCATCATGAAAAATCCATCATTAATACAAATGAACATCATTTAAAAGCAATTATTAATGGCTATAAAAATATCGAATTAAATAATTCCATATCAGAAAAATGTATTTGGTCATTAGGTTTAATTAATTCCAAAGGAAAATATCTAACAGCTGAAACTTTTGGATGTAAAATAAATGCGAGTAAGTTGATTGAAAACAAAAAAAAAAGAATTTTTTTCTTAAATTGTTTTATTTAGCTGGAACATGTTTAAAAAAGAAACAAAAATGGAGAATTATTTATAATATTCAAAATGATTGTATTTATCTTCAATCTTCACTTCATCATTATTTATCAACAGATAAATATGGTCGTTTAAAATGTGATGCATTCGATATGGATAATGATTGTCGTTTTCAACTTGAATATAATCAAAATGGACAATGGGCATTTAAATCGTTAACTTATGGCATGTATCTTGGTGGAGATATTGATCAACTTCATTGTTTTAGTAAAATACCGGAATGGTGGTCACCTCATTTAGCTCTTCATCCACAAGTAAAATATTAATTCTTTTTTTTTTCTTTAAATTAAATGAATCTATCTTAATTTAGATTAATCTAAAACATGTTATTCGTAAACGTTATGCTAAATTAGATAATGATGAAATTCATATAGATGATATTATTCCATGGGGTAGTGAAGCTATACTTACAGTTGAATATGCGAATGGTCAATATTATATTCAATCAAATAATGGACTTTATTTTCATAAAGATGGAAAATTAATTGGAAAAAAAACTGCTGAAACATTATTTACAATTGAACTTTATAAAGGATATTTAACATTTAAAGATTGTAATCAATGTTATTTAACAGCTATTGGTCCATTAGGTATAATGACAACACGAAATAAAATAGCTGGTAAAGATGAACAATTTCTATTAGAAGAAAGTAAACAACAAATATGTTTAATTGCATCAAATGGTAAACTTGTATCAATAAAACAAGGTGTTGATTTATCAGCAAATCAATGTGAACGTGATCATAGTAGTATATTTCAACTTGAATATGATGAGAATTTAGAACTTTATCATTTACGAACTTATAATAATAAATATTGGAAATTAGAAGGTTATGGTGTACAAGCAACAGCAGATAAACGGTAAGATATTATTTTTGATTTAAAAGAAGAAACAAAAATAATGAATGATTAATATATAGATCGATAGAAACTGGTTTTTATATTCAATCAACAACTAATGGACATGTAGTATTTCAAGCATCGAATGGAAAATATATAATTCCTCATGCAACTGGACATATGCGTGCTATTGGTGATCAAATTAATTTAAATGAAAATTCATTCTTATTAAAATTTATTAATCGACCATTTTGTGTATTTAAATGTGATTTTGGATATGTTTCTTATAGAAATAAACAATCACGTTTACTTGAATGTAATAAATCTATATTTACATTATTTACACTTGAAGAATCAGATGATGGAATTGTGCATTTTAAAGGTTGAAGAGAAAAACAAATTTTTATTCTAATTTTAATTTTAATTTTATTTTATTTCATAGGATCAGATGGAATGTATTGGGAAATATTAAGTGATTTAACTATTAGTGTTACTGGACATGAACCATCAAAGTTTATGTTAGAATTATGTTCAACACATTCAAGAATTATTATAAAAGCACCTAATGGAATGTATTTACGAGCTGAACAAAATGGAAGTATACAAGCAACATGTGAATATAGTCGACAAGCAACACAATGGGAATTTTAAAAGAGAATTTACTTTTTTTTCTTCTCTTCTTTTCTTTTCTTTTCTTTATTGTCAATGTCCAATTAACTATCTATTATGATCCTCAGGTCAATAGTTCGTTGTTGTATATGTGTGTGCAAAAAGATAGATGTATTGTACAAATTGTTTGCGTAAGCATCATCATCATCATTGAGATTGAGACATGGCTTTTTATTGACATTTTCTTTTTTTCGTTTGATTGAGTATCTGTTTAATACATTTTTCATTTATGAAGAAATGATGTTGTTCGACTGTGAATATAATTCAGCATTGTAGTAGTTAACATTTTTACTATTAAATAAAAAAACAAGCAAATAAATAAATTTTCATCTTGCTTTTTTTCGTATTATAATAAAACTTGTCTCTTGCGAGAATGAAATGAAGTTTTTAAAATAATTGCTTCTACGTTGATCTTAGATAAAGTTCTATTCAGCTATTTTTTATTATATCTATTGCCATTTAGATCAGTGAGTGAATACTTATGGAAAAATAAACATACAAAAAACCATGCTTTGTATTTAAAGATATTCATTAAAGTATAGAAACTGATTTTAGAGCAGAATAATCACATTATTGAACGTCTGAATTTTGAAGATCTTCACTTTCGTGTGGTTATTAAGGCTTTAGCCAAAGTCTTACTTATAAGATATTCGTTTAAAATGAATACCTTTCAGCTAAAACTTGCTTTATTGACCTTGTTACACAATAAGCATTGCTTGTCTTTTCTATAAGAATTCGTTTTTTTAAATTAATTGGTGGGTGTGGATGTGGCTAATACGTTTAGTCTACGTTCACTCTTACCCACATTCATATCCTCAAGATGGTTAGAAGTCAAACTATAACACATATCTACCTAGAGTTTCGAGTAGCTAAGCAGAATTCTATCACCAACTATTTTCAGAAAACTTCTTTGTACTGACGAGAATGGATAATCTTTAAGAGAAGCATGCGTCGTACATTTGATACTTTAAGCCTTATATTGTGTTTTTCTTTAGATTCAGAAATATTTTTAACGGAGAGCTATAGTAAAGCATCTCTAAAGTGGATACCTCGGTGAGGGTGTGAGTGAGAGAGGACAAAAAAACCTTCATTCACACTCTCAAAGTATTTTGTCAGTGTCATCTATTTTGCCTCGCATCCATATATACTTCTTTTTGACTGCGATTTTACAAAGTCTAGGTCTATGCTAGTGGAAATATTCTCCATTATCAATTTGTACATAATCGTATCTGACTGACAAATCTTGTTGTTAGACGATTTGAAAACGCTTGTTCGAGTTTTCCTCTTCTGTATCTTAACAAAATATTTGAAGTGCATTTGACAGTCATACAGAAACATATATTATCTTCCATTAGTCTTATCACTATGACCTCTTATTGAAGGCACTTTTTGTAGAGTCGAACCAAACTTTTTCGTTTGCAAAAATTTCATCTGACTTCGACCATAAATTCAGATGTTCGATGAAGAAAAAATCTAAACAGCACATCTGTTCAGGTGCAATCATTGCACACAATTACTAGTCGATCAATACGATCTCAAATGAGCGAGGTACAGTTGACAATCAAGACTAAAACAAATGTTCCAACATTCTGCATTCAATAATATATCAATGAACATCAACATGATCTATGTTGTTAATATCGATGTGAAAAACGAATGCGTGAAGTTAGATTAATTATTTTTTGCACGAAAAAAAATAGATAAAAAAAGGATATAGTATACTTATAAAAGTATTGCTCTTGTTCGTTATTTTTTTTCCCTTTGGGTTAGAGCGAACACGTGAGTAACTATGCAACTATAGGTTAGAACAGTTTCTATAAAGCCTCTAAAGCGAAATGCAGGATTAATTATATTGAAAAAAAGTTAATTCTGTCCTTTCAATTTGATTAGTACAATTTTTGAATGCTGTTGGAATCTTCAACGATCGCCAGACTCATCACTGGTTTGTGCATACCATCATATGAGTCAACACCGTGAAAGCCTCCGGCAAAATAACACATTTTCGACTCATTTACATTTTCATCTTTGACTTTGACTGGTACAACTAACGAATTCAGTTTAATATCTTCCATATGGTAACTTCCATCCCAGTGATTTCCATAACAAAGTCGAAGAAACCAACCATTCACGTAAGTTCCATCTTTCATACTAAAAACAACAAACATGGACTACAATTAGTAGTGATTATGCATAATTTCATTCATTTAATCTCTGGGCTATCGAAAAAATACTGAAAAATGTTATGACATCGAGAGTTTTTTTTGTGAAATTTTCTATTATTTTGACAACGTTATGAACAAGTACATAAACATCACTCACCCCGACATGCCATTTCTGTGTTTCAGATCAAAAATGGTATCCCAGAATTGATTATCGACCTTACCCTCATAGGTTTGAATACACTGATTGAGAATGGGTAGTAGACCAGTGATATACGTAGCAAATTCGTCTTCAGGAGTGCTGAACGATTGCAATTGTCTAGTTTTTTCTTGCAAAAGCTTCCAGTCATCCAAAGTACCCATAAAGTGAACATTACGAATTCCACACCCTGCAACACAATAATCATAATCGAAGTATTTCTTGAATGTGGTCATAATAGCCACACATGAGACGAGTGATTCCACCTGGGTCGTCGTGGAGAAATTATTCGACAGAAGATCACAAACATCATTTTTGACATTTTTATTGACTTCCAGGCGCATATCTTCCAAGAAACGATTCCAACTACAAATTGAAGAAAAACAGTTAATTTTGACTGACGTGAGTAGCAGTTATTCATGGCAAACTTTGACAATCTATTGTTTAGCACAACAGCATAGTACATGAGAACGTTTTTTGCAGTTCAAAACCGCTGAAATCAAGTGCTAAGGCTATTATCGTCTCAGATCTGAACGTTCATTGATATTAGTATTTTCAAGCAAAGCCTTAGAATATATGCACTGTTATAGAATTCGGTACGGAGTTAATATCTTATCACCTGCAGTATTACGTCTGATTCTAACCTGTTCTCTTGTCCTAGACCTAATAAACAAAGATTTATCCTGTTCGACTGTACTCCAACAGCTAAGAGTTAAAAAAGAGTGTTCGTGAAGGCTTTCGCATAGATGCAACACTGACAAATCTTTCGCTCGTATGTTGACGATGGCAAAAAGTACAGTAGAGATGATTAGTGTTTGACGCAAATCAGATCGATATTCGTCATCGAAAGAGTAACTCGAATTCGTCTCTGTTATTTAAACTTCTGGAATTAAATCTTATGAGATACGAGACTGCTCAATATGTTTACGCAACTTAGTCTAATTCAACCGAATGTAGAATGATTCTGAAGAAGATTCAAATTGTGAAACTGGCATATCGAAAGAAATCGTTTATGATAGATGAAACAATATCCATTTTTTTAAGATGATCGTTCAAGAATGTCAAAGTCGGTCAAATGGAGACAAAAAACAAACTTTTACCATTAGCAAATAGTTACATGTTACTTACTTGGGTTTGTCAAGTATATGCGTCACAGTCAATTCCTTTTTGCCATCATGATCAACAAAAAAATGACGAAGTTTTTCCGCATTATCATTGACATATTTCGAAAAGCCGATACACACCATAAGCCAGATGTCATCTGGTGATAAGATAATGTCTTCATGAGAATTATAAGCATTGAGAAATGCTGTCAGAATTGGATGACTACCATCAGCATGGGTGTCTAAAACAAAAGACAACAACAATATTGATAAATTCTTTACAAACGGATGTCGATTCTATGAAGATGATGTGTTCCAACAACAGGAACAACATCAGTTGCAAACTTCAGAACCTGCCAAATGACGCAAATATCGTTCATCAGAAGTTAACCTAGGCGGTGCAAACTATCAGAGTAAACGTGTTAGTTTTGTAGCAAAGTCAGTATCATTTGGACATAAGTTCTTCTTCGAGTCGAAGTAAAAGAGCTGACATTTCTATCGAATAAAAATACTTACACGGTCCATTTGCTTTACTATACAAGAGTTTGTATTGTGCAGTAGATGTAGTATGGCTTTGCGCCCCAGGCAATTCATTCGCAGCATCGTTCGTATTTGTACGCTGAACTACATCTGTCCAGAAATTGTCTGATGGAAGATCCTTCGATGGTTCAGCTGCATAGCTTTTCGAAATTTTTGGCAGTTCACTCCGAATTGGTACTGTGTGATAAATCAAGCGCTGACGATCAGAACGTGCCGGATCATGAGATGACAATGGTTGTTTTTCTTGTTGACCTCCACGAGTGCTCATTTTAGATGAATTCTGATTGTTTTTGTTTGCCATAATTAAGAAGTAAATCTTTTCAGAGAAAAAAAACTTTACTGAGTGCCAACTGAAGTGCTTCTAACGAGATTGGTGATAACTCGAATTCTGAAAATGATAAAAATAGATGGTTAAATGTAAAAAAAAGAACTAAATCGTTTGATTTTATGATTTTAACTTGATCAAGATTGGCGAACTCTTAATCATGAACCATCCAGTGTCATGCATGTTTTGACCGTTTTCTAACGCAGCTAAAAGTATATTATAAGAGAAAAAGGCGATAGTTGCTCTAGTTGTACAGATCGAATTTGTTGAAAATATAACAACGCGAAAGAAAAGGAGAATGAATCGCACACTCTCTATATACAATCTTAGCTACACTTCAATACTTGTTTAGAATCAACTTTTGTTCAATAGTAGAAAAAACGTTTTTATGACAACTTCTATAAAATCATCATGTTAAACACACGATAAGATTAATTTAGTCGTACAAAAAACTCAAACCATATTTGACAACATATATGAGCGAATACAGTGTAGAAATAGTGGTAGAGGTTTTGAATACTCTTTTTTCGTACTACTACATTCAGGTACAAAGAAAACTTTCTACTATTACGAAAAAAATATTGATGATGAGACTACGATTAAGAGGAGTACTAGCGGTATCTTTATGTAATCGTTCGTCCCGAAATCAATCATTTTGGGATGTCGTAGGCAAAACGATCTGGTCCTTTTATCTGCTGCATCCCGTCGATATTCTAGAAACTCAGTCGAAGCTAGTCTTCTCTTACGAGACCAGAGTCTTACTTATTGTTCATCAGTCTATAAGGAAAATTCGAACGATGTCAATACTAGTAACGATCGAATGCATCACTTCTTCGTCGACAAATGAAAGCCACGTGGTTTTTTCCAACAGATACTTATTCTCACGTGTAGGAAGTAAATATGCTCTCGTCGCAATGGGGTATGATATTTGAATGAAATATGCGTCACACCATTATATTTGTTGTGCTCGATCGCAAAGTTGCTCACCTGTAATATTTATTTTCTTTCTTTCTCTCCAACATTGTCGATTTTGGATGAGAACTACTCATGCAGAGAAATTCGTTTGATAATCAGAAAAAACCTGATTTTGAATCGAGTATAATCAGAAAAAAACCTGATTTTGAATCGAGTATAACCAAAAGTAGCGCGTCCTGGGTGATTATTCATGAGTAAATTAATGATTAAAATTGTATTATTATAATCGATTCTAAATCAGATTTTTTGATTATTTTTTTACATAGGTAGTTCCGAGATAAGGTGAATTGCGTTCTTCCTACAAACTTATGTTGTTTTTTTCGAAATTTTTCTCCTTGTACGAGATGAATATGATCGATAATCAGCTTTTTCGGTTTATTTTTTGGAGAGAAAAAAAATCATGAAAGCAATCATTTATTCGTATTATTGATCGACTAGTATAAATGAGTATGAGAGTTATATTCGAATAATGGTAAAACATCATCCATTCCGTTCAGCAAGCAGACAACGAAATATTATTAATCTGTAAAAATTAGAGATTTAATTACATCTGACGGGTTTCGTAAATCTCAACAGACATTTGAATAATTTTAATTCTCGAATTACTACAATTAAAAATACATCTATGTGTCCTTTATGTGTTATTTATAATTAAACGCTCAGATATAATGATCGTAACTATAGTACTTTGGTCTCAAATTCAGGATGAAAACTTTATTTTTTTCTTCTCTTTAATATTTTTTTCTAATTAATTAAAGACATATTTGGTCTGATGTGGTATGGTACGATAGAGGCCGCCAATAGCTACAATTAACCATAGTCACGAAAATAAATAATTATTAATTCTATCTATAACTGTGACTTATCTCATCTTGATTTTTTCATGTCACTGTTACGTGTTGATTTCATTTTGATCAATCCACTTCACACTCACACACTCTAACTATCATTTACCAATAGTGTTCTGGTCAATCATTTCAATTAACTTAGCTATACAAAAAATAAATGTTGATTATAACAAAGATAATTATAGTCATGAGCATGGTGGTTTTCGACCAGATGCTAATCGTAAACAACAGGAAGTGATCACATCGATTCACGCAATGGTGAATGAAAGAAGAACTCATGGTACACGTACACAACAAATATCACGGTACAAGATCTAATTGACATAATGGATAAATGAATTAAAATGGCTACATCAAGGTGTTTCATCTACTTTTATGATACAAGAACACATTTCGAACACTATCTAGACTTATTGACTAGAAAGGTATATATAATCAATAAAGATCTTATTTTCTATTCAAATCCGTTTTTATCTATATTAAATAAGTTTGAGGGTGTGGGTGTTGAATACATCACGTACTCACACCCACACCCTCAAGTAATTATTATTTTTTTTTTTCAAAATAAAAAGAAATTTTTAATTAAGTGATCGCAAGAGAAATTGATTAGTTTATTGAGAAAAAAGAAAGAAGAAAACAAAAATAAAAATGAACACAAACACAAACACAACTAAACTCTTTTACACTTCTCGCTACATACTATTTAGATCTTCCTGCAGCTGTATCGTAAAGAATCTCCATTTGCATATTGATGTTGTATGCCATGTTTACACGGATTAACCTGAAATATACAAAATTCACCAGCAATATTTCTGCCAATATGTAACACAATGTCTCCACATGCCCTTCGACTTTGATTGATTTCCTGCTTTTCGATGCAGAAATGTTCTTCTCTTAAACAGCCAATCGTATCATATAAATGTGATGCTAAATATAAATGGAAGTGTAAGTTAAAATAAGGAGAAAAAATTTGTGAACTTACCTTGTTCATGGTTTCTTCCTTCAGCCAGTAACGGAAGTTGACGACCACTACGACCGAAAATAAGACGAAGAATAATATGGTGACAGCATATTTGTAAAGAATTTATGTTTTTTGTTTTTTTGATACACAAAACTCATCGAAACATTCTTGAACTTTTACTGATCAGGTAGTGCCGCGTCGACGTATAATAATGTCAGGATGCTTGGCTGGTGCTTGGTTCATATGTTTTTCTCTAATTTTGCACTCCATCCATCGTTTGGAAAAAGCGCCTAAAAGAATGCAAATATAAATTATTTTATTTAATCAAAATATTACTTACCTGGGGTGTTGTTCTTCTCGAGCATTTTTCATTGTAACAAGCTGCTCCATTTTAATCGATAAACTCTCGAAATTTTTTTTATAATTTACTAAATCAAGATAAGAACGACGCGCAAATAAATCTGATACAAAATCACTTACGTCACCAAGTTCCAGAGAATTGAGAAATTCTTGTGGATTATTTGTTGGTGCCATTTATAATTATATAATTTTATTCACTTTGATAATGATATGTGTACTGAGTTGAATATAGACTATATATATATACATACTTTATCCATCGTCCGTTATGTTCTGTAATTGATCAATAGATGTGACTAATAATCATTCTCAACGAGATAATCAATAGCCAATTAAGATCAATTATGTATTGAATTGAAATAGAACAAGCAGATCATAATCGAGAACATAACTCACACTTTCAATACTTCTTGCTGCTATGATCTATGCTATATATAGCATCATATATATCTTCTTTTTCGTTCTTTCCTTTCTTCTCTCTATGATTCACCTTTCTTTTCTATTTTTCGTAGTGTATACATATATATATATATCCAGTTTTGTTTATGTTTTCGTTGATTCAACAATAAACAACATATCTTAGAGGACAGTACATCTAACACTTGCTCTTTCGTTTATTGATTATTTATTCATTATCTATTCATTCACAAATTATGTCAACTGAAAAGACTGTTTATTACATTGCATCAAAACGCCAATGGACCGATGATGGAAACTCTTATATGAAAAAACTTATTGCAAAAAATCCATATTCAACACGAGACGATAAACTAAAGATGGAGGCCGATACCGGAATTTCATTTTCTATCATAAACGTAAGTGCAAAACAAAATACAATAATTCATTATTTTTATGTTTTGTTTTAGAGCAAGATGCAATTTATAAGGCCACAATCGAAGAAAGAAAAAGTGGTGGCCACACTTGAAGACGTAGTAGAAAAAGAACGCGGCGCTGCTCAATATTTCCTTAATATTATTAGTATGGAACAATGCATGGAATTATATGATACTATGATGAAACATGAAGTTTATAATGAAATTATTAATGATGAACACATTCAGCCAAAATTAAATCGAGAACATTTGGAAATTATGACTGGTTCCTCCACAGGACATGACGGTAAAGTTCTTTTATTTTTATTATTATCATAATAGTTATTTTGTCTTTAGGTTCTTATTTTGCCAAGTGGTTATCTTGTTTGATTAGTGAAGAAGATCGTTTATCAGTAGATTATGGCAGATTAACTTTATGTCGTAATAGTAAAACTTATTCTGTTGTTAAGGAACAAATTAATCAAACATGTAAAGAATTCAAAACACGCTCCTTCCACATATTAAAGCACCATATAGTTCTTTGAACAAAGGAAGATGATCTTCCCGTATTGTCGAGAGGAAGAAGCATGCAAGGTAAATAAAAAAATTTCTATAATTTATCTCTTATTTATCTGTGTTTCTTTTAGGCTCACATTTATGTGACTCACTTGGCTGCGTATTAAAAGATCATCTTAGAGTAGAGTCGATGGAAATGAACATCAGTAGAAGAGATTGTGAAGGTATTATATTATCAATAATTCCGGCAATAACAACATCACCACCACATATTAAGAAGGCTACACCATGTGAACACGGCGTAGATTATAAGGAGCGTGTGGGTGTAGATGTGAGCATAAGTATTCTTTCATTCCACACACACACCCACACCCAAACCCACACCCGTCTTCTGGTTTATATAAGAATAATTTGGAAATTGGTCGTAAAGCATGACAGCAGCTGGTTGATGATGGTCTTCTTATGGAAGGAAAATTTCTTTGTAATAGTCGACCTTTTTCATATGCTAAACTTCCACCTAATACTATTCGAACAAACATTCACCTACTTGAACGACTTAGTTTTTATAAAATCAGTATTGATGAATATGAACAAGCTTATGAACATTTCCACATACCTCTTCAACATAAACTTGCATCACGTGGTGTTCAACTATTAAAAGAAAACCTTGATTTTATCCCATACTACCATAGATATCATCAAATGGAGGTGGTTGATGAAATTGAAAAAATGAAATTAGATGGTAAAAATACACAAATTGGCTTTCGTTATTTTATTTCGGTTCCTAACAAACAAATTATAAATAATGATAATCAAACAATGACTTACCTTGTTGAAGAAGAAACGAGTAATATTCTTTTTATAATATTTAATTTCTTTGGATTAATCATGATTTTGAACATTGATTCTATTTTTTAATTCAATTAAAACTATTTTAGATACTTCAAATTCACCAACTGTTGAAATCAGTATCTTGGGAGCTGCTGTTGGCACAACTCGTAAGCTGTATTTTCGTTGAATATCTATCAATTGTAAGTTAACGTTTAGCATCAATTCCTTCTGTTGTCAATCCAATATCACCAAATATTGTACTCCATGATCTTGATGACGATGCTGATTTTTTAAACAAACTGCTCAAACAATCTAACATTCTTCAAAAATTAAAAAGAATGCTGGATGAGGAACAAGAAGTTGAAAATTGTTCTAAACGATCAAAATATATTTCATAACATGATAATTCATTATTAATTGGTATGAATAGATAGTATAAGATCAAAGCTTTCGTTTCCGTTTTTTTTTAGATATGGCGCATTCTGATGTTGATGGACAAGTTTTAAGCTGTGATAGTTTGACACTATAAAAACAATATTGTTTTGGTAAATAATATGAACATGTTCTTTCTTATTTCATCTCTTTTTCATGTAATATATAAAAATAAAATGTATTGAATAGCTATAAAAACTGTGTAGTCGATAAAAATATGTAATAAGAATTTTGTAGTGTCGAAATTTGACCGCTAAAACTTGTCTCTATTTACAATGCAAAATATGTAACTATAAAAAAAACAGGATCTTATGTAAATTGTAGAGCTTTACATACTGTATCTTTGGTGAATTGTTTTGTTTTTCAAATGCAAGATATTAAGGGGATTGAAAATGGATATCTAAATTGTTACTTTTTTACTTGTTATGTATTACATTATAGGAACTGCGGTATATGTAGCATAAGAGAAATAATAAATCATAACAAATCATAAGGCATACAAATCTTAAATTTTGTACATGTTTTAAAATATATGTTTAAGAATTATAACAGAATACTTCAACTTAAACTTTGGCTATAAGAAGAATCAGAAGACAGAAGCTTTTGCAATGTCGTATGTATTTTAATATTTTTTTGTTTTATATAAACAAATAATTGAATTTATTTTTGTTAAATCTTCGAATAAATATAATAAAAAATAATTCATATGAAATAATTTTTATATCAATAATTTTCGATATTATTGAATAAGATTCTAATAATATTTATAGAAAAGTAATTGATATTTTTTTATCTTTAATATTATTCAAATTATCTTTGCTATTATAATAAAAACTATTTAATGAATCAATTTAATAATCTTTTGTTTTTGAAAAATAATTTTAAATAATCATTGATACAAATGGAACTTTTAGATATTTTTATTCAAATCTTGAGGGTGTGGGTGTGGGGTGTGGGTGTGGGGTGTGGATGTTGAATACATCACGTACTCACACCTACACCCACACCCACACCCACACCCTCATTAAAACTATCATCTTGTTTTTATCGAATATATGTTTGAATAGACTAAATTTATCGTTCTTTGTATTAATATAAAAGATTGTTTCTAAAAGAGAAATAGATTAAAATTTCTTCGATATTTATTTTGTTTAGCACGTGGTGTAATAACATATAAAAATATCTTTTTCTTCTTTTTCATATCATATATCTTATCATCTAAATAGAGAATATGTCCGCAGTAACTAACTTATCGAAAGTGAATATTAATGAAAAAGCGTCACTTTTCTCTGCACATTGGACGCCAAAAATAATTGGTGAACTTAATGGACAACATGTTAAATTAGCTAAATTATTAGGTGAATTTGGATGGCATTCACATAAAGATGAAGATGAACTTTTTCTAGTAATTAAAGGACAAGTTGTTATACAATTAAGAAATAATCAAAATGGAGATATTCTTCTTAATGAAGGTGATATGTTTATTGTTCCACGAGGTGTTGAACATAATCCAAAAGCAGAAAATGGTGAATGTACTGTCCTATTATTTGAACCTGCATCAACAGTAAATACAGGTGGCGAAAGAAATGATAAAACACATTTAGAACTTGAACACATTTAATTTCATCATTTATTAATAAATATATTTCATTTATTAGTTTTTGAAATTTTATATGAAATGTAATTTATTATGATTTGAACAATATAATAAAACTTGATTGTCATATCCGAAGAATGGAGGTCAAAAGAAATGCAAAAAAAATATTAATGAAAATATCGCAAACTGCAACAGTAGCGCGGTAAAATAAATAGCTAATTAGTTTTGATATTGATCTAGCTCAATAGAAAACCTTCATCAAAAACATACTTGTCTAAAAAATGAGGAAGGCAATAAATGGACTTTGGCCCGAAGGGCAGAAGGCAAGGTGTCCTTGCCCTTTAATGGTCTCTGTTCAAAAGACATTGGTTAAAATCAAGTCCATGCACTAGAGACATCTATTCAAAAATATTTACATCACTAATTGATTGGTTAAAATCTTTTTATCCTATCCATATTAATTTATTTTTTTAACGTTTCATTTTCTAAGAAGCTGATGTACATATAAGTTGAGTTTTTGTCATTTTATTTGTAGATGGCTACTGCACTTAATTCATCATCGACAATGGAAAATATAAATCTCTCAGATACTTCAATTGGTAAATTACCTGAAGAAAGTTCAGTACTTGTTGTTGGTGCTGGTGGTATTGGATGTGAATTATTAAAATCATTAGCTTTATGTCGATTTCGTTCAATTGGTGTTATTGATCTTGATACAATTGAAGTCTCAAATTTAAATCGACAATTTTTATTTCGTCGTGAACATGTTGGACAAGCTAAAGCAACCGTTGCATGTGATAGTATTCGTCGTCTTTGTCCTTCTATACATATCGAACCATTTCATGGTGATGTTATAACTGATTCACGTTTTGATATATCATTTTATAAACAATATGATCTTGTTATAAATGCACTTGATAATGTTCAAGCACGACAACATGTTAATCGTATGTGTTTATTATGTTCAAAACCTTTAATTGATAGTGGTTCAACGGGTTATAATGGACAAGCAACATTAATATTTAAAGGTCGAACACAATGTTATGATTGTATTGAAAAACCTAAACAACAACGAACCTATGCAGTATGTACTATTCGTAATACTCCATCACAACCAATACATTGTATTGTATGGGCAAAATTTCTTTATAATCAATTATTTGGTGATAATGATGATCCAAATAATGAAGATGTGACACCAGATGCTGATGATCCAGAAAATGCTTATAATGAACAAGAAACAACAACAACGACAACAACAACAAATGGACATCATAAAATATCAACACGTGATTGGGTTCATACAGAATTAGAAGAATTTCATCCAATAAGTGTTTTTAATAAATTATTTTTTGATGATATTAATTATTTAATAACAATGAAAAATTTATGGGAAAAACGACGACAACCAATTGCAATTCAATATGAACAAGCATTTCAATTAAATGAACTACATCAAAATGGTCAAAATAATCATGAAAATTCAACTATGCCTAAACTTAATGATCAACGTATACAATCCATAAGTGATTATGTTCAAATGTTTATTGATAGTTTAAATGAACTTAAACAACGTTCAGATAAACAACGAAAATTAGGTATATTAAAATAAAAAATTTTGTTGTTTTTTTTTTGCTAAATATATTTTATTTTCTAGCTGCATCAAGTAAAGAACCACCCTTTCTTATTTGGGATAAAAATGATGATGCTGATCTTCGTTTTGTAACAGCATCAGCTAATTTACGTTCCTATATATTTGGTATTAATCTCACTAGTAAATTTGATGTTAAATCAATGGCAGGAAATATCATTCCAGCTGTTGCAACAACAAATGCGATTGTTGCTGGTATAACTGTATTACAAGCGCGAAAAATTCTTTCGAGTTTACCACGTTCATCAACTGATCATACATTAACATCACTTAAACAATTAACAAATGTATTTATATCAACTAATCGTAGTACAGGTGCAATTATACAATCAATCCTATTAGAAGAACCAAATCCATCATGTATACAATGTAGTGATCTTGAACAACCAGTACGTGTTAGAATAAATATGTCATTATTTACATTATATTCATTATATGAACGTTTAATACGTAAACATTTAAAAATGAATAAACCTGATGTTATTATTGCTGATGGTAGTGGAAGAATATTAATATCGGCTGATGATGATGAAGAAGATGAACAAATGATGTTAAAAACACTTGATCAATTTAAATTAATGAATGGAACGATATTATTATGTGAAGAAGAATATGATGATAAAACAAATGAAGCATTATATCAACATATGAAAATAAAATTAATGCTTGAACATACAGATACAATTACAGATAAAGATGAATATATTATTGTTGATGATCAAGTTATTGGTGAAATCAAACAAATCAAACAATCATTAAAACGAAAATTATCTGAAGATGATGATGATGATGATAATATTCAACATTTAGATGATTATCAAAATGAATTAAATATTGTTAAAAAAACAAAAAAATTATCAACAACACATGATGAACATAATAATAATAATAATAACAATAATGGACCAATGCATACAAGTTTTGTTATGCTTGTTGATGATCCAGTACCAACACATACAAATGGGCATCATACACATCAAGAAACATCAGAAAATAATACAAAAAATCATATACAAATTTGTGATGGTAAATATTCTATTTTCTAATAAGTATAAATTTCAATTTTTATATTTTAGACAGTTCTACCTCAAACGATAGCAATAGTTGTGTAATATTAGATGATGACATTCAAACAAATTCAAAGCCGGTTAATAACACAGAAAAACATGAAATTATTGCTGATGATGATGATGATGATGATTGTTATTGTACTGATATTACTGAATTATAAGTTCATCATTGTCTTATTTTTTTTCTTCTTCTCTTTATTTATAAATATAAATGTCTGACTCACTGTTATGAAATTTTTTTTTCTCTCTCTCTCTTTCTTTCTTCTTTCTATTGTTCGTATGTATTACAATATGTTCTTCTTTCTGTCAACCAAAAAAAAAACAATACATTATCCCTCCAAATACACATGTAAAAGAAACTTAAAAAAAAATTCATTGTAGATTTTATGTTACTTGTTAAAAATAAATCTGGAAATAACATACTTTCTTAATATATCAATCTTATTTATTAGTCATACAAATTTTGTCATAAGATTTTTATGCATAAGAATATTATTTTGAGAGAGATTATTTATGTCAATATTGGTTAAAAAATGAACAAGCGACTAGATAAGAATATCATCAGATTCTAGATAATAAATATAAAAATGAGTTTATTTTTAATTGGTGATTCGATCACATTGACATTATTAATTTTCCTAATACTTATTTTTGTTTATTATGTGTAAGTATTGTTTTTTTATTTGAAATCGATATTGAATGAATAAAATTCTAGTTATAATCTACGAACAAATAATATATTTCGTCGAATTGGAATACCTGGTCCAGCTCCTATTCCACTTCTGGGTGAATTGTTTAACGCTATGCGAAGGGTATTTTATTTTGATATGATATTCAAAAATTTAAAATCTATTTTATATGTAGGGAATGTATAAAAACGATGTGGCTCTTATTAAAAAACATGGCAAAATTGTTGGGTAAGTAAACAATGATATAGATACAATTGATTCAAATAAATTAGAATTCTATTATAGCATTTACGAAGGAATAACTCCGATTATTCTTGTCACTGATCCAGATATTCTTCGAAATGTTCTTATCAAAGATTGTCATGTGTTTGTCAATCGACGAGTAGGACATCATAATCTTACCCCTTCGTTTTGTTTTCATCAAACATATATTTTCATATAGGTTATCGAAGGTGGAGCAGGTCCTTTTGAACATGGACTTACTGTATTGAAAGATGAACAATGGAAAAATGCTCGTTCAATTGTTTCACCAACATTCTCTTCGGCAAAACTCAAAGCAGTAAATTTTCACATTTACTATTATTTTTGTTTTTTGATTAATTATTTAGATGCATAGTCTTATGAATGATGTTAGTGATATGTACAATGAACGTCTTCTTGAATATGCTGATAAACAAGAAATATTTGATATTAAGACGTATGTTAATCATTTATTTTTATCAGAATTGTTTTTTTTTCTTATTATAATTCTAGTATAAATGGTCAATATACTCTTGATATTATTGCAAGTTGTTTATTTGGTGTTGAAACAAATTCATTAAAAAATGAAAACATAATTTTAATCAATCATTTGAAAAAATTCTTTACTCTTACTTTGACAAGAATATTTCTTCTTTTTATCTGTAAGAATATTTTAATAAGAACATATATGTTCTTATTTTGTTTTTTAAAAACTAGTCTTAACACCACGATTGGGTTCTTATTTAGGAAAGAAAGGTTATACAGTTTTACCAAGAGACTCTCTGGAATATACAGCTAATATTGTAATTCAAGTAATAGCTCGACGACGACAATGTTTAGAAAGACGAAATGATTTTATTCAAATGATGATTGATCATGAAGAAGAAATAAAAGATCAAGAAGTAGGACAACAATCGAAATCACTTAGAAAAAGTATATATGAAATTAGTTCGAATATTTCAATTAATAATTTCATTTTTAGCATTATCGGATAAAGAAATTCTTAGTCAAGCTCTAGTTTTTCTAGCCGCTGGTTATGAAACATCAAGTGTATTAATGTCATTCTTTTTCTATGTCATGGCAACAGAACCAGTTATTCAAGAAAAAGTTTATCAAGAAATTCGACAAGAACTAGGAGATGTAAGTAAGATTAATAAATCAAGAATATTTGAATAGGTTTGTTTTTCTACGAAAGGATGAAGTTACTTATGAAAAATTAAATCAACTTCAGTATTTGGATATGGTAATTAATGAAACACTTCGAATGTATCCACCAGTCATAAGGTTTGTTTATTTATTGAATAGTTTTCTTGATTTCGATTTATATAATAATAGGCTTGATCGTGTTGCATCGAAAGATTATCAACTTGGTAATTATCTTATACCAAAAGGTACGATTATTCACGCACCCGTATATCCTATTCATCATGATTCTGAGGTATGGCCTGAACCGGAAAAATTCATACCTGAAAGGTAGTATTTAAAGAATTGTATATTTTTTGTTTTAATATACGAATGATGTTGGATAGATTTTTGCCAGCTGAAAAAGCTAAACGACATCCAATGGCATTTTTGGCATTCGGTGATGGACCTCGGCAAGCACAAATTTTTGCTTGTATATTCATGCTAATTATATAATATTTTTAGTAATTGTATTCGTATGCGATTTGCATTAGTAGAAGCTAAACTTGGCATTGTTCGAGCACTTCGTCTTGTAGAATTTGAAAGATGTGAAGAAACAGAAGTAAATCATGAAATTATAAGAAATATAGAAATCTATCATGAATTTTAATGTCTAGGTTCCACTTCAATTGGGAAAAATAATAGTTTTAAATAGTAAAAATAGTATTTTTCTACGTGTTGTTCGTCGTTCACAATAAATCATATTTAAAAAACGTTGCTTTTCACTCTTCACTATCCTATACATTATAACGATGCTCTAATATTGTAGATCAATAGTTAATATAAAAATGGCATGATAAAGACATTTCTATCAATAATAATTTCATTGACATAAGTCAAAATCAGTCATGGCATACTTTCTTATCGGTGATTCTATTACATTAACATTATTTGTCATACTTATATTTGCTTTTACTTATTATATGTAAGTATTATCGTTATCCATTTGAACTAAATCATAATTAGCATAATTTAAGTTATAATTTACTGATAAATAATGTTTTCCGTCGAATTGGAATACCTGGTCCAACTCCAATCCCTTTTTTAGGTGAAATTTTTAATGTTATACGCAAAGTAATATATCAATATAATATTATACATATATTATCGGTTCATATTCTCATAGGGTTTATATAAGAATGATATGGATCTTGTTAAAAAATACGGTAAAATTGTTGGGTATGTGAAGATTACTTATTTAAGTATTAGAAAAAAATCGTTCTTTAGAATATATGAAGGAACAAGTTCAATAATACTTTTATCCGATCCTGATCTTCTTCGAAATGTTCTTATTAAAGATTCATATGCATTTATAAATCGACGGGTTAGTACATAATTGTAATTTCTTTTCTTTCATTTTTTTTGTTTTAGTCCGCTGAAGGTTTAATTGGTCCACTTGAGCATGGTCTCTTATCACTCAAAGACGATCATTGGAAAAATGCACGAGCAATTGTATCACCCACATTTTCTACAGCTAAACTCAAAGCAGTAAATATCTAATTTCTTTTTTTAGATTATTCACTATAATAATTTTATTATTAGATGTATAGTCTTATGGATCAAACTAGTGATATGTTTAACGATCGTCTTCTTGAATATGCTGATAAACAAGAGATATTTAATATTAAAGAGTATAGAAAATATTCCGTTATTTGTATTTAAAAAAGACACTTAATAATTTGAATAGAATTAGTCAACATTTTGCACTTGATACAATTGGTTCTTGTTTATTTGGTATTGAAACAAATTCTTTACAAAATGAAAATGCAACATTAGTCAAACATCTTAAAGGAATATTTACATTAAGTTTAGCAAATTTAATAATCATTGTATATTGTAAATGTTCTAGAAATAATATACATCATTTGATAGGTTTTCTTTTTTTTTTGACTAGTTATATCGCCACGATTAGCTCGTTATTTGTACACGAAAGGTTACTCAATATTATCAAAAAATACTATGGACTATTTAACAGAATTATTGAATCAAATATTAAATCGACGTCGACAACATCTTGAACGACGAAATGATTTTATTCAAATTATGGTTGATCATGAAGAACAAGTAAAACAAGAAATAGGAACACTTACAAAAAGTAAAATAATATTAGTTAAAAAATTATAAACAAGTTTCTTTTTCTTGTAGCTTTGAATGATAAAGAAATACTTGGTCAAGCATTAGTATTTTTACTTGCTGGTTATGAAACAACAAGTACATTAATGTCATTTTTCTTTTATGTTATGGCAACAGAACCGGAAATTCAAGAAAAAGTTTATCAAGAAATTCAACAAGAAATTGGTGATGTATGAATTAAATGATGCAAAAAAAGATTTTGTAATAAATATTGTATATATTTAGAATGAAATTAAACCTGATAATATCAATCAACTCCATTATTTAGATATGGTTGTTAATGAAACACTTCGTATGTACCCACCAGTTATTAGGTTCGTTAAATTCAAAGAAATGTTTTTTGTTATAAGCCTATATTTACAATAGATTTGATCGTGTTGCATCAAATGATTATAAATTGGGTGATTATCAGATATTGAAAGGATTTATTATTAGTGTACCTGTTTATCCTATTCATCATGATCCAATAGTATGGCCTGATCCAGAAAAATTTATACCTGAAAGGTTGAGTTTTGTTATTATATATGCATTGATAATGAATTTCATGATTTTAATAGATTTTCGTCGACAGAGAAAGCAAAACGACATCCAATGTCATTTTTGGCATTTGGTGATGGTCCTCGGTAATTAAAATTCATCTACTAATATAAGATCAGCTAGATAATTATTAAAATTTTTTTATAGAAATTGTATTGGTATGCGATTTGCATTATTAGAAGCTAAAATTGCAGTTGTTAAAGCATTACGTGTAGTTGAAATACAATGTTGCGAAAAAACAAAAGTAAATATTAAGATATTTATACTTGTATTCATTTTAATTCTAAATTGTAGATACCTATTAAACTCAATAAACTTAAAGTTTTAGTTCCTAAACAAGGCATCTCGTTACGTGTGGTTCGTCGATCGCAATAAATATAATTTTTTGAACATTATTTTTTATATATAAATAAATTAATCATACATCGGAAATAGGTATGGATGTTCTGGGCGGTATTTCGATATTTTTTGAATGAGGAAGGCTTTTTTCACAAAAGAAAATAGTGTATTCGATAGAGCTCGTCGAGTTCTATCTTGGAAATACTCGAATCGTGATCGAAGATATCCTACGTGGATGTATCAAGAATAAAAGCTGATGCAAGACTCTCACCAAATCGTAGTATGATTATGTTGTCTGTTGCATGGTTTACTTTGTATATCAAATAGCTATTCACGATTCATTTTATTGTCATTCACTTCTTTGTGAAAACTTGCAGATTGAAAGCATACTCTAGCAGGATGTGGTGTGGGATGCGAGCTTTGCGCTTATGTCAAACTCACAGCCACGCCCTCAAGATAGTTCATAAAATCTTTAGATGTGTTTATACTCATCAGATGATACATTAACTTAAAAACTATTTCTATACATACGATTGATTGCTTTCTACTCTTTGATAACTATACCATTTCTATATTGTCGCAGGTAAGATACTCTTCGATTTACGTTCCTTGAACAATATTATTTTACTAGCCAATCAAATATCACTTAATTTGATGTAAGTCTCATTATTAGATATATTTCTGTGGTCAGATACTTCTATTTTGTTTAAGAATGAGCACCAATAACAGTTTATTAGATCTATGTAGAAGTATATGCCACCTGAAGGTGATCCTTTAGCAAAGTCGAAACTAGCCGTGATAGCTATATCTTTCTACATATCCTCAAGTTTCACGATGACTTATGCTAATCTAAAAGTTATTAACACAAATAAGTGTTATTGTATGTAATTGTGTTATGTATGCATTAGCGCAAGATAATATAATTTGAAGTAGTTTCCTGTTGTAGTTCAAAATTTTTTCAATATTGTTTTCATATATATGATATTGGAATTAGTTGGAAGTAACCAAAAGTAGATGTTAGCATAATACGAATTATATTAATGAATAAATACATCAATACGAAGAGTACTGTTAACCATATTTCTCTAATTCCCTATTATTTTTCGTTACATAGTACCATTAAAATATGTTAAAATCGACTGTGCATCATGTAACAAGTGTTATATGGATGTTCAATTTATCTTGGATAAAAATAAATTTCGATGAATTCTTGTTAAGTTTTTGTGATTTTCAGATGTAATTTGTGCTTTGTTTTTTCTCATTTCATGATCACTATCATATTACATGTCAAAAGATAACTTTTTAAATTGTATTTTTGCAGTCAATCGTAGCAATTTTTTAAAGGTCGTCTTCTTCTTCGTTATAATTGAAATGTAATAGATACCTATCATAACGTAGAAAAAAATTCAGGTATAACAATTTCGGAGTTAAGAGAAAAAGAAAAAGAAGGACTGTATATAATACGATGGTTACCATTTAGCCTTTTATTTATTTTCAAAACAAAGACGGCATAGTAATACACAATCAAAGGTATGAAAATTATTTCATAAGATCGAGAAGAGAAGATTTGAACCATGTTTGAGAGGATCATATAAATTCTACTATTCGATTTTATTTGGATGATGATTGCCAATTATTCTACGGAGAAGTTGTTAATACAATATTCTATAGACTTTGAGCTCTTTGCTATATTAAGGTTTCCTTCATAGTTAGATAAATCAGTCAAGAGGCAATCAAGTATCACTATTCTCCATAGGTCTGGTAATTGAAATAATAAACGTTTGTGTTTAATAGAAATGTAACCAAGAGTTGAGTTATGTATCCGTCAGGCCTCGAATGGGGCCACCCAGCTCAATGGCCCGGGCCAGGTTAGAGTGCCCGACCGTTCAGGCCGCGTGCTCATCAAATTAGCCCAATGAATCGGGCAGGCTGGATTTTAGTTGGGCCGCCCAACTCCATATTGATATTAAGCTATCAATATGTATCGTATTTATTTTTAATTTTTTTTTGTTATCGAATATCTCATTTAATAAAATAAATCATCAGAGTTTGGTGAATCACATATGTCATACCGTTAATATACCTCTTTCCAATCGCAACATAACAGAATTTCTTATGAACTGCTTTATATATATAATTAAAAAAAATTTCTAGTTACTGTCGGGCCGGGCCGGGCTGGACTTGAATAGTATTGGGCAGGGTGGGTTTTCAGTACTCAAAGCCCGATGTGGACCGGGCCGGGCCATCAAAAAGTGGCCCGATTTCGAGGCCTAGCATCCGTTGAATAAACGAATTTCTACAATGAATTAGAAGTTTATATAAGTAGCTCTATTAGTGTACTATACCGTGACATCATATCTAGAGGATGATTGTGGACGGGCGCGATTACGCGTATTTTGGAACAGCTACATCCACACACAAATTTGTAGATTAGCTCACACATCTACGAATGGTTTACCCTAATAACGTCGAAAATAAAAATGCCGAAAATAAAAATGTCGAAAAAAGGACGTGGTAGGTAGCGCCATTTTTTCGACATTTTTATTTTCGACGTTATTAGGGGGAATCCTACGAATGAAAAACCAATTATATTAAGATCCTTGAATAGGATTAAGTAACAAAAAAAATCATGAAATCATCTGCTCCTTCTCATACACATTTGGTGAGCATATCTCTTATTTTCTATAAGATGAGCGATGGAACAATCATTATAGTCTTGTCAAGGAACAACAGTTCTGAAATTTCTATCACCTCTGACTACGAACTAATGTAGTTTCATATATTACATATTTGAAATGTTTTTATTTTTATTTTAGTTGCATAAAGAAGAAGTACACTAAAATCCAATGCTTACTTTACATCTGATAGTTTTGATTATTTCGTATCAGTCATTGAAAATAATGGCGATACAACAAACAATTACAATGCCTACATTGGGACGGCCATTTCATTTGGGTATGCTCTATGATGTTCGTAATGATGAGTTAATCAGTGGCATAACTTTGTGGAATCCACAGACTTTGGCGAACCATACAATCACATATAAACAACCGTATACTGGCTATGAAATACTTACTGGAGATTCATTACAAGATAAGGCACATGCTTTGGGAGTTGAGGCTAGTTTAAAACTAAGTCTGTTTGGCGGTCTAATGAATATTTCAGGTTCTGCAAAGTATGCTGAGGATTATCAAAAAACAAACCGTGAAGCTCGTCTGATACTAAAATATTCAACCACAACACATTTTCAAGAGTTAACAATGAAACATCTTGGTAAAAGTAATCTAGATTTACATGATAAAAACAATGCTACACATGTCGTCATTGGTGTCCTTTATGGTGCTGAGGCATTTTTTATATTTGATCGTACAATATCGAATCGTGAATCTAAAGAAGAAGTTAGCGGTTCATTGAAGGCGATATTTGATAAAACAATGTTTAAAATCGAAGAAGAAGCTAAACTAAATTTGACCAAGCAAGAAAAGAAGTACGTCCATAAGTTACGTTGTAAATTTTATGGGGATTTTCGTTTGAACAAAAATCCAAAGAACTTTGAAGAAGCTGTTAAAATGTATCGCCAATTACCGCTACGCATAGGTAAAAACAATGAAAACGCGATACCAAAAAAAGTGTGGCTTTATCCATTACATCTTTTGGATAATAATGTAACGAGAACTGTTCGAGAAATCTCATCCAATTTGGTTCATTACTCAATATCGACGATTGAAAATCTGCGTTCCTTAGAAGTGAGAGCACTAGACTTATCAGAGAGCTCGATATTTACAAGTCTTAATCATATGAAAAAACAATTATTACATTTTACCGCGCGATTGTCGAAAATGCAACATGATTTGAAAGAAAATATTGCATTAAATCTACCAAAACTACGCGGAAACACTGATGTTGAAGAGCCTGTTTTATATAATGTGTTTAAACAAATTGATTCATCTCCATTTAATCAGCAAAAACTGGAATCATGGCTCAAAGGAAAGAAAAAAGAAATCGCGTTAATCACGAAGTGGGTCAACAATCTCGCCAAAGATAGAAGCTTAAATACTCTAGTTAGATCATCGTCGTTAGATGAAGTTATTGGTGACACTAGATATGATTATATTTTCTGTCTCTCTTTGCGTCTCGTTGAAAAAAATGATTCTCAACTTGCTGATATGCAGAATTATTTACATAATAACAGTTTTAACTCATCAACTACTCGTAAAAAACACATCACATGGTTTGAACATCGTTATAATATGACAAAATTTCTCAAAAATTTGGAACAATTCAAAGAGTTTGCTGAAGCAAACAATGTTGAAAATACAAAGATAAAATTTATCGTCAATGAAGAATATTCAGTTAATGATACTAAAACTATTGAGCTTATTCTCTACGAACGTGGATCAGAAAAAAAAGACTTTATTATACCAAGTAAACCAGATGCACCATATGCAATATCTGTTACAGATAATAATGTAACATTAACATGGACAGATGCAGCTAATGGAACTGAAGAAGTACAGAAGTATAAAGTTATGTATCAGCAACATCGTGGCGAAGCATTAGTTGGTAAAAATAAAAGTAAGAAAGAAGAAAAATGGACTGAAGTTTACACAAATGCTAGTCATAAGGAGATAATCATCGTGAATCTGCCACCAAACGCGACATTTGTATTCAAAGTGCAATCTATAACTGCAATCGGACTTAGTGCAATAAGTGCATGTAGCAAACCCATAGAAACACTGGCAAAGAAAGATGGTAAGTTAATGTGTTTTTCTTTCTCTATTATAGAGCTTTGTTAATTTTCTCTCTGAAGTTATCAATTTATTGCTCTATCTGGTTTTTTAATTTCTTTATTAATCAACCCCGTACAGATTAAATAAAATTGATCACCCACAGGATTGGTCGTACACAGGCAAACAAGATTTTGCATAAACGCGTGTAAACGCTTAAAAAATCCTTTTCTTTAGTGTTTGAACGCGTGCCGATAAGAATAAATGTGCAAATACAAAAAAATTCCTTTTTTTGAATGTTTACATGACTAAATTTTTTCAACGGATAGAAATAGGCGTGCAAACGCTTACAAAATTGTTTTTTTATCGTTTAATTGCGTAGTTTCTATGACAAACGTTTAAATGCTCAGAAAGTTGATATGTTATGAGCTTTATCTTGAAATTATAAATAACAGGTTTTGCGCCGTTAATAACCATCGTCTAAACGCTCTCTAACTGAAATTTTAAGTGTTTCTTTTATCATAAATTTATACGGTAACTAATGATAAAAAGTTTACCGTGTAAACGATGAAATAGGAAGAACTATAAATATTTCCATACATTAAATTTTGCCTCTGCGAATTTAAGAAAAATATTGCCGTTTTATATTTGCGATATAATGAGTTCTATTTAAGAACACGTGTGAACTTATCCAACCATTGATATTCGAGCATTTTAACGGGTAAGAGAAACTTGCATTGTTAACAGTATCAAATGAGCAGTATGATGATTTAAACTCCTATATTTTTGAAAATATATCTTTTTTCAATTGTGTAAAGGCGCAAAATACTCATTTTCTCCGCGTTTTCACGCTCTAATTTTGGATGAATATTCAAAACTCATTATTTATGAGTTCTTTAGAGATATTTTTTTATCTGGCAAAATAATAATATATATATTTCATATCAAATTGGAATCGCTTGTATCGGTTAGTTCGTATAAAACATCATTCAATTGTTTTGCATGATTTGTTTGGTTTATATTTATATAGTAATATTAGCACTCTCTGAAAGGCAAATAGTGCATATAAATTAGTTAGGAAAAAAGATTTGTTGGTTTTTATTGTATGACTGGTTTTGTTAACTTTATGCTGTAATATAAAAATAGTGTGTTCTTGTTTGTTTCATTGAAGCATTCCTTTCGGTTTTTCTGTATGAGTTCTATAGCTGGAAGCATTTAGGAAGAAAACGTTGAAGAGAAATTTGATTGTGAAAATTTGTGAAGTATATATTGTAATTAATTTTTATGAAAATGATGTAAATTTAGTAATAATGTCACATATAGGTTTTATATGTGTGTTTCGATTCAGTACGAGAGTGGCGAATCAGTGTTTTCTATCTATACGTTAAAGCTTATATGAAATATACATAAACACTCGTTTGAATTTTTTGAAAGTGAGAAACTGGAGATTTTATCACTGTCAAAAAAACATATAGGGTTTTCATGGCTCTTTTTTTTTGAATGCGTGCACTGTATAATCGGTGCTTTCGATAGTGGAGTAAAAGCTCTTTTGAAATATTAATGAAAAATCGTTTCAATTATTTCAATGTGTAAACGTGAACAATTTATAGGTGCATTGAAACAAGACGTTTTCACGGTTAAGTTTTAAGAGTATTCTTGGCTGATAATCGTGGTTCTCGACCGTGAGTAGAAAACATGTTGACAATATAGACGAGTAAACGCGATTGGTTTTTGATGCGTTTGTCATGTAGAATGTCAATCTAGTACTCGTCTCAAATACTCTCATACAGAAACCTTCTGCGTATTTTCACATTCTTTTTCAATTCGTTTGACGGTAGTGATCGAGAACCGCGATTAACTTTCGAAAATGGTCTACATATTTTTAGCATTTACACGCATTTTGAACTTTTTTGTCTGATTGGGTAGTAGCAAGTTATCCTGCAGTAATGCTGTTGGACTTTTGCAGTACGACTCTTTGCTGAGAAAAGGCTTGATAGAGTGCAGAGATGCAGAAGCAACCTGTGAACATAAGATTTGCATATGCAACAAACTACTAGCGGAACGTCTACAGGAGGGTCAACCGTTCCTCAATAAGCCCTTATACGCGAGTATGGCAAAAAGGTAAGTGCATAGGTAGATTATTAAAGGTTCACTATTAAACTACTAAATATTTAAGATCGTGTGTATCCTTTAGAGCAAAGCTTTATTGAAACAAGCACCACACAAGATAGCTGCAATACATTTGTACCAATTCCGTCAGCTGCGAAATGCACGGCACCAGAATGGAGGGCGAATGGAGTCACGGTCACCAGTTCTCTCGATGCACCTGTTAACTTATTCATTGATCGACGTGATCGTATGTGGGTGGTAGATCAAGGTCATCATCGAGTGCAGCGCTTTGTGCCAGGTTCCTCTAACGGCACTACAGTAGCTGAAGGATCAGCAGTGGTAGATAAATCTGCGCAACTTCTGTGGGCCTGGGGTTTCTACGTAGACGCAAATGATAACGTCTATGTCGCAGATTTTCACGGGCGGGTTCAAAAATTCGCTCCAGGAGATCTCGACGGCGCCACGATCGCAGGTGGACGTGGAAACGGCACTGAGCTGTACCAGTTTGGATATTCATACAGTATTTTTTTTGATCGACAAGACCAGCTCTATGTATCAGACTCTACAAACTGTCGTGTGATCAAATTTGCGAGTGGATCAAAAGTCGGCTCTGTCGTTATCTCGGCGAGCGAGGTTTCTCAACCGACAGGAATCTATGTTGATGGATGCAATAATTTATACGTCGCAGATGAAGGCAAACATGTCGTTCGAAAGTATCTGAACGGCAATCTTACTTTAGGCACCACGATCATGGGAGAGGCAGGAAAAGGGGGTCCTGGTTCCCATCAACTCAACATACCTAGAGGCTTGGCTTTTGATCGGTACGGCAACGTCTACGTAGCTGACGAGAGCAATCATCGGGTGCAGCGACTTAGTATCAGAGACGGAACTGTACGAACAGTTGCTGGAGTGACGGGAGTTGCGGGGATAGGCTCTCAGCATTTCAACCGACCATCAGCTGTTGGTTTCGACTCTAAAAACAATCTCTTTGTAGTTGATATTGAGAATAACCGCGTTCAGAAGTTCGAGTTTCTGAGCGGAGATCTGTGGTGTTAGAGGAGAAGTTTGATTCTAAAAATAAGACAGAACCTCCTGAAGTATTTTTAAAATAAATATTTCACCATGGCCGTTGGCCAACACACCGAACTGTGCTGCGGTTCTACCATTTTCACATAAAAGCATTCTCTTTGTAAACGTGCTTATTCGGGTAGGTCTAATCTCCGTGCGACACAAAATCATTTTTCGAAAAAAAAGGGGAAATAGTTGAAGTTTAGAGAAATGTATCATGACACCTGCGCATCACTCTCATACGAGCTTACCATTTACGGAATTAAAAGAGGACGAAAAAGAATCAGTACGTCATTCGAACAGAGTAAATTAAAAACAAAATGGTAGCAATAACTTTGTGCTTTGTACTCTTGTGCTTCTACCCAGCTCGAGCATCGTACAGTAAGACCATATTTTATCTTATAGAATCATATGCATATATGATCTTCTGTATCGTCTTACCATAAGATCTTATGAAATCTTCTGAGTGTTTTGTAGTCAGCTTTCATCTGGTTCATTATGTAACACTCAACCGGAATCCGTGAAGGCGCGTGTAAAGATGTGGGTGTGTGTGTGCGTGGTGGTCCAATCGATGTGGAGTGGCTATGATTGTGGGTTGGAATATACATAGGACGCACCCGCATTCCCCCTCACCCATACGCTCAATCTATCATCCGGTTCCACGGGATAGTTTGAAAAATATCTCTCCCGTGGGACGACTTTTCACGTTCCATCCCATCCCACACGATACCCTGATACTCTACTAAGAGTTCTCAATACATATCTCACAAGATAAGTTTTCAGCTGACGTTACAAATACAGGGAATTAAACTGAATCTCGCTGAGGTCTTAACGGAGTCCAAGTAATCAACAAGTACTCGTACATATTTCGAAATAGTTTGTCACATATATAACTAATGATAGTAAACGACTGGCATCAGCAGCGTATTCTACTATTCGTCAGTAGAACATATCTAAAAAGGTGTGATTTGACTTTGACTTTAGTACGTATAACATTAAAATGAGACTTGTTGAAGTCCATGCCTAAATCTCAAGTGAGTGAATCAGGGTTAATTGAAAGAATTGAAATGAAGAAAAATTCATTTGTTTTAAAAGAAAAGAACCGAAATTTAATTTTTTGAAAATCTAAATCTTCGAAAAAATAAATAATTTGAATTTGATTGTTGGTTTCAAAAATTTTTGATAAAATGGGAGCTTTTTCATCTGATTTCTTTTAATAACACTTAAAAATTGATTTGTTTTGTGTTTGAAACGAACTCAAATAAATATTTAACAAACTCTTTATTATGTTTAATTGAAGAAATAATTTGAAATGTTTTAATGAATTACAAAAAATATTTCTTATGAGAATAAAATTAGTTGAAGTTGAGAAAAATTTAATAAAAATCATTGAGTTTCATGATGAAATCAATTCCAAAATGTATTTTTTAAATATCTTCAAATTACTCTGCCAATAATACGTTCAACTCTTGGAAAATGTCTTTTTTTTGAAAATATGAAAATATTTCTCAAGTGACTTATTTCTATGAAGAAATTAAAATAGTATTACTCTCAATAATTACTAATTAATATAAATTTTATGATAAGAAAAATTCATGAATAGATATTTACTATTTTGTAGGATTGTAAACATTGCTAACAACTTGAATATAACAAAACCCCTAAATATCTACAACATGAATTTATATCAATGAAAGATTTAATGTTATTATTTAATTAGAGAATTTTCATATAATAACAAAACGAATTTCAAATATATAAACAAAAAAAAATATAGAAATTCGTTTTTATAAATATTATCATTATTATTTTATCCAAAAATATTGATAATGATTCAAGGTTTAATCAGTTATACTCAATATTATCGAATAATTTAAAACTTTATTAGATAAAAATGATTTCATATGAGTTATTATATTTATCTTGACGGTGGGTATGGAGTATGAATGAGGAAAAGAGAAGATCCACACCCTCAAGAAAGTTTTTCCTCTAAAACGTTATATTTTTAAAATCATGAACAACATAGAAGTAACTTATACAATAAAGAAAATGTTCTATTCGCCTTTCTTCTTTAGTTCAAACGGTATGAGAGTTGGTTTAGATGGAAATAATGAATAAATATCATCAATCGGAATATCTTCTTCAATTGATGTTTGATCATCATCAGTCAAAGCAAATAATTCATAAATCTGATTCTCATCTTGAGATAAATATAATTTTGTTAATGATTCTTTAATAATCATTTCTATTAATGTATTTGAAGAACACGGTAATATAATTTTTTGTTCACCAAATTGAATTGAACAATGAATCTCTGCTGTTGAGTTCATTTGTAATTCTATATGAGTCATATCAGAATCAATATCATTCAAAGTTATATCATCATCATCAAGTGGACAACCATCATACATTAATTGATAATAATTCTCATTTAATAAAAATAATTGACAAGCAAACGAACGTAAACTTTTAATATTAATTGTTAAAGAAGAATGAAATTGAATTGTTTGTTGATTTTCATTATTTGCAATGGTAATATTCACTGGTAAATTTTCATTGCTTAAAGTAAATCGAATTGATGATAATGATGATGGTGATTGAAAAGATATTAATTGTGTTTGAATTGATGGAACAAAATCATTCGAATAAAATAAATATTGATGATCAATATCAAGTTGATTTTCCTGATAAATATCGAGAATTCGAGCATAAATAGTATATCGTTGATGAATATCATTTTGTCCATCATCTAAATCAAGTAATTGATTATTTTTAGGTTTTTCAATTGATACAAGACACGTTTCATTTTCTTTAACTAATAAAAATTTTGTTTCATTTATATTCGAAAGTTTGTCACAATAATCAATAACTTTCTTTGTTGAATTGGAAGCTAAGTATTCATAAACATTGGATGGAACATTAGTAATTGATTGAAATATATCTTCCATTATGATATTTCTGTTTGAAAAATGAATTGAAATTGGTTCTGAACTATCATATCGAAATATCTGAATCATAATTGATATTCTAAAATGAATTGATTGATTATCTGTTGATATATAATGATTTACAGGTTGTTGAATATCATTTTGCGAAAGAATTTGTTCATTTGATCCTTCAAGAACAAGAACACAATCATTAGGAGATATATCAATTAAATTTAGTTGTCGAAGAAGATGTTCATTGTTTAATAAATGATAAAGTTTTGTTGATTTTAATGCATTGATTGTTACTTTATTTGTTTCATAAGTAAATGTAACTTTTATTGTTATATTTCGATCGATTCCATCAATAAGTATTGAAGAAATTGTTTGATTTTCATCGAGAATTGTCTGTTGTTCTTTATTAAAAAAAGAATATTCATTTGTTGGAGAATCAATGATTTGATCGAAATGTTTTAACCATTCATTGACATGTTTCCAATTTGCAGTGGGATGAAAGAAACCAGTTTGTTCTTGATCTAAACAACTATTCAATGAGAAAAAAAATGAAATTTCGATATGAAATTTTTACTTTGTTTTGTTCGTAGAATGATTTGATAAAGTGAAGAAGTATTAAGATTATCTTCAGTAATGATTATCGGAATAATTTTTGATTCTGGATTGTTCGTTTGTTTGATAAGATCAGTGATCGTTTCATTTTCAATGGTTTTTTTATGTCCATTAAAGAAACAAAGATAATTTTCATCTGATGAAGGTTTTATATTATGATCAGTAAGAAATCGTTGAATTATTGAAGGAATTTTAACGTTCAATGAAACGAAATATTTGAAATTATTATCTTGAAAACGAAATTCGATTTGAAATAACGATTCTTTTTGAATAATGAAATATTCTTGAGACATACGTTTTGGTACTGGAGTATTTTCATTAAGAAAATCAAGAAGAATATCATTTTTATCAATAATAACAAATATATTTTCATCATATTTTTCTTTCTTGAACACTTCACGTAATTTATGAAATAAATTTTCACCTTTCCAAAAACTTGAAGCAACTTTTCCATCAGGATGACTTATTGAAAATTTTAATGCTTTTTTCAAATCTATCGTTATTGATTCTTCTTTATGACTATGAATTTGTTCAAATAAAATCGATGTTGTTAATGGAACTGATTTCACATCTAATTGAAAGAGTGATTCATAATCAAAAGTTGTTGTTGTTGGTTGAGGAACTGGAGTTTCTTTAACATGATCATCAAAGAAGATATCATCAACAATTGGATTAGTCGATGTATAACCTGGAATATCTAACCAAATATTTTTATCATCTGTCTCAATTGAATTCTTCGAGACATCATTTTCTATTGATATCTCATTCAAATAATTCGAAAAACGATTTGGATGCTGATCAATGGGTTTATTGTTGATATTTTCATTCCATTGTTTAGTTTCTTTTTCTTCGATATTAACCATTCGTTCTTGTAAAATGGTTCTCATTCGAATTAAATGAATACAAAGTGCAACATAATTTTCACATTTAATTCCATCGGGTATTAAATTCAAAATCGAATTTTCAATTGCTAAGATAGAACATGTTTCTTTTAATGAATCTGTCCATTGTCTTTGAAGAAAATGTTCATTTGTTCGAAGATCATTTAATAAATCAGTAATTGTTTGAATAAGTACTTTAATTCCATCGATATCATCAACACTAATTATTGCTCCTTGTAACATTTTACTAAGTTCATTATCGAGTTGTATTTCAATTGGAGTTCGTAATAATTGAGAAACATCAGTAAATAAATGTTGAAAATTACTAATGGAATTTGCATATAATTGACAAATATGATCAAAATACATTAATTGAAAATCTTTTATTTCATATTGTTCAATTTGTTGTTGAAAATTTTGTTCATGATCAAATGTTCGAATAAAATCATAAAGATTCATTTGTGAAATATTTTCTTGATGATGTTTTAATTGAATTGCTATTTGTCGAAGAAGATTATGACCATGATAAAGTTTATCTAAATACATTTCTTTTAAATAATTCCAATCTGTTTCTAATTGATGTTTAGTTAATGGAATTAAATATTCTTTATCAAGATCAAATGTTTCATTTGTTGTATTTTGTTGATTTCGTCGAATATGACATTGATAGTTTTGTATTATATGTTGATAATTAATACGACAAAGTAGAAGATATGTTCGAATTATATAGGATTGTAAATAAAGAAAATCAAAATCAAGTTGAGTATCTGCTTGTTGAAAATATTCATCATTTTTTGTAATTAATGTTGCACGTGATAATTGTTCAATCCATATACAGTCATAATCTGTCAAAGTAATAACACCAGTATTATCTCGGACGATTTGTAAGATAGAAACCTGTTTTGATGTTAAATTATTTACTAATTTTCTTAATGGTCCAACAACATGATTATTATCATCATTATTCACTTCTTGTTCAAGTAAGTTCAATAAAGTATTATGATTATCAATTAAGACCCTAAAAACACAGAAAAAAATTGAGTACTGAAATCTCTGAATGTGTAACTAGATCTTGAGGGTGTGGGTGTGGGTATTATTTTCATGTCACACCCGCACCCCCACTTCGGGGTGTTCCCTTATTAGTTGAATCTATTCTATACCTGAGTATACGCATAATAATATCTCCTTCATCAAAATTTCCAGTTGTAACTAAATAATGAATTGGTGTATCACGTGTAATTTTTGTAAAACGTTGAGTTTGATCGCAAGCACCTGGTCGAATAAGACCGTCTGTAAATTGATGATAAGCATTAACAGCTTCTATTCCACGATCGATAACTATTGAATAATTATTGTTTCGATTTTGAAAATATTGACGATTATTCGAATGTTTTTGACCTCGTTCATACAATTCGTTTAATGTAACATTAAGAAATTCATCTCGTTCAATTAATTGTGTATAAGTTTGATGTAGAAGAAGATAAAATTGACTGAGATTATAAATCCATTTCATAAATTTTAAAAAATCAGTTGAATCGAGAACATGCCGTAAGACTTTTAAAGGTAATTGTGTATTAATCGGATTGTGTAATTCAGTTTTAAAATGTCGAAATTGAATTTGTATTGGTATTTTTGTAATAAAATCTTGAAGTCTTTTTTGTATTTGTGATTGTAAATCTAATTGATTTACATAAGTTTTATATTCAGCTAATTTTTGATGAATAAAATAAAAGATTTTATTTTGAAATTCTTCTTCTGCTTTTAATTGATCATTAATCGTATTATAAATCGGTTTTATCCAAGAATTTCCTGGTTGTTGATGATTCAATGTTAAGAAAGCCATTTGTTCAAAACAACGATTTAAAAGAATACATGCATCATTACAATTCGAATGAATTGACAAGAAATTAAATGTTGATAATAATCTTGCTCGAACAAAATGACAAACCTTTGCTCGTTGATCATTTCCTGCAAGGCGATGTTCCGCTGTCTTATCAGCTATAGCATGTGGAGCAAGTATTGGACCATGTAAATTTTGTACTGATTCATTAAATAACAATAAATGCCAAGCCTAAATAATTAAATGTACATAGGAATATTAATGTATTAAACTTACTAGAGCACCAAATGTAGAAAAATACGCAACATAAACAGCTGGTACATTCAATACACTAATGTTTGCTCTTTCGAAATGCATCAAATCACCATTTTGCGTAATGATACAACCACAATCATAATGAACACCACGTTGCTGTATAACTTGACGTGCTGTTGATCCAAAACCTAAGAGAAAAGAAAAATAAAACAAAATTTTATTGTATAAGACTTTACCAAATGTATTTTGTAATGTTAATGGTTCGAATGTAAATGTCCAAAGAAAATTTTGTTTTCCTCCTAATAGAATCATTGCTAAAAGGTTAACTAATGAATGACGAATACATAACTCATCTTCATCTTTACAATCAAGATGAAATAATTTATTAAGATAATTTTGTTCAAGAATTTCATTTCTTCTTGAGTAACCAATCATATATTGTTCTGGCTGTAATAAAACACGAAATACTCGTAGTTCTTCAGATGATGGTTGTAATTTATTTTCAATAAATGATAATAATGTGTTGAGAGATGTTAATTGATTGGTACAATAATAATCATAATAAATATTTAATAATAACATTACTTTAATCGTTTTAAGATCAATAATGTTTTGTTGCAATTGAATCCAATCTGCAAAACTATTCCATTGTTGATTATTATTGATATTTTCTTTGAGAATTGTTTTCATGTGGTCATAAGATTGATGAAATTGTGGAAATATTGATGAAGTATGATCCATTGAGAGAGTAAATTGTATTTGATGACATAATTGTAAATGTTCATTTCGTTGTGTTGTTTGTTGAATTTGTAATAATTGATATAATTTATTTGCCCATTGACTATGAATACGTTGAATATGATCTGATTTGAGAAGATTAAGAAGATAATTCCATGAACGTTTTGAAATAATTGTAGCAAAAAACAATTGAAGATATTCATTTAATTCAGTCATATCTTCTGCTATTGTTAAATAATTATTTATAATTGTTTTTATTATTCGATCAAGTATTGTTCGATCTGCAAGAGGAATGTTACTTTGACAAAGTATTTCAGCAGTTAATTTCAAAAGAAAATAAATTTGTAATTGTTGATATATATTTTGAACAGCAGTAGTAAAACGTTGGTTTCTTGTATTCTGTAATTTTGATTGCATGATTTTATTCAGTAAATTAGTGGTTATGACTTGTTCATTGATTGATCGTTGAAAATAGAAGAAAAATAAATCTAATAATGGTTGTTGTTGTTGATCATTTTCAGGTAGAACGAATGAGTGATAAGGTAAATGATAATTTTTTAGAAGATCATCATTTCCAATTGATTCAATAATCAATGGCAAAAGTTTTATTCCTCGATCCCAACAATCTAATTTCGGTTTATTATTTCGTTCAGGTTCTAAAAGATATAAATTAGCTAATTCATCAAATAGAAATTGTTTCATTGGTATTGATAAATAATATGTTGATTGATTTAAATCTTGAAAAAGATGTTTTATTTCATCTTTACATGAATCTGTTGTTGATTTCAACATTAAAATAATCCATTGTTGTATTTCAATCATTAATGTTGAATTATTCACTTGATTATCATTTAAATATTTTTGAATTAATTCAATAATGTTTGGTATTAATCCAAAATACATTGATTTTCTATTATGTCCATGTTGATTTTGATTATTTAAATGAATATTATTTAATAAAAGTGTAACAAGATGTTTTGGCTCAGGTGTTTTATCATTCAAAAGAATAAGATAAGCTAAATTCATAAAATTAATTTGATCTTTTATTTCAACAAGTTGTGTACGTGATAAAACTTTATCTGATGGATAATATTTTGATATAAATGTATAAGCATGAACCCATTGTTCACTATTCTGTTGACCATTTAAACAAAATTCACAAAGAGATTTCCATAAATAATCAAACATTAATCGAAATAATTTTTCTCGAACATCAGAACGAGTTATATATTGTTCATTGTCAAATAAATCTTGATAAAATGAACGTGTTGAATCAAGTTGATCAGTGATACGACAAGCTGAATATAAGGAAAAAAGATCATTTTGATCATATTCAAATGATGTATAAACATGTGATAAAAGCCAAATATGTTTCGAAGAAGATTCTTCAAGTGATTGTCGATCATTTTCCTCAACAAGTAATAACCAACGAGAAACAAAATCAATTGTTTTTTCACATTGATGAAGATTATTATCGAAATTTTTTTCAACAATTGTACAAAATGTTCGAACAAGATCATTTGAATACGAATGAAGAATTTGTTCATTGATAATTTCAGTTAAAACTTTATCATTTAATATTGATTTCATTAATTTATATCGAAAATTTTCAGATGTATCATTTCCATTATCATCATCATCATTATTCTCGAAATAAAGATCGGTAGTTGTAGCTCGTGGCACATCATAATAATCAGGGCGAAGTTCATCAAAATTGTTTTCTAAATAACAAATATAGAGAGGTATTGATCAAGAAGAAAAGAAATTGACGAACCTTTATGTTGATTTTGTTTCAAAATCGTTAACAATTTGATTTCATCAGCATAAGATTTGATTCGTTGATGAAATAAATGATAAAGCGGTGTTTGCGGAATACAAGCATAATGAATACTAAGTTGAATAAGACCTTGTGAAATTGAATCTTTATTTTCATCTATTGAAAATGATGAATAATCGATTAATTCTAACATTGAATGATAATCATTAGTATTACTCGATAGAATTGATAAAGTATCTAAACCATAATCATTTACAATAAATTTAAAAACATTTGAAACAAAATTTGTAAATGATATTCGTGTTTGTGACTGAATAGAATCAACAAGACCATCAAATCGTTTTCCACAAAGAATATCTTTTGATATTTGATAAATAAAACTATAAATTTTCTTTGATGAATCTTTTTGATTTGATAAATGTTCATGATAAATTTTCATAATACGTTTTTGTAATTGTGTTGATTGTTGAAGAATTTGTTTAAAACATTGCACACGTTTTAGAGTATTTGTTTGAGGTTGATAAAATTCATATGCTAATTTATTTTTAAACATATCACGTGATAATTCTTGTTGAGTTATTTGAATTCGTGAACAAAAATCCCATAAACAATCATCAAATAAAACATTTAAATCGCATAAAATATTCTCAGTTGTTTCATATTGATCGGATGAAGAAACAATTTGTAACATTTTTTGAAGATGAAATGCACTACCTGGTGAACAACTATCAAAAAAATAAAAATCCCAATCTTGTAGAAATATCGATGGAAATGATGATTGATGATAAAGTTCTTGTGCAGGAGAATGAACAAGAATGAGAAAATATTTCTCTTGTTTTTTGTTTAAAATATTGCAAGAATAATCACTTTTATCAATCAGCTGTCGTATATATGGAATATGTAAACGTTGTTGATTGATTCGAGCATTGATTACAATAAAAAGAATCTTCTTTTTCTCATCTTTTTCAAAATTTTGAAATCTTTCTTCTAATTTTACTGAATTTTCAATTACGGCCTAGAGAAAAATAATCACGATAATTTATTTTTAGCAAAAGAAAGAATCACTTACGAGATTAAGTATATCAATATGATCAATATATTGATTATTATCCATACTACCGAATATTTCATGACTTGATTGTTCATGAAGTCCAACAACATACGAGGATGTACGTGTAAATATCATAACTTTTCTCGTAATTTTTGTATCATTGAATTTTGGTAGTTGTATATCTGTTGTTGTTATTGTTAATAGATCATCATCTTGTAGATCTAAACATGGAGTAGAAAGAAGTTGTTGAATGAAATTTTCAATATGAAAATGTTCTTGTTGTTGAAAATAATTAATACATAATAATTGTGCAATCTTATCTTCAATTGTTCGTAATTTAAGAATAAGAAATTCCGGTGAAACTAATTGTAATAATTTCGATAATACTGAACGTAAGAGACATTGTTGTATATCACTTGGATTTTGTTCGATAAATGGTTTTGATTGAATTGTTAATTGTGTATAATGTTGTTGAGTATTTAAAAAATAATTTTGATCAATGACATTTTGTTTCATTAATGATAATAAACATGAATATAAAGTATTTTCATTTAAACCATAAAAATATTGTCGACCAAAATGTTGAATAAATGATTGAAGTTTATCTTCAATATTTTTCATTATTGTTTGATCATTTAGTGGAAGTTGTTCAAATTGAATTCGATAAAAATCATTAACACACAATGAATATTTTTGAAAACGACTAAGAAATGGTGCTGGAATATCTTTAAATTCACTTCGTTTAATATGAACAATACATTGAAAATCTTCATGAACAACAACATCAATTGTTTTTGGACCTATTGCAACTTTGGAAAAGATTTTTCTCATATCACCCGTTGCCATAATAGAAAAATTTTGATTAAAAACATCATAAAGTGATCCATGAATTCGTCCTGTATTTACCATTAATATTGTTTTACCTGTTTCCATACATAATTTGATAGTTGATAAGATTTCAACACTGCGTAATTCATTATGAATATCATCAGGAAAATCTGACATTCGAAAAACAGTTGTTCGATTTGGATCTAAATTAATAATTCCACTTTGAGAGAGTAGACGGACAGCACTTTCATCTTCAGATTCATCAATAATTAGTTTATATCGTCCGTAAAGACGACGACGACCTGAATCAAGTTTCATAGATTCACTTAGAATTGTTGGGATATTACGACGATTTGAAGGTAATCGAAAATCAGGACATTGTTCTTGAACAGCTTGAAAAAAGATTTCAACTAACTTTTCAAATTCATCTTTTGATATTCCATTAAAATTATCTTCCAATGCTCGTAAAAGACTCTTTGGTGTTATTCCTGCAAAACGTATTTCTTGATCATCTTCACCATCGTTTACTGTTGAAGTTAATTCAAAACGTAATTCACGTAACATATAAATAAAATCACGATCATGATAGATATGAGGAAGATTCGGTGCGTTCAATATTCGTCGATATCCTTGACAAAGTCCATAAATAATTGATTGAAGACGATCATCAACTACTTGCTGATTATTGTTAATTCGAAGACCAAGACAACCATATGCTAAAATCTTTTGATCATCTTTTGATGGTAATGAACGATAAACACAAATCATTCGATTTGCATTTGCTGCATCAAAAGATTTATTCGCTACAGCAACAAATGCTACTTTACATTCGTCAAGATAGGGATGTAACACCTTCAACACCATTTTCTTTTCATCCGGCAATGAAGCTTCATCCAAGAAAACAACCTACAAATCGAATAATCAATTATTTTATCTCGTATACAAATCAAAATTTTACTCATCAACTTACACAGCGTGTATTCATACGATTTTGTTCATAATGTTGTTCACGTTTTATTGCTCGTTCAAATATATATGCAATATCTTCCGAACGACTATATTTTGATCCAAGACAAAAGAATGGATCAATAGCTGGTAAGCGTTTACAAAATGGTTTCAATGATAATTGTGAACCTTGAAGATTTTGTAAAACAATTTGAAATGATAAAGTTTTTGATTGGCCTGGCGCACCAATGATACATAATGGTGTTCGAGTAACAACACTAACTACAATTGAAAATATATGCTCACGAACCTATGAAAGAAAAAGAAGAAGAAAAATCTTATTTATTAGAACTAATTGATACATACCGCTTGATTAATGGCAACACCATGTGGAATAACAAAATTATCTGTGTTAACAAACATATCCAATTCATTTTGAATAACATCTACAAAATTAGGTATCGTACGAGAAAGTATTTCAGCAAGCTTTTCTCGTGGTGGTGTTTCGTTATCTTTTCGCTGTTCATTGTCTTCAGCTGTTGGAAGACGAAAATAATAAATTAAAGCTAATGCTAATGCAATACATCGAATCGGATTTGGTTGATATTTTTCATCACCGGTATCAATTTCATCATCAAATCGAATTTTCCAAAAGAAATCTATTAAACTAAAACATCGTTGAATTTCTCGTTGAGAAACAGAATTTCGACCAAGATATTGTTCACAAAATGCTTGTGCATTGAGAATCGATTCAGCCAACATATCTTGAGCATATTTTTCCAAAGGCATATTCACTTTTTTATCAGATTTCGAATGTCCATGAAGTATTTCAATTTTATTATCAATATAATTTTTCAATGATGTTTGCTCTAATGTACCATAAGATACTTTTAAATTCTCGAGTGCTTGTGGTAATTGATGGACAAGATAATCTCGTCGATGAATAGCTGTCTCAGCACTTGGATTTACTGATGGATTAATTGCGGCAGTGAAAAAGATATTTTCTGGTAAATTTTTTCCATGTAACGTTCGATCCATAAACATTTCTTTAAAAAGACCAAGACACGATGCCGTATTCACTTCGTCGAAAAACACAACTATTTCAATATGATCTAATTCACGTGCTAATTGACAAATTGGAGACATGAATTGTTCAAGTTGTTCTTCTGTTACACCTGGATGTAATAATAAACGATAGAAAAGTGGTTTAATTTGACTATACACTAAATATTCAGTGAAGATGGCAATGGATCTTTGAATTGTTGGTGAACGAGCATCATCAAGTAAATTTTGGAGACGAAAACTTGCTTCGATTAATGGAAAACTTGATAATTGTGATGCAACATAATCATACAAAGCGCAGTTTAATTTCTGTGCAATATTCATAGCATTTTCACTTGAAATAGTTAGAAGTGTCTTCCATAAATATCGTAATGTATCATTGTCACATTCATAATTTTGTAAAGATTTTTTCAACTCTTGTAACAATGGAAGATCAATGAGTGCTGTTGGTTGTATGATCTGTGGTGCAGCTTGAGGAATAGGTAATTGTGGTATTGAATCATCTCTTCGACTTTCGTTCGTAGAATCATTATCTTCAAATTGTTGACGATATATATTTGGAAATTGATCTTCATCATCATCATCATCAACAACAACTTGATCATTATCAAGACCCATAAGTTTTGGTTTTATTCTTTGTAAAAATGTATTCATTATATTTGTTTCATTTTCTAATATTTCAGAAATAATTGTTGTTAAAAACCATAAACAAAGTCGTTCACGTATACGTGGAGCAACATCATCATAAACTGATGCATTGATTATATTTGAATTTAATAATAAAGAATAAAATTTTAAAAGAAATGTTTTACCAACTCCAGTATCACCTTCAATAATCAAAGATAATTTTGTTAATTTTCTTTCATGAACATGAAATAATTTATAAGCAAAATTTTCTGTTAGAATAAATTTTGTATCATTCAATATTTGAATAAAATCTTCATATTTAATATTAATTAACCATGATAAACATTTTGCATAATAATCTTTATGTTGAAATTCTGATCCTAAAGAAGGATTTTGTTTATTAAATAATTCTTTTAATGCTCGAGGAACATTGTTCCAATCATCATGTAATAAATGTAATGCGAACCATGGATCATATACAAGATATATACGAGGATAATTTTTATGACGAAAATCAATTTGTGAAAGAGATTTAGCTTCTTGAATCATTTGTTTTAAAGCAGTTGAACCAAGATTTTTAAATGTCATATTATATCGATAATAATGACCAGTAAAAAATTTTATTCGACGATGTAAAAATTTCGTGAAAGAAAGTTCGGAAATTTTATTTCTTGGTAATTCTGACGCATATTTTTCAATACAATTATAAATAAAACGACGACATTCATCGGGATCAGTTAATTTTTCAAAATCAACTGGTTGTTCTTCACCAGTTAGTTTAATAGTTAATTCACGATCGATTGTTCCGTTTTCATAAGCTTTTAAAAATCGAGCAACTAATTCTTCTTCTTCTCCAATAAATAATTGATAATTTTCATCTGTAATTTCTTCTAAAGTATATGGAGAAATAATTGATAAAATTGGTAAAATTCGTTCAAAATTTTCTTTAATTGTCATTTGATATTTATGTGTATATGGAATTTCAATAAAAAATTTCCATTGTTTATTTTTCGGTAATGAAAATGTTAAACCAGTTGTATTATCCGTTAATGTTCCACTAATAAATAAAGAAAGAAGAGTACGATTTAATTGTTCAAATGGTGCATGAATTGATATATTAAATGAAACAGATGGATTATTATTATTTGTTATTTTGGAATCAAATGAAAGAAATGAACTAATTAACATTGATAAATTTAATGTATCATTAATACTAAAACATGATGTTTCAGAAGTTTTATATTTTGTATTAATTCGATGAGTTTTTCCTATGAAAAAAGAAATTGAAGATTTTCAAGAGTCAATTCTATTCGACTTACCAATTCCAGCTATTCCACAAATAATTTGAATTTGTGTTTGTATTAAATTATTTTTTTGAAATAATCGTGTTATTTGTGTATAAGTATGTTGAGGATTACGAAATTTAGGTGAAATATGAAATGATCGTAAACCTTTTCGACTTGTTGTTAATTCTTTTGAAAAATAATAAACAGTTCCATGTATTTGTTCTTGTTTTGTTAATTCATCTTGTTCATTTAAAAGAATTTCTCGTAGACGATGATGCATTTTATCAATATCCATAATAACAAAGATTAAAGAAGGAAATGTTCGTATACGTAAGAAAAATAATCGAATATCATCTTCATTTGATATTGAACACCATAATATTTGATAAATAGATGGTAAACGATCTTGAAAAAGATTTAAAAGAATACAACAAGTTTCAAGATTAAGATCATGATCTAATGAAACTTTATCTGATAAATGAGATTTTGTTGAACTAACTGTAACAAGATATTGTTGACTTTCATTAATTGTTAGATTCTTTTGAAATAATTCTCGTCCATTATTAAATACTTCACCTAAGAATTGAGATAATTTTTTTAAACCTATTTCAGCATTTGAATTTGGTTCGATTTGATATGTTTCATATTGATGAGTAATATTCATTTTCGATAAATCACAATCATTCATTGATAAAGAACGTAAATAATGTATTAAACATTGAATAGTTAATTCTAATTCTTTATTTCTATGATTTAGAATATCTTTTGAAAGACATAATTTTTCTAAAAAATGACATTTAACTTGATTTTGTGTTGTCGATTTTGTTAATAGAATAATAAGAATCATAATTTGACGATTAGAAAATAGTTTTAATAGATGATAATCATGTCTATATCGTTCTAAATTATGAATCCACATATCAAAACTTGTTTCTAATGTACGATAAATTAATTCTAAATTATCTGTACGTGTTTTAACAGCACGTTTTAATCGATCTTCTCGAATATGATGCTCATTTCTTAAATCCGAAAGTATTCGATTAATTTCATCTAAAAATTCGAATTTATAAAAATAAAAATAAAAGTTTATTTACTTGTTCGATCATGTATTTCATAATCTTCTTCTCTCAATTGATATTCTGGATGTCCAGCTGTTTCTAATTTACAAAGAATATTAAAAATATTCTCCACAATTTGTAATAATTTTAATTGTTCATTTAATAGAATTTTTTTATAAAACATATTTTCTTGAAGATCAACATTACAAAATGTTAATTGACGTTTATGATCATCAATATCACTTTTTGTTAAAATAAATTTTAATAATTCGGTTTTTTGTTCATCATTATCATTATCATCTTCTATTGTTTCATTTGGAATTTTTTTAATCGAATATCCAATTTGAAAAAATGATTCTTCATTAAGCAAACGTCGAAGACGTATTTTTACTGTTCCAGTTCTATATAAATGTTCCATTGTTATTAAAGCATTATCTAATACTGTTGTTTCTTCAGCTGATAACCACATTTTAATAATTTGTGCATTTTCATTAACAACTAAAATATATAAAAAGAAATTTTATTCGATTGTTTCATAAAAAAAAATTAAAAAGAAAATATTTACTTTGAATATGTTTAACAGAATGTTCTTCAAAATTTGATAATCCTGCAATACGTTGAACAAATTCATCAAAATTTCTTGTTTTAAGAGCAAATGGTTCACATAAAGCATAAGCAATAATCCATGAATTTAAAATCATATTATTACGTTCTTGTAATTGAAATTGTGTTGTTAAATTATCTCGTAATTCTTGAAAACGTCGTCGACCATGTGAAGAATATAAATCAGATTTTTTCATAATTTCAATGATTGTTGAACATTCCGATGCTATTTTAATTAATTGTAAATGTTGACTTGAAAGATTTTGAAATTGTTCTTTTAATATATTATATGCTTGAGTTATTTCTTTTAATGAACAATTTTCATCACGTAAACGTTTTAAATGATCAATTAACTCATCATCATTATCAATGGGTAAGATATCAAATTTTTCAATGCAATTAAGAATTATATTAATATGACTATAATATTGATAAATTTGAAGCCATTCACAAACTTGTTCAATTTCTTTATCTGTTGGAGGAATTGTTATTATAGTTGTTGTTGTTGTTGTTGGACGTTGTCGATTAGTTCTATTGTCAGATGAACGATTTGTAAATAGTTTTTTAACTTCTTCTCGAATACGAATATTTTTATCACAAAATACTGTTTTTAAATCAGTCATATCTCTTAAAATAACACTACCATCTAAAACACTATCAATAAATTGAAAAACTTTATCAAGTAATTGACTAATTTCTGTTTCTTTAATTAATTCAGTTAATTGTCTATGATATGATTGATAGTACATATTGAATATTCCATTAAATAAATGACAAGTTGATAATGGTGTTTGAATAATTCGATACCAGACATTACGCGGATTATGAAGTTTATCATTATTAATTGTAATAATTAATTGTCCAGCTCGTTGTGTTTCAAATTCTCCTTGTAAAACATATTTTTCAATTGGAACATCCTTTTTCTCATATAATTGACCAGTATTACCTTGTACTTCAATTGATTGATATTCAATTTGAATATTACATGGATGTTTATCACTGGCAATAGACCATTGAACATGTTGACGATCATGAATAGGAAATGGATTTGGCATACTTGTCTTTACAGGAACAGTAAAACAATTATTTGGTTGGAGTCGTTTTAATTCACGAATATAATTTGATGAATCCATCTGATTATTTAATCCACCGGAATCAATAATATGAAATGATGTTAAACAATTGAATAAATGACAAAGTCGTTGAAGATCATTAAATGGTCGAAGCAGTTTTAATATTCGTTCAACTGTTGATCTCATTTGTAAAACCGTCGTAGATGAATTTTCTTTTACGTTATAAATTTCTCGAAGTAATTGAGTAGCATCATTAACATTTAAATTTTTAAACCATTCAATAATATGTAATGAAATTGTAAGAAATTTATCAAACCATTGTAACCATTCATTGACTTGTTGAATAAATTGTTGAAAATATCTTTCTTTTGGATCAGAAGGTGTGATATTGATTTCCTTTGGAATATGTGGTACAAGTGATTCAATTTTTGGTGAAATAGAAGGAAATTTATAGATTTGTGGATTGATTTTAGTAAATATTTCTTGTATATCTGTATTGGCAAGAAAAAAGAATATGGTTTTCGAATTGAGTAGATCACGATATGTTGAACAAGACTCTGAAATAAAAGAGAAAAGGTTTTAGAAATGATAATTTCGTGAAAAATAAACAAAAACCTTGTAAGGATAAGATCTTTTGAATTGATAGTTGTCCATTTGTCATAAATTCATCGACTTGTTTTACATCTATTGGATACATCTGTTCTTGTCGAATATTTTGAACAAAATTAAGTATTATTTCAATATTTGAAAGTGATAAAATTGATTTGATGTATTTAACAATCAGCATTTCAAATAAATTCACAACGAAAAGTATTGTTAAAGTATCAGAAGATTCATAAACATCATGCTGAACTACTTTCATCCATTCATTTAATTTATAGAGTGTTTCATTTATATTTTCTGTTCTTAATTTAAGAATACTTAAATGTATTATTCTATTCCATATATAAATTGTCCATCGATTGTCATGATGAAGTTCACATAATGATTGGTACGTAATCGAATTAATATTGTATAAGAAATCATCAGCAATACGTAGAAGAAGATCTTCTAACCATTCATCTTGAACGATGGATGCCGGATCGTTCTTCTCACATAAATCTTGATCGAAATTGTTTATATTTCGAAAAACAATTTTAATATTCTCAACTTTTTTCGCTGACCGATTGTATGTTTGAAATAATAAACGACGAAGGATAAGTAAACAAGATGGTCGATGTAAATCTTTTGTTGTTGATAGTTCAATACTATCAGCTAAAAATTCTTTGAGACATGCCTCGGAAAACAAATGTGAGTATTGTTCACTGTTTAATTGATGATTAATGAACATCTCAAATATTTTTTCGTACATTTGTAAAAATCGTGCGCAGTATTCTTCTTTGATTTTTGTTACGCAATGTTTAGATAACTTTGTGTAACGTAAAAAACTTTCGATTGATGCATTCATACTGCGTTCACTTAGTCTAGAGGTCAGATGTTTTTGATTGATATCATTTAATTCACTATTTACACAAATAATTTTTTTAATGATACGGCGACCACCGAGATCTACACTTGCAGCATAAGTTGACAAATAAAGTTCAAATAAATGATCGTGGCGACCGATAACATTAAAGAAACCTAAGATACTTTTAAATGAATAAGATGCTCGTTTGATACCATTTGCGAATAGTGAACAATATCGTTCAAAAAATTCATCTTTGCTGTATTTTAACTTTTCACAGATTTGTACAAAGATAATAAAAGGTGATTCTATTGATTGTTTCGAAATAGAAAATTTTTCGATATATTCTATACATGCTAATACATCAAATGGAAAGTCTCGAAATGCTAATTCATAACCGACATAATAGGAAATAAATTCTTCTAAAGAAATCCAGCAATGTTGTATATTCGATAGAATATTTTTCCATTTTAATTGATCACCGAGTAAAATTGATGTTTGAAATGATAATTTACTTAAAGCAAATAGCAAATTTACGTTTTGCTTATCCACTTTAGTCATTGACCGTAAATGTTCAGCAATATTGATTTTTGTCAATTGATCTTTATTTTCTATCAAAATATTTGGTTGTAAACCTCTATGTTCAACGAATATTTTTTCTAATGAATCGAATAATTTCTCTTTTAATGGTTTGATTTTACTTTCGGTTAGCCATGCAAATATCGATGATTGTTTAATAATTTGTAAATATTCTTCAACTCGACGATAAATGTATAAATATGAATCGATCCGACCTGGAAACTTTTTGAATAATTCGGATATCGTTAAACTATGCACTACTCCATCAATAATAAAATCCACATCATTTGAAAATAACTTGTTCTTCTGAATATGATTTGCATTGTCAAAGTGTTCGAATCGTGCTAAAACTGTGTCATAAAATAGAACACCTTCACTGCCTTCATCAAACGCTTGACAAATAAGAACTGCTGGTTCAGTTAATTTATCTTTCCCATGATATTTATGATGATGTTTTTTCATGACATCCATTCAGGCAATTGTCCTTAAATATCACAAATACCTAAAACTGAATAAAAACAAGCCTTTAAAACTACAGCATTATACAGATATTCTTACAAAAAAAAATAAAAGTTTTCTATCATGAAACAAAACATGTCGTTGAAGAAAGAAAAAAACCCACAGAAAGAAAAATATAAATCTCTTTTCTTTCCTTCCAGGAGAAAATAAACGAGAAAAAAATAAAACTTTACCTTATAGTAGAATTTTATACTTAGTATTATAGTAAAATAACGTTTTATATAGATTTATTATCATCGTTGCATGAAGCTTGTTTTGAAAAATTGATCTACTTACTAAATACTTAACTATTATACGTTTTGATGTAATCAAAAAATGTTGTTCTTGTAATGTGAAATGTAAATTTTATTGACTTTATTTCTTATCACAAAGCGACGCGCCAGAGAAAGAAAAAAAGTTTTGTACCACGTGTTGACTTCAACAATGTTCTTCTGTTTTTTTATGACGGTAGATAATATAATATGAAATAAAATAGGAAATGTAAGGTTTTTGTTGAAAAATAACCTATAGAGTATTACTCTAAGAATATTTACTACTGATACAAGATTTTTCTGAGAAAACCTATCTTGAGGGGTGGGTGTGGGTGCGGGTATTTCATTAGTCCTAATCCCATACCGATACCCTATTTTGCTTATTGCACTATTTTAGAATACATATTTTTTCCTAATCGAAAAAAAAATGATTCGATGACGCGAAGTAAATTAATTTTCTTTTGTTTAAGTGATATACAAGAATGAAAATAGAAATACATCAGTCTGTTTATGTGTTGTGATACATACTAAAGACGTGCCATAGATATTATCAACATGTGTTCGTTCTCTTTCTTTCTTGCAGTATAAGCGCACTGCTTCCTTTTTTTCTTTCCTGTTTGTTATTTAATTTGTACCTGTACTAGTTTTCTTTTTCTTCTGTCAACTATTTCATATCGACAATGCAGAATAGAAGGGTGTGGATGTAAGTGTTGGCATGAGTATGAATGAATCAATGGTAGAGATACCCACACCCACCCTCACGTCCGTTTACTAACTTGTATCGTGATGAAGGACTTGAAGATTTAGCTTCTCTGGGAAAAGTTTATGAAAAAATTAGTTTAGATGTGCGTGTGTGTGATATTATTTAAAAGAAAAAATGAAAAGAAAACTGCAGTTACTGTAAAACAAATGACCACAAGGTTTATAGTCTCAAGTTGAAAGCGTTGTACTTTCAACAAACTAGCCAATGTAAGAGAATATGTTAATCTCTGTTTGCTACGAAAGTCAGCCTCAAAATCAGGCCTGTATACGACGATCCCCAGACTGACCACTCAGCCGTCTGCCATTTCCAGACTTGCCAAGCAATTTTCATATTACCATGAAGTTTGAGAGAAGTAACAGCGGGAGCCCAAAGATGTTCTAGATCGCTAAAAATCATTGCCAGACAAACAGTTCGCCATAATCTACGATCATTTGGATATTGACGTAAAAGAATTCCTTGGATAATGGAGAAGAAAAGATACATCGAGCCAAGCCAAGTGAGAAGAAAGATGGTTGTTGGTGTTATTGCATCACTGTGCTCAGGCAGCAGAGTCTTCAGGAAGTGTTCCGGTGCAAAGAAAGTTTGTAAAGCGCCGCCAAAGGCAAAGATCGGTTCGAGCCAAAGAAAGTAGAGACGATAGATAATGTTGAACGGCATTTGTTTTGTGAAATTCTTTTAACTTATAGACCATTCTATATGAAATATAAAGAGAGTAGTTTAAGTTTTATAACTAACAGCAATTGTCTATCTTCTATTTCTACACGTTTTTGAGATACTAAAGCACTTTTGAGGTGACATCGACTGAGGGTGTAGTTGCTGTATTTCTCTTTTACCCACACTTACATCCACTCTCGAGATGGCTTCAACATCTGTATTTACCATGATGACTTGATAAAAATTGTTTCAACTAGTTGATTTTTCAATGGAATTTTGTCCCCTGTTTTTTTTTTGCTTTTGGTACTTGTTAATGTGTGCGTGATGTGTAAGATGTAAGGAACAGAATGAAGAATATATGGAGAGAGTTCTCTCGTTCTGTCGCGTAAGACTAACAGAATGATGAAAAAAAAGAACAACTCACTCGCACACGAAGAATAATATTCGATCCTTCTAAAGCAAGTTACATCATCGTTAACGTTTTTTTGTCTGTTTTTTCTTTATTGTACCACTAAGAATATACACAGTGAGTCATAAATATCTTTACGATAAAAAATTTGAATATATCTATTACGGCTCGAGCTTTTTTAAGTATCACTACTGACCGCAACAAAAAGAATTTACTTTTTCACAGAGTAGAAAAAAAAGAATATACTTGACTAACAGTCTTTATAGATATAAACCTTGAATATACTTCTATCATTGATAAAAATAATCAGCTCATTTGTTCGAGCCATAATGAATGCTCTCATATTTTATCGTAGAGATATTTATGACTCATTCTGTACTTTATTTCACATATCATAGGGCAACAGGATGCTTCGAACTGTATCTGACTGAGCCATATTCATCTTTGGTTTAATAAGCAGTGAAACAATTTTAAACCTAATGGACTTTATTGTTCTTAATCGATCAACACCCCGAAATAGCGATTATATTTTATTATTTACTAGCAGCATGGAATCAATAGACAAAATTCGATCACTTTACTGTTGTTTTTCGATTGGTAACAGTTACGGTGTTCATTTTGACTATTAAGAATGATCATGCACTAGGATGTAGAAGGAACAAGATAAAACGAGCATTATAATAGAGAGAGAGAAGAGCAAAAAACTAAGAAGAAATTGAAATTTGATCGAGAAATACAATGAGATATTCTGAGTACTCCAGATGGTCGATTACTGTTGAAAATATAACAACCATAGTTTCATCTACAAATGTACGCATATATACAACGAACGTTTTCTCTGATTTATTTTAGATACGACAAAAATCGATTATTACTTTCAATGACTGCTGATCGATGTAAATCATTCCTTCACAATGATACCTATCTGCATCGGCTTGTTAGGGTGTGGATGTGGGTGTGGGTGTGGGACACACCTACAAATATTACTTTTATCTTAGTAAAAAGAATATAGTTTTATAATTTATAAATACAAATCTTAAAACTGTCCACTCCTACTGTTATTGATAAATATTTCATTCTCCGAAAATATACTACTACCACTTGAATCTTAACTTTATCACATAATCATCTATCCGCGTTTTCGATTACATTTTTATTGCATTTTTCGCGGAATAAAATCAGAACGATAAGAAGAAATGAAATCGATATCAAATTTCCACTTGTTGATATGTGAATAGATGCATCTGTTATATTTCAATCATATTGACTTAAGCTATTGTCTGTGTTTTAGAAAAAAAAACACACATTTTTTCATTATATTCTTTTACTTTAAAATCAACTATGAATACAATCAATATCTGCTGCTACGTCGTTTTCATTATTTTCAAGTAAATAATTATTCGTTTTTATCATTCATTTTATTAACATTCATTCTTTTTATATTTTAGTATAACAGGTTTGATTTCTATTCTATTTTATATGTTTGTATGTATTAGTTTATCACTTTCATAGTTCAAATCAATTCTCAAATATGTGAGAAAAAACCTCAATATAGTAAATGTTCTACGAACAGTGCATGTGGATGCTTTCGTATGATAGGTGCTAATAACGATGCAGGCATTTGTGGTTTCCGCTGGCTAGCATGTTCTCGTCTTGTACTGTGTAATTCTTCGGACAATTCATGTTCTCAACCTAATACGACGTGTGTTCAACATCCTGAATGTAATGATCTTCCTGTTTGTTATCCATTTACAATGACTGATCAAAGTATCTGTCCACCAATGAAAAGTGAGCGGATCTCGATGAATGACAGATGCAATATTCTGATTCGCACTCAGAATATCTGAAACTATTTTGATTTGTTTTAGATGAGAGCAATCTTAAATGGAAACAAAATGCCATCACTGTGGCTGGCGGGAATGGAGAAGGACAACAATTAAATCAACTCGATCGCCCTTTTGGAATCTTTATTGATAAAAACAAAAATATTTTCATTGCTGATAATTCCAATCATCGTATTGTTGAATGGAAATATAATGCAAAAGAAGGACAAATCATTGCAGGTGGAAATGGGCAAGGAAATCAAATGAATCAACTGAAATATCCAACAGAGATGATTGTGGATCAACAAAATCATTCGATCATAATAGCTGATAATGGGAACAGACGAGTCATTCAGTGGGTGAATCAAACTCAACAAATTCTCATTCACAATATTGATTGTTATGGCTTGGCAATGGATAAACATGGATTTCTTTATGTTTCTGACTGGATTAAGGGTGAAGTGAGACAATGGAAAATGGGAGAATATAACAACGAAGGAATTGTAGTGGCTGGTGGAAATGGCATAGGAAGTCAACTTAATCAATTCAATACTTCTACTTTTATCTTTGTTGATGAAGAACAATCTGTTTATGTATCAGATTCTAACAACAATCGTGTAATGAAATGGAGAAAAGATGCAAAAGAAGGAACAGTTGTGGCTGGAGGAAATGGTCACGGAGAAAATCTCAATCAGTTGTATCCTCTAGGAGTAATTGTTGATGACTTGGGTCAGATCTATGTGGCAGATTTTGGGAATCATCGAATAATGCGTTGGTGTGAAGGAAAAGAAGAAGGTGAAATTATTGTTGGTGGAAATGGTCTCGGAGATCAATCAAATCAGTTGTATAATCCCCATGGTTTATCTTTTGATGATGAGCGAAATCTTTATGTTGTTGATGTCCCGAATTCTCGAATTCAAAAATTTGAATTAATTTTGTGAATGAAATCTTGACCTAAAAAAAGAAAAAAACGTTTTATTGAATAAATAATCGAGAAATGAAAGGAAAAACAAGTTTAATTCTTGAAAATCAGTGAAAAAATGTATTAAAATTTGAAGAAAAACCATCATGAGGGTGTGGGGTGGGTGTGGGTGTTGATATGAGTGTCGATGGAATAAAATATCCGCACCCACACCGACACTCACACCCTTTTATGATATATTATTAAATCAGATAAAATCAATACAATTTCTCTCTATCACGTCTTTTATAGTTTTCTAATCGAGTTCATCTATCAGTACTTATTTCAACTTATTCTGTTCTTAATATGATTAATTATCTCATGTAGACAATGAAAATTTTGAGAAAAAAATCTTTCAAATGATTTTTCTATTTAGTTTGAGAAATAAACTTTACTTCGTATCATGAACTACAATATTTAATATATATTTAAAAAAATGTAATCGATTTAAATTTCAAATAGTATTGAAGTTCATCGAACTAATATTCTTTGTTCAAATAGTTTCTATTAACTTCAATGGATCAAAACAGAAAAGTTAAGTTTCAATTGATGATAATCGTCGCTTCCAGACAGTGGCCAATGTAATAATATACTCGAACTTGCGACGATGTTCTCGTATCATAAATGGTATCTCCTCTTGATGAATTAGATCGAAGTCGGTAAGGATATCACCAATATCTTTTACACTATTAAGCCAATGATCCGAGGGTGTGTACTGTGGCAACCAACTAAATGGTGTTGTCATTACTAAAATACCTCCTGCCTTGACCAATCCGTTATGTCCTTGCATACGCTTCAAACAAATCGATGGCTTTGGTAGACGACAAAGTACATTGGCGAGCACAACTGCATCAAAATCTTTCAAATCGAGTGGCAATGAACATGCATCACCTACTTCAAAACGTATCCGATGACAAGCGATTGAAGGATTAACTATGGCTGTTATTTTTGTTTTCTGCATTCTTTGATCTTTTCGAGTATATTCTAATGTACCGTGTTGTTGCAGATGTCGAGCAGCGTCGATAAATTTCTGACTATAATCGATGCCGACTATTTCCTTAAAAGTGACTGCCAGCTCAAAGGCAGTACGACCAACAGCACATCCTAAATCTAGTACACGATCTTTACCGATGGCAAAACGTTTCACAAGTTCAGCGCAAGCGATTGGTAGTTCAGCTACTCGTGGAAAAGTGATGTGCGTGAAAATTAAAGGATCAAAGCGCTGATGCTCTTCACCCCAATGCATCAATAGATACATGTCAAGCATTTCTTGTGTTTCATAGGTGTTGGAACTACCGATACGACTGGCATCACAAGCACGATCACCATCTTCACTATGAACAATACGGAAACCAGCATGTTGTATAAAATGCGGACGGAAATGGAATCTTGCCCAAACACTTGCTTCATCACCAGTACTTATGAATGAACCACCAAGAATTATGTGATGCTGTCTGTCATAGCATGATACACTAAAGTCATCGTAATATGGATGTGGTGTACTACCTTCTAGGGCATGAAAGTAATCTTCACACCATTGCCATACATTTCCAAACACGTCGTAGAAGTCTTTTTTATTTGCTGGAGAATGAGTAACTCCTACTTCACCCCCATTACGTAAACCATTATTCCATGAATACTCATTTCCATCACGTAACACATGATGTTCACTTTCGGTTAACAATCGATAAGGTATTAAACTATCCTCTCGTTCTGTACGCCAAGCACAATAAGCTTTGGCCTCATGAAAATTGACGCAAACTGGAGCATCCCATTGCATCTCTATTACTTCGAAAATCATCCGTAATTGATATTGATGTAAACCAGATGGACCAACTTGTACCCAAAATAGTGGCGCTTTAACATTACGGAAAGAACGCCAACCCTATCCATCATTTGACCAATAACGTTGTTGTGTATAACCACTTGCAATAACAAATTGATAAAATTCTTTATTACTGATTAACATCGAACTTGCACTGAATGGTTCTACTATTCGTTTCTCTGTACCATATTCATTATCCCAACCAAAGCTTGGCCAATCGATTGGCTTACCAAGTGTCACTTCGGATTTTTCCAACGTTATCATGAAATTTTCTTCACTAGGCGTGCCAACTTTTTCTACGGTATAAGTTGGCCATGCTGCAGGTATACGTACATATTTTAAAGGTAATTCTCTTAACAATACTGAAGATGTTTCAAAATGAATGCGCTCATGTTCAAAACTTAGCAGCAATGCCTATGTTGGTTTATTAATATCAATTGGCATGTGTTCATCATCAAATAGTGGATGTGTTTCGATCACTTCATGAACAACTCGATACACATCAGCCCGATATTTATGAACTTCGCTTATCGACGGCCAGATATCTTCGTTGCCTTCATGTAAATCATCCCATCGCATTTCATCGACGCCAGTTTCAAATAGCTGTTCAAGTTCTGGATTTATTCCACGTTCAATAAAACCAGCTACACGTAGTTTATTTATATATAATACAGCCGGATGTCCATAATAAAAGATCATTGGATGACGTAACTTATGATAAGGACGACAATAATATGCTTCTTCATTGACTAATCCATCGAAAAGCACTTCAGTTAACGTCCATGTATTATCAAAATAATCGAGTAATTCCTTTCGACTGGCATTTGTTTTAACTTGTGGCAACGACTTTATTGAACCATTCGATTCAACACCAGGCAAACACCATAAAAAGGTGGTTTACCCGTCCAAAATGAAGAACTGTTAATAACTGGACAAGGTGAACCATGAGACATACTTTTCTTAAATATAATCTAAAACAAACGTTTACGTATAACAATACAAACCATCTTGAGAAATCTACGAAAATCTGCGATTTCTCACGGTGAGTTACGGTCAGGGTTGTCAAACCTCCTGATTTTTAAAGATTTTCTCCTAATTTTGAATTCTTTTGGCAAAAACTTTCTAGAAATATGAATCCAGATATGTAATACACTTACGAACAAAAAAAAATCTGTCCACCATTTTTATTTCTATGCTATCGTACTTTGTATAAAATTAATTGTCTAGTAGAGATAAGACTTAAGCGTTTTACTTCAGTATGATAAAACGAACACAATGTAATAAAACTCTGAAGTTATATTTCACTTGTCAATAAATTTTATAGAAGGTATGATAAAAAAGAAACAAATAGAAGAAAGAGTCTTATGTAAGGGTATACTTTCAGAGAGTATATATGACACATGCAATAAAAACCATATTTTTAACTGAGCATTACAATAAATAATTAAGTAGCCTGTATTTTGTGCCTTATTCTACTAACTCTACCAGTAATGTGCACGCTATATTAGATTTTTTATCGCCAGAAACATGATCGACAAAAAAGAGGCTATTGAAAAATCTCAATTCGTAAAATTTCCATCTCTACGGATTGGTCGATCTTATTAGATTTCATCCGATTGAGGGTGTGGATGTCGATGTGAGTATGAATGTGAAAGGAATATAATACCCACACCAACACCCTCAAGTTTTTTGTTAAATTTCAGATAAAAAGTAACATGTCGTCGATGGTACGACGTGATTTTGGTTCATTTCATAGTTCAAATGTTGAAGAATTATTAGATCTCCCGGATGATTGTTTTATATCATTATCAGAACCATTTCCCTTATATGATTATAAAAGTGATGATAAGATTCCATTTGGACGTGGGATGAATGAAAAATATTTTTTATTAGATAATAAATATATATTTCTTAATCATGGAGCATTTGGTTGTGTATTACGTCAAGCATTAGAATATTCACATTTATTTCAATATTATATTGAAAAACAACCACTACGTTTTTATGATCGTGAAATATTTCCAAGATTAGTAGATGTAATAAGAAAAATGGCAAAATTTTTAGGTTGTACAACACCAAAGAATTTAATATTAGTTGAAAATGTTACATTTGCTTGGAATTCTATAATAACATCATTAAATATAGATGATAAAAGTCACATATTCATAATGAATACTATGTATGGTGCTTATAAAAAATATCTAAAGAAGATTTGTTTAGAGACTGATGCAAAATTATATGAATTCTCAATTGAATTTCCCATTGATGATATTAATAAAGTTGTAGATAAAATAAAACTTGCTCTCAAATCAAATAAATTTACTTATGCATTCTTTGATCATATATCAAGTCAATCACCATTCATTTTACCTATAAATGATCTTTGTTATTATTGTAAACAATTAAATATTCCATGTATCATTGATGGAGCTCATGCACTTGGTTCAATCAATCTTCGTTTTGATTATGAAGATGATTATTTACCAGATATTTATTTAACAAATTGTCATAAATGGTTTTGTGCACCCAAAGGAGTTGGCCTATTATATATGAAATCAAATAGTAAACTAATAATTCATCCATGTATACAATCACATGGAATTGATTCTGGGATGCATTCGGAATTTCTTTGGACTGGTCTTAAAGATTATACAAGTTTCTTAGCATTAAATGAATGTGTACGTTTTTGGTCATATTATGATATCAAAATAATTATAGATCGTAATACAAAATTAGCTAAAGATGCAAGTGATTTATTAGTAGAAATGTGGAATACATCAAAATTAACTTCAGATGATATATCTGGTCCAATGCGTTGTATAAAATTGCCGATGTCTAATGATAATAATGGTGGTTTTAAATATGATGATGCTGAAATAATACAAAATCAACTTCATCATGATTATAATATTGAAGTACCAATTAAAAATATTGATGGAAATTTGTATGTTCGAATATCAACACATATCCATAATTATATTGAACAATATGAACAATTAGGTAATGCTATAATCGAAATTATTGGCAAGTGGCATCAGAAACAAGAAAATTTTTGATTTATTTATTATTGAAATGTTCCAAAAGTTTTTCTCATTATCAATCATTTATAGAAAAGAAAACTGTTTTTTTTATGAAAGTTGAATGGTTAATGTTTTTTAATAAGGAAAAAGCTATGTATTTAAAGATTCGTATTTTATATAAATAAAGAATAATATAACCGAGATTGGTCATTTTTCCATCGAAAATAATTCAAAAAATATTCGGCTGTAAAATCTTTCTTTTGATCACAAATAAGATATACTTGACTAACACTACTATATTTCAAATCTATATATATCTTGTAACTAGAAGAAAAATCAAGGGGGAAAAAGCGGATCCTGGTGGCTCCTCATGGATCCTCATAAACGTCAGAATCCATAGGATCCACGAGGATCCATGAGGATCCACGAGGATCCACGAGGATCTATGAGGATCCACGAGGATCCACGAGGATTCATAGGATCCATCAGGATCCATAGGATCCATCAGGATCCATAGGATCCATCAGGATCCATAGGATCCAAAAGGATCTCTCAGGATCCAAAAAATTCAGAGGATCCGGGGATCCAGGATCCGCTTTTTCCCCCTTGAGAAAAATGATTCGTTATATTTCATAACTTACGTAAGTTTTATCTGAAGAATAATGAACTCTCCTTAGAACAGAATACCCACACTCTATTGTTTTATATATTGTTATAATAATAATCATATTAATGAGTCAATACATCAATACGAAGAGTACTGGCAACCATATTTCTCAAGTTTCTTATTATTTTTTGTTACATAGTATAATTAGAATATGTTGAAACCGACTATACATCATGTAACAAGTGTTATATGTATATTCAATTCACCATGGATAAGGATAGATTTCGATGAATTATTGTTGTGTTTTGTTTTTTTCGTGCTTCATGATCAATATCATATAACATGTTAAAAGATAACTTTTTAAATTGTCTTTTTGCAATCAATCGTAACTATTTTTTAAAGGTCTTCTTCTTCTTTGTAATAAATGAAATGTAATAGATACCTACTATGAAGTGGGAAAAAACTAAGACACTAATATCGGAAGTAAATAAAAAGAAAAAGAGAAACTGTATATAAGAAGATGGTTACCGTTTCGCCTTTCATTTATTTTCAAAACAAAGACGACATACTAATACACAATCACAGGTATAGAAATTATTTCATAAGAGTCAGAGAAGAAGTTTTAAAATATTGAAGATCTGTAAAAAAAGAAGGTTTGAACCATGTTTGAGAGGATCATACAAATTGAGGGGTGGATGTTGGTGTGATAAATGATTGGCACCCACACCCAACAAGAGACATTTTTTCTTCTTCATGTAAGAAAAACATGATTTTACTTGAGACAATAAAAATTGATCGCACAGAATCTTGTTTTTTCTTATCTCGTAAATAAAAAAGTACATAGTTAAGTTTTACATTCTACATTGAAAGTGCATGATTGTGGATGTGACCATTGTTTTTATTATATACCACCACTAGACTCTCAAAAGATATTACATCAGTTTTATTAGCCGAATTTTGTCATAAAAAATAATTCTTTTTCGATCTCTTTTGCTACCGAAAAATACTTTTATCGTCATTGAATTATTACGTTTAGAATTATAAAAATAGATAAGGAAATATTCGTTTTTTCTATAAACTTCTATTCGAAGGCATGGCAATGGCAAACAACAAAATACAATGTTTTAAATGCAAGAAAGAAAAAACAAAATACTCTTGTAAAGGATGTTCACAAAGATTTTGTTGTACGGATTTAGCAGAGCATAAACAATTATTAAATGAAGAATTACATCATATTACTAATGATTATGATGAATTTAAACAAAGAATTAATAAACAAAAACAAAATCCAGAAAATTATTCATTAATAAAACAAATTAATCTATGGGAAATAAATTCGATTGAAAAAATTAAACAAAAAGCAAAAGAGTACAGAGAAAATGTGATTAAATCATCACAAACATGTATCAATGATATTGAAATGAAATTTAATGATTTATCTGAACAAATAAAACAAATTCATGAAGAAAATGAATTTAATGAAATGAAGTTAAATTATTTAAGAAATCAATTGATGAAAATTACAGAAGAATTAAATAATCCATCAAAGATTTCTATTGAACAAGATTCAAAATCATTTATTAGTGAAATTTTATTTGTTTTCTCAAAAAGTAAGTTTTTAAGAGACAATTTTTAAGAGAATAATTCTCATTTTATATACTATTCTGTTGAAAAACTAAAAGCAATGATACTAATATAGAAAAAAGATTAAATTTACTTGTATGCAAAGGAAAAGAATGATATGATATAAATTAATCTTTTCTTTTTCGTTTCATCATTTTCTAGAACCAAAATGGGACAAATGGAAACAAAATGGCATCACCGTAGCTGCTGGAAATGGACAAGGACACAGATTAAATCAACTTTGTGGCCCCCATGGAATCTTTATTGATAAAAACAAAAATATTTTCATTGTCGATTGTGATAATCATCGTATTGTTGAATGGAAATATAATGCAAAGGAAGGACAAACCATTGTAGGTGGATATGGCAGAGGATATCTAATAGATCAATTGAATCGACCAACAGATATAATTGTTGATCAACAAGATCATTGGATCATTATTGCCGATTCTGAGAACAAACGGATAATTCAATGGTCTGGTCAAAATCAACTAGTTCTCATTAAGAAAATTCACTGTTGGGGCTTGGCAATCGATAAGTATGGATTTCTTTATGTTTCTGATTGTGAGAAGAATGAAGTGAGACGATGGAAAATGGGAGAATATAACAACGAAGGAATTGTAGTGGCGGGTGGAAATGGCAGAGGAGATCAACTCAATTATCCTACTTTTCTCTTTGTTGATGAAGAACAATCTGTTTATGTATCAGATTCGTTCAATCATCGTGTGATGAAATGGAGAAAAGATTCAAAAGAAGGAATAGTTGTAGCTGGAGGAAATGGGAAAGGAAAAAATCTCAATCAATTATATTATCCTGGAGGAGTAATTGTTGATCATTTTGGTCAAATCTATGTGGCAGATTCTTGGAATCATCGAGTAATGCGTTGGCGTGAAGGTAAAGAAGAAGGTGAAATTGTTGTTGGTGAAAATAGTCAAGGATATCAATCAAATCAACTGAATGCTCCCATGGGTATATCTTTTGATGATAAAGGAAATCTTTATGTTGTTAATTCGAGAAATCAACGAATTCAAAAATTCGAAATAATTGTGTGAATGAAATTTTGATTTTTCAAGAAAAATTGAGAAATAAAAATAAAAGAAAAAGTGAAGTTTTATTATTGAAAATCAATGGAGAATCGAATAAATTTTGAAAAGGGTGTGAGGGATGGTATGTATGAAAGATAAATCTGACACGCACATACACATCCTTATGATAGTTTGATTATCTTCATTTTTTCAGACCTCAATGAGAGAAACGAACCTATAAATATCTGAGATATTCATCAAGGTCTCTATCATATTTGTTTCATTGTAAGTTCCATAGATGACTTCTAGAATAAAATGGGTCAATGAGTGAAATATTTCTAATTATCTTTTCTTCGATAGAAGAAATTCAATATTTTCATCTTCATACTTTTCATCTAACTGATCATATTTTCTATTACGAAGAGATCGACATATCTCTCTACATTTTAGATTTTTTCTTCTATCGTTTCTTTCCATTCATTTTCATATGGAACACTCCAACTTAATTAACTATTTTTTTCTCGTACTACGAAACTGTTATTTCAAAAACACAAACAAATAATGATTCAATATTCATATATTCTTTTACCGTTCTTCGTCGAAATTCTGTCAAGCATAGAAAGAAAATAGATACATCAAGTTATCATATAAAAGTCAGTTTACATTATACAAATGATAATGAAAAAAATGGTTTGTGAAGGTTGTTTACAAGAGAAAAAATATCATAATTATATTTGTTTGTTTTTCTTTCCGCCACATTTAAATGTGTTTAGTGAATATTTACCCCACTTTCTCTTCCATATTGAAGAAAAGAGCTTCATTCTTTCATTTCTTATATGTAAGATATCACAACAAGATTCTTTTTAGATTTTATTCATTTCTTCTATAAACTACTATTCAAAAACATGGCAATGGCAAGTAACAAAACACAATGTTTTACATATGATAAAGAGAAAATAGCATATTCTTGTCAAGGATGTTCAAAAGAATTTTGCTCTATGGACTTAGCAAAACATCAACAAATACTAAATGAAAAACTAGATCATATTATTAATGATTATAATGAATTTAAACAAATAATGAATGAACAAAAGCGAAATCCAGAAAAGCATTCATTAATAAAGCAGATTGATCAATGGGAAATAAATTCAATTGAAATAATTCAAGAAAAAGCACAAGAGTGCAGAGATATATTCATTAAATCATCACAAACATGTATCAAAGATATTGAAAAGAAATTTAAAGACTTGAATGAACAAATAAAACAGATTCATCAAGATAATGAGTTTAACGAAATGAATTTAAATTATTTAACAAACCAACTGATAAAAATGACAGAAGAATTAAATAATCCATCAAAGATTTCTATTCAACAAGATTCACAACCATTTATTCATGATATTTCAATTATATTATCGAAAAGTAAGTTATTAAAAAATAACATTTTTCTCAAGGATTCAAAATTTTTTTTGTTTTTCTCATCATTTTCTAGAACCAAAATTCAATAAATGGAAACAAGATGCCATCACTGTAGCTGGTGGAAATGAACAAGGACAGAAATTAAATCAATTCAATTATCCTGAAGGAATCTTTGTTGGCGAAAAGAAGAATATTTTTATTGCTGATAGTTACAACCATCGTATTGTTGAATGGAAATGTAATGCAAAGGAAGGACAAACTATTGCAGGTGGAAATGGTAAAGGAAATCGAATATATCAATTGAATTATCCAACTAATGTTATTTTTGATCAACAAAATCATTCGATCATCATTGCTGATTATGGAAACAAACGAGTGATACAATGGATGAACCAGAATCAACAAGTTCTCATCGACAATATTGACTGTTGGGGTTTGGCAATGGATAAACATGGATTTCTTTATGTTTCTGATACTAAGAGGAATGAAGTGAGACGATGGAAAATGGGAGAATACGACAACGAAGGAATTGTAGTAGCTGGTGGAAATGGAAAAGGAGACGAACTTAATCAACTTAGTTATCCTACTTTTATCTTTGTTGATGAAGACCAATCTGTGTATGTTTCAGATAAATGGAATCATCGTGTAGCGAAATGGAGAAAAGATGCAAATGAAGGCATAGTTGTGGCTGGAGGAAATGGTGAAGGAGGAAATCTGAATCAATTGTCTGAACCTGCAAGAGTAATTATTGATTATTTGGGTCAAATCTATGTGGCAGATTTTGGGAATGATCGAATAGTGCGTTGGTGTGAAGGAAAAGAAGAAGGTGAAATTGTTGTTGGTGGAAATGGTGAAGGAAATCAATCAAATCAATTGAATCATCCCATGGGTATATCGTTTGATGATGAAGGAAATCTTTATGTTGCTGATCGTTGGAACCATCGAATTGAGAAATTTGAAATAATTTTGTGAATGAAAGTTTTAGTTAAATAAAAAATCGAGAAATAAAAAAAAGGGTGTGGGTGTCTCTTCTTTGCTTGCTGAAACTCACACTCACAACCACCCATTTCTGTTTGATTTTATTTATACACTAGAAAAATGAGTTATATTTTTGACAAAACACGTTGTATATCTTGTTTGCTTTCTAGTATATCAGCATGAGTAGCTGATAAAATTTGTCGACGAAGATCCAATGCTTGATTATAAAAGATTGATGCCTTGATAAAATCACCTTTCAATTCTTTTGCGAAACCAATATTCCTCAGTGCTCTAGCAATAGAAGGATGTTGTGAACTAAGAGAAATTTGAAAAATCTCATATGATTCTTGATAATATTGTGTTGCTAAATCATAATCACCTTGTTCACAATAAACATTACCAAGATTAATATATGTATTTCCGAGACAAGGATGTTTTTCTGGAAGTAAATATTTTTTCAAATCTAAGGCTTTTTTTAGATAAGCAAGTGCTTCTGGATATTTCTTTTCCATAAAATAAACAATACCGATATTATTATAACACCAAGCAACATTTTCATTATTATCACCAAGTAATTCATGAAAGATTTCCAACGCTTGTTGAAATGATTTTAATGCTTCACTCGTATTCACTTTCTTCTGATACAATTCACCAATACTATTATGAACATAAGCAATACGAAAACTATTATCATTCGATTTTCGTCGGAGAAGATCAAATGCAATTTGAAAACATTGAAAACTACGATCGAAATCACATTTTTCACAATAGATTTTTCCTAATGCTTGATAACAATCAGGTAAATCTGGATGATCAGCTGGTAAAGTTTTCAGTAAACATTTGAAATGATTTTCTGCTGATTGAAATTTTGCCATACCAATAAGTACACGACCGAAAAGAGCCAATCGAACTGTTCCGATACCACGTTTTTTTCTCATATAATCGAAAACTAAATTTAAATTTTGATTATTATGACTACAAAGTGTCATTTGAATAAGTTTGATTGTTTCAGTTAAATACTCGACACTATCAATTCGAAAAACTGAACCTAACATCATTAATACTTCTTTTTCATCAGGATAATAACTGATTGATGTAATTTCAGCAAATGGTTTCGATTGATTTTCCGATGGATCAGCATGAATTTCAAAGAGAACACTTTGTAAATCATCATCGATGAATTCCAAATCAATGTAACTGAGAGCGACAGTTGAATCGAACGTAGTTGAAAAAAATGAAGTTACCGAAAGAAATTTTCTGTTTGATTCTTCAAATAATTTCAGTTCTTTTTTTGATATTATTTGACCTCGATATAGAGTGATTGCTGATGGATATTGATGATCTCGTAATTGTTTTGTAATATCACGAATAAAGAAACGAAAGAGAAATAAGAAATTAGTATCTTGCATTCGAAGTGCTTTATTTAATAGACGATAAAGAAATGAATCTCTTGTGTACCAACGAATTGCTTGATCAGATAAATATGTATTTTGAAATTCATCAATAATTGTTTTTTGATATTTATCTTCTCTATAGATTTTTTTACATAGAATAGTAAGTTCATCTTTATCACGATCAGTAGTTTCCATTCGATCTAGACAATCAATAAGTAATTGTGTTTGAATAAATTCACCATTGAGTTCCATAGTTGATTTTTCGTTATTTCGATCATCATGAAAAAAATTCATTAATAATGATTCATCTTTATCATATTCTGTACGCCGTGTTCGATCGATTTTAATACGGTCGATCAAAGCATCTAATTGATATTCGATACTTCTTACCTAAAATGAGAAATCAGTAAGATTTAGTAGAACATTGTTGTTGTTAATATTAGTTACTTTTCTGTATTGTTTAGTCCAATTTTCTTGATATTCTGGATTCATACAATAGATGTAAATAATAGAAATTTGTCGAAATTGATGTATTTGAGAGATAAATTGTTCACCGAAATGTTCATTAGTAATAAAAATGATTCGAGTGCCAGCTGTTGACATTGATTGAATATGTTTTTTACATGAATCCGATTCATTAAATATGTGAAAATAATCGATAAGCAGTTCCAGTTTCTCTTGGGTATAATTATATTCATCAGTATTGATTTCATTAGCAAACCAAATAAGAGAGTAATTGTTGTTGGTTGGTTCTTCAAATGTATATATTAGCGTCTCCTGCTCAGTATTCGTCATTAGTAAAATTGCTTTCTATATCGTGCTACTAGATATATTCTGTGAGGAGGATATTATGGCGCATATTGATAATATACTACGAGACGATTCATTGTATGAGTCTGGGTATGAGATGTTACTTTATTCTATAACCGAACACTAATCCATATAGAAAGAATGATGACACATCACACATTCTCAACACACAGAACAGAACAATATATATACCGCTGTCAACGCCTTCTCTCATGCATACACATATTCCAACACATCCTCTCTGACCCAGAACAACAAAATATGGAAGAGGAGCAGAAGCCAAGTAAGAGGAGTGTGAGTGGAAACAAACAAACATGAGAGAGAAGAGAACATATCATGTGCAGAGCATATGGCACCGGCTCCGATACGTTCGTTCTATATCTACATTTAAACATATGTATGATATTCACATAATTATATCTTTGCTCTCGTTCTTTTAGGTATTTTACTACGTATAATACGTGTTGGTATATGCTGTTGTTCTGTTAAAGAGAAAAGACTCAGGATTAAACAATCAAATAGTAGAAAAATAAGATCATATATTGACTTATTATTAGATATAGTGATATACATATGTTGTTCAATAGAAAGGCGTATTACTCCATTTTTCTTATCAGAAATAGGATGTGTGTGGGGATGAATGATGGTAAAGTCAATATCCACATTTACTCTCAGCTGTTTCTCATAAAAATTCTGTACTATAGTTTTACTAAGCTTTTCATTTATATAATTTGTCAAAAACTAACATAAGATTTCTTTTCAATCAAAGAGTGAAGTGCAGATCGACAAACAATTAAGCGAACAGGCAATTTACGAAAATGTATGTAATGAAAATCTTAATTTAATATAATTTTTCGATCATTATCAACCCGAAAAACACAAATATAATAAAAGTACAACTACTTTTAGTTCGTTTATTTCAAATTACATTAAATCTCATGTCCTCATTATTTTTCATACATTATTACTATTACTCAGTAGTATTTTTCATATGAGTTGTTTCGTAAATATATAGGTATATGGAATAAATTTGAATTAAGAACAAAATTAAATGAATTCATTATTGGCGATAATCGACGTTGGTGCCAATTGTTCATGTTTAATGTTTATGTTTGTTAAAGAATTTAAAGTTTTTTTGTGTGTATATTTTTAACATCATTGTACTTGTCATCTTGTTTATATGTTTGGTTGGTAAGGATCAAAAATTTACATTCAATTATGATTTAACTTAAGATTGAATTAAATTATTAATTTATTACTAGTGACAAAGAATTACCATTGTCAATAGTTTATGTTGTTACTGTTATTGTTGTTCATGTTTATGTATGTTAAAATTAAAGTTTTCGTGTATTTTTGATATCATTACCCTTGTATTTGTAACATCGTTATATTTTTGATTGTGTTTTTCTGGTTGATAATGATCGACGAAGATCGAAAATTTTCATTATTATTATTAAAGGCAATTTACGTCTGCTAGACTTTTCTCTACGAAAAAGAGGAAAATAAAGATGACATTAGAATTTTTCAAATATATTCTTAGATTATATCAGAAGTAATATAACACTGATGATGTCTTTACTATAAATCTATGATAATTCATAAATTTTTCAATGGCATCATATCCTATGCCCTGCGAAATGCACAAAAACTGGTCGTAAACCGATCGTAGAATTGAAGAGTTTTATCATCAAATAGCTAGCGATTTTTCAGGTATTAGTATTGTAGAATACATTTCTGTGGAACCAGATCACTTTTTTAAAACTAAAAAGTTCATGATAAACTCGACCTTCATACATAATATCAGCTCACTTGAGCCACCTATATGAACCACAAAGTCTGAAACAAGTCAGAAAAGGAGTTATAAATTTGTGACAATTTGAATATAGTTGGAGCTGCAACAATCTTGTTTTTGTAAAATAAATTTCAAAAAAATCGTTTTCTCTGAATTAATTCAAATTATTCTCACTGAACAGTTTGTTTTAATAGAAACAGATGATCACCACCTTGAGGGTGGGTGTGGGTGTCTGTTCTTTGCTTGTTGAAACTTATACTTACACCCACCCTCAAGGTGGCAGATAGTGAGAATCATCGAATAATGCGTTGGTGTGAAGGAAAAGAAGAAGGTGAAATTGTTGTTGGCGGAAATGGTGAAAGAAATCAATTGAATCTCCCCAGTGGTTTATCTTTTAATGATGAAGGAAATCTTTATGTTGTTGATTATTTTAATCATCGAGTTCAAAAGTTTGAAATAATATTGTGAATAAAATTTTGATTTTGAAAAAAAAACTTTTTGATAAGAAAACAGCGACGACATTTCTTTTTGATTTTTTTCTCTAAAATTGTACTTAATTTCATAATTTTGATTAAAAATTCGAATGAATAAATGTAAAATTCCCCATTTCCTGTTAAATTTTGTGGAAGAGAAGAAAAGAAAATATTTTTAAAAAAAAGTTGATAATAAATATCGAATTGAAATGAATTTAAATGGAACAAAACAAATGTTGAAAAGATTTTTCTTTAATAAATTAACAAATTTTATCATTTTCCAATTTTAGTTTTTGTTTGGTTTTGAAAAATGTAAATAAAATTTGAAATTAAAGAGTGATTTGTGAAAATGAAATCAATGAACATTTTCATTTAGATGGAAACAAAAAAACGAGATTCGAAAGAAAAATAAATAGAAAAATTGCAATAAATATTTCATAATTTTGTCAAAATCAAATTATTAAAATTGGAATTTTTCTTGAATTTTATATTTTGATGAAGATTTTGTTGTAAATGAAAAATGATTTAGATTGAATTTTCTTCTTTTTCATCAGACAAAACCCAAATTACTGAAGTTTTTTATGAAAAGATTTTTGTTTTGTTGTTATTTTCTCATTGAAATTTTTCAAAATTTAATGAAAAGAGAAGGGTGTGGATGTGAGTTAAGATTAGAGACATCCACCCTTATATGTATATCATTTTGAGTGTTAAATGAATTTCAGAATGTTCTAAAAGTTTTTTCAAATATTTTACAATTTGACTTAAGTTTATCGATAAATATCTTTTAAGTAACAAGAATCAAGAAACTTTTAAAATTATTCCTTAAAATTTATTAGATAGAATTTAAAGAGAAAAATTATGATTAACATGGTACATTATTCGGATTGCAACTCAAAATAATTTGTGTATTGCCGACAACTTGTTGTTTGATATTTCACCATCCCTAAAATCGCCTCTATCGATGATCAAACAACAGAACAATTGCTACAAATTTGAACACTTCAAAGATGAAAATCATTCAAAAAATCGTACTAATTATAATAAACTGTTATGTAAGGTTTTTCTCTTTCAATTAATTATATCTGATAAATTTAAAAGATGATTTTGAAAGTCCCTCGAATCAACAACAAACTCGATACCTAGACGTTTGATATAAAAAAAATATGTTGTCGATAAACTTAAGTCAAATAGTAAAAATATTCTGAAAAAACCCTTAGAACATTCAGTTTACAAAATTTAATTTTTTTTCT